GGCTCGTGCAATTTTGTTATCTTTAGAAAATTCACTCCTGCTTATTAACACCAAATTTCCCTCGAAATCATGTTATTATCTATAGTTACAAGATAAGTTACTCCTTTTTACCTGACCATGTGACTGATCACTAGAGGAATTTTCACTGACACTCAGTAAGAAGTAAAGGATGGCCCATCTGTTTTGAAGAACAGGCTGAAAACAATAATAAAACAGCAAGTGGTATGAAATAAGGATGAGTCAATACCTGTTTATTTAATTAACACTTTAAGATACTATGACATCATAGGTTGATGTGTCAGTCACATGGTCTGCTTAATCAAATACAAGGTCATCTTGCATTGTACACGGTCATTGTTGTTCAGTACTCTTTGGTTCGATCAACCACAACAAATAAAATATTTCAATCAATATAAACCCCTATTAAAAACTGGTAAGTTATTTGTGGGTGACTGCTCAGTGCCTTTCACCATGACCAGAAGAATACAGGCCACATGCAATGTTGCAGGCTTTGTCACTTCTCCCTAGTATCAACTTTGGTATTGGTATTGTTTAATCCCTAGTTTGAATCCAAGAGTGACAGTTAATGGTAATGAAGGGGTAATTTAGTAATTTAACATAAATTGGCCAACATAATGAGTTTCAAAGCTGTTGTTTCAAGCATTTCAACTCTTCACTGTGCCCAATTTAAGAACACAGAACCACAGTTTCTTTAGAAACCTAACCCCCTTCATTCATTTTGCAATGAAGTCTTATTGCCTAGGTAAGAGTAGTTTGGAAAACAATTATTGACAGGAACAGAGACTAATGTTTCAACAACCTGAGAGAAAGTCATTTTCAGAGTCAACTGGGGAGTTGTTTGTCATTTGAGTGTCATAAGTCGGGTTCATGAAGACTTATTGGTCAAGAAAAGAACATGTATTCTTACCTGGGAGGCAAGTTTGCGGCATAACTCTGAGAAAATAGCAATGTCAACTTCTCTTTTCTCTTTGAGCACTAAAGTTCCATGAAAAAAATAAAAAAAAAAATGAAAGGGCAATCAATAAGTAAAACATACAAGAGAAAATCTTGATGATCTTTGTTAATCTTCTCTCAAAAAAATTGTCCTACAGAATTAAAATTATAACATCATTTTGGTTAACAGAGAAGAGATATGATCATAAATATTCTTACATTTTCTTTTTATCCTTTCCACAACACGAAACTCATCAGTGGCTATACTTGGGGTGAAACGGCTGAAACGAGGTTGCAAGATAAAAAAAAAATTAAGTTACTCTTAGATATTTTCAAGAACAACAAAAAAACACAATTCCATCTATCAATCCCAAAAATCAATCTCCGTTTAAGTTCTTGTGCCCAAGTCGAGTTCTGAGTACAAAAAAACTGACGTGCCTGATTTTGTCAAGTTGGATGAGAAGGCAGTAGGTCTACTCACCCTGAAAACTGTACAAACTACCCTGAATTACGCGTACCTTGCGGCCTTATCTTTAGAGACCTTCTCTTATTGCCTTAGTACTAGTGAATTTGAAATAAGCATTTCTCTACGAACTGCAAACTTTTCAGTAACGTAGTCTAATGACAGGTCATTCTGCAGGTTTGAGAGAGCCGTGTTCCACTTTTCCCAACCACATTTCTACTTCCATATATAAATTTTTGTTTAATCTTTGCAAAAAGTAACTGATCACAGAACAAAGGTCGGTTGCTGATATTGACGATGAACAAATCTAGAGATGTTAATTTGCAAAAGTTTGTACAACTGGGGATGAGTTATTTTTCTTTTCTTTTTCAGGGATCTTCGGTTATCCTTCAAAAAATACCATGCCGAGCATTACCTACCTTCCCACAACTCTAAGAGCGTATTGAAAGTGCTCGGACACCACGGCCGATTTGGCTGCATTGGAAAGAAATATTGATATCACAAATGACATGACACTAGTCTCATTTCGAAGGATCGAAAAACTGTATTGATTTCTCAACTGTACCTATTGAATCACTGTCGTCTCCCAGAAGCCGACAGCATAGCTTGTGTAGAAGAGCTGCTGGGGTCTTTGAATTGTCTATGGATGATTCTACCATTTCAAGACAAAGTTGAGCCCAGATATAGCTCTTTCACAGAAGTTTGTCGGCCATCTTGAAAACAGCCCGCCAAACTAGGGTGCGCAACGCATAGTGTGCAGATATTCACCACTGACCATATTACAAACAGCATTGCAGATTAGTTGCTCAGGGGAATATTTCTCAAAGTAAATGAATCATGCATGTCTTCATAAAAAGAAATCGCACGTCTCTCTCCTCTAAAGTGAAAGTCACAACCTATGAAAAAATGGTGTACAGTCAAACATTTTAAGTACTGCCTTTTGAGAACTCAGTGCCCAGTTTCACAAAGGACTTGAAATAATACCTCTTTACGCATGTCGATCAGGGCATTAATTGGGGCTGACATCCATTCCAACGGCTCCCGAACAAGACCATCTCCGTAGTCGAGACTCACCCGTAACTGGCACGACTAAGAGAAGCATTTGATATTGTAAGTTCCTAAAATGATAGTTGGGTCCGCTGTGTAAATTTTGTATTTTTTGCTCTAATATAACTTTGACACAAAGCCACTGACACATTTATATGGGGCGCCCCATAAATTTAGGCAAACCCCATGTTTATCCTCTGCCATGCCCGCCTGCTTCAAAGTCCCGGATGCAGTTGCCAATACGAGTCAATAGCCGAAACTCCTTAAAGCTATTAAATGGACGATTCTTGTCAGGGTGCAGATATAAATTTCTTATGTAGTTCGATATAAAGTGGTATCTATTTTTAAGCCGGCGCTTAAAGAATGGTTACGGCGCCATGGCTGGTTTAGGCTGTTGAACAAGTGGTAATGTTTTTGCAGGGCCGGGGGGAAGGAAGAGGCTCGAAGGGAATTAGGGTTCGAGTTTCTACGAAGGAGAGAGTTGTGTATCTTCGCGTTCCGTTGCTGAACACTACAAATCGCACGCGGTACCGCAAGCAAATGCGGATCAATGCCAGTATCTTGGCAACTGCATACCTACCCATTCTCTGACCCAACAACAGTCGACTAATAACAAGTTAGGGCTAATGTTGTGTTAGGGGAGGGGTAGGTGCGCAGTTGCTGAGATACTGACAACGATCCGCTGATGCGAGTAAAGTTGACATTCTGGGCGTCGACCCCTATCTACCGGTTTATTTCACGATCATTTAACCCCAGTTAAACAGTCATAGGTACAGATAGTTCGATGCTCTCAGTCCATACACCTCTTACGAAGGTGCGTATTCTTCTCATTAACACAACATCTTCATAATTATTAAAAAAAATTTAATTTCAAAATCTAGTATGGTTACAAATGCTTTACATATCAATTCCGTATCATCTAAAAAAAAGCTTAAAAAAATATAGTCACTTCTCTTGTAATTGAATTTTATGTAATTAAAAAAGCGAAACTATTTTGGAACCTAACTCGGTCTTTTTTATAATTTTTTTTATTATTTTGGTTAAATTCATTGTATATTTTGGCACATAATAACAATAGGAAACTTATTTGGTAAAAGATCTTGTTAGAAATTATTACTCAGTGGATCAAATTTTTTTGTTCTAAACTGATAAAAATTTGCCGTGGATAAGACGTCATTAACCAACGAGAATTTGATCGTGTAGTTTGATCAAGTACTGTCTAAACGCATTTCTCTCCTACCCAATCAAACTAGTAAGAAACTTTAAAATTTTCTTCAAAACATCGACGAAATTCCACGGCGTGCCAGCTTGCAAAAAGCAACTTAATCATTCTAAGATCAATGTCACGGAAACGCTTCGAGCTCTGCATTAGCAGTTGAAATGGTTCCAATTTCCTTGAACTGACTGATTGCAAGCGTGAATACGGCGCTAAATCATAGAACTCTACACTGGTTTTATGTGATCATTAACTACGCTTAAAACATACTAGACGTCCCACGATTGCTTGTGCCAAAAGAAAAGCATTTCCTAAAACAGAAATTACAAAATAATACTCTGTACTCCTAATCCCTTAATTTCTTAAAAGAGAGAAAAGTTCATACCCAACCACCCATTAAAATATAGAGTATTTATAAAAGAGAAAACAAAAGAGACTATTTCTTAACAGAAACGTTAGCTTCGTGTATCGCACTACAAACGTATCTAACACTATTCATATAATTTCTGTGGTTGGCCATCCAAGTAAACTATGAGGAGATTATATTTAAAAACATGCTCTATAATTATATGAGGCTCTTAGATGAAGTAACATTGTTAGCCGTCTACCAGAAAGTTATACTAAACGAGCTACTGACTAATAATCCTCATGAAACAGTCTCTTGCAGAAAGCATTAAAAAGATTGATAGAATTCCATTATGGAAAACTAAACAAAACTAAGTAAATTGAATTCATGAGAGTGATCCAAGGGCGGAAAATCGACCCTTTCTCTAATTTACCATTTTTCCATGGATGCGAATTCGCAAATCAAGGTCGTCGCAAACTTGATTCGAGTCCATCTTGAGAATGTTACGTTTTATTGACGGATGAATAGTTCTTTTTTAGCGGTATTCAACTGACTTTATCACTGTTACCATTAATTTTTTTGAGGGCAGTGCAAAGTTTAAAGAAATTTCCGACATACGACAGACCACCGAGGTCCACCGGGGCGGACCTTAGGGTCCGAGACTTCACTAGTCTCAATTATTTTTTAGAACATTCCGTTGTCGTTCCTCGCTAGCCTATAGCCTACGGTACCGAAATAAAAAAAAACCATCTAGAGAATGATGGGGAGAGCGCGTTCTTTTTCTCTCTCTTCTTCCATAGCAATTGATTTTTATGTTATTACAGACCAGCAATTTGCTTTTGACATGTTAACAAGCAGTTTTAGAAAGCGGAGCGGAAAGGCTCCCCCTCAATTCGGTTAGAAAGCAAACCTCTTACTAACGCAAATTTTCAAAAAAAGGGATTTGATATTATCGGAGGGAAACCACTTTTTTGAAACTGCGTAAGAGGACATGCTTTAAAACTTGGGTATTACCTGAAAAAAAAATACTGATAAAAAAATCAAAAGGAACGCGAATAGCGTTCATCAAAATTGATGTTTAGTAAAACCAATTTGATCGCGAGATTCATCAAGGATGAATATCATTAACAATCAAGACCTGAATGTCACAAAATGAAGAAAAAAAGCTACGAGTAACAGGTCTGATAAACACGGAGGTCATGTGCCTTTTAATCCTCTAAGTGATCGTCTACGGATTTTGAAGAATAATGTTGACCAAATATAACGCAGAAACAGTTAAACTCACTCAACCTTTGTGGAAAAAGGTGAGATGGCATTATCACTAATATTGGTAAATTTAATTTTAGACTTGAAAAACAATAATCCAATAACAGGTCTACTGACCTTGGAGGTGAATCGCATTCCTCCCTGCATAGAATTTCAAATAACGGCGTAATCCAAAAGCAACGTAAAGAACGAGATTACATTGCTTAACGTAAATAATAAAAAAAGAAAACTTTCGACATTACTATACTAATACTGCTCATACTGAGTTAGTTTGGCAAGTCTCTAGGGTCGACGAGGGGATCCGTGACCCCACCTCCTCCGCCATTTCCGTTTCCATTATTGTTGTTGTAAACCTTTTTCATACAAACAGTGCAGCGACTGACGTGTTCTCGTTGGTTTCCTGATTTAATCGTCTTTGATGTCGGTGTTCGGAACTGCTCCTCGTCCGTGACGGTTGTTAACCAGAAACTGTACGTGCTGCCGTAGTAATGACATGTCCCGCGACCGTGGCACTCGATGAAAGGACTGGTACGGAAGTCCTCCAGACAGGAGCCTGGGGATGAAAGAAGCTGGCCAGCACCGTCGTTTCCGGCGCTTGTGTGCTGTCGGGAATAACACAATTAGATTACTATCGAGATTGAGGGAGGGAGGGAAGGGCGGAGATTATAACAAACCATGGCTTAACCCTTTACACCCTAAGATCAGTATGTATATTCTCCATACTGTTCACCATACATTTTCGAAGGGGCTGACCAGGAGAATTTGTTTAACAATCAAAGGCTGCTTTTAGTTGGTGATCATCTCCTCTATTCTCATGACTTTCATGCGTGATTCTGGGATGACATAGTAAGGAGAAATTAGATGCTAGTCACTCTTAGAGGTTAATGTCGTGGCGCAAGGGGTTAAAACACTTACCATCAAGAAGCTGTAGCCTCTCCAGAGTGGCTGCCATTCCTCAGGACAATCTGGCTCAACCATGCTCTGGCTGTGAAGAGCCATGACCATAGCTGGCGCCTCACAGACACGGCAGCGACTGATAAACGGCTTCACATCTTGGTCTTGCACAGGCATCATGGGAATAGGTTCGGGTGTCGACAGCCAGAAGGTGTAGTCATTTCTCGAGGCCAGGTTACAGTTTTCGTTCAGGTTACAGAACAGGAAAGGCATGGTGCTGAATTTTGGAAGACAAGAACCGGGCTGACCAAGATCTTGGCCGTGAGCACGTTCATTGCCCTGCACGTAAAGCAAACTGTAGCCTTCCCATAGCGATACCGTATCGGCTGGGCAATCAGGAAGCTCTGCAGTTTGACTATGCCGCACCACATAAAATCCGAAATCTGCTTCACCCGGAGGTCCAGGAAGTCCGCTTTCTCCTGGAGGACCTGGCAGACCAGGATCTCCCGGCAGACCGGGTTGTCCAGCTATGCCTCGATCTCCCTTGTCACCTACAGAGGAATGTAGATGACAAGTGGTACTCGGTTGAAAGTTTTATTTCTCTTTTTGTCGCCAGGTGAGAACTACTGAATGCTGATTTATTGGCAGAGGATGTAATATCTTGAATTTCAATGGCTGAACGGGTGTCGTATGCAGTAAGTTTTGAATCAAAATTAAGACGCTCCAGTGGGATCCGATTATTAATTCTCCCTTCTAGTTGCTATGAATTATCTTGTAAATTAGTAACAAGAACTTGGCGTTAAATCAAGACATCAACTTCTACCTGATAAGTTTGTGTATTCTCATTACCTGTTTGCTGGGTAATGTATGGATATCATGGGGAAACGTTGCCTGTTAATCAGTTTTGGGTGTTCAAGGGTTGCACTTGCAACCTTTTACCAGCATGCCTGCCAATAAGCCCAAATTACCCACCGCTTGAAACATTTCCGGTTAACTTTTTAACTCCCAGATCAAATTTGTAATTCTCCTTACTGTCAAACGTACAATTCTTATAACGCTAGTTCAGAGAATTTAGTATTGGATCAACTAATCTTCCCCAAATTGATATTTTTCTTTATTCTCATCACTTAACTGGTTGACAGTGTATTGATATTGTAACGAGAAATTCTGTCTTGGTCACCCATGGGAGTTAAAGAGTTAAGGAGTTGCACTCATTCAAAGGTCAGAACAGTTTAGAATTTGCTGTTTGGGCAGTGTATCAAAGAGACTGACGTGGTTTCCTTAACACATGTTTCAAAAGCCTCTAAACGGAATCCTTTGCCATGAAATTGGTAAAAAAGACCACTCTGTAGATTTCATTCTGGTGCTGGCAAGTGACTTCGCCCGTGAACCCCGAGAAGTGATTCACAGGCAAGTTCTCCTTGCGATTCCAATATGTGATCTTGTAGACAGATTACGAGAAAAGACAAACTTATTAGCTCGTTTTGTCAATAAATCAGCAGTAATCGTCAATCTTTTACCTTTTTATGTTCACGTTATCGTTATCCAGTTTTTCGAAAGAAAGAGACAATTTTCCAAGAAAGGAACGCAGCAGCATTCTTCGATATTAGGACGTTGTATAAGGGGTAACCCACATTGATTGAGAAATAGAGCTCCTTTTCGTATCAAAGGACACATACCTATGGGTCCATCTAAACCATTGACTCCAGGGGCTCCGTCATCACCTTTCGGACCCTGAGGCCCAGGAGGCCCTCGGGGCCCTGAGGGACCTGGTTCACCATCCTGCCCATTAATTCCATCCAAGCCACGTTCACCTTTTTCGCCGGGACTTCCTAAAAACAAACAACACAGTTATAAGTGGTTTCATGATGAGCTAGTTACCAAAAAGGGAGCTGTTTATACGTAGAAAATGCTTGGTAAAAGTCTGAATCACCAGAAGAGGAGAAAAGGTATAAATTCGCTCCAGCGTATTTAATACCTCTCTTTGTATTCCATCAGGCATCCTCGCTACATACAATGAAGACTACATAAATATGTACTACAATGATTAGAAGCGAGGGCCAATCTGCTTCCGAGAATTCAGAAATTATGAATCTTGTGGGCTCTTTTTTCTAAAATTGCAGATCAAACGAATCTCCGTCATGTCAGACTTCCGCACTGACAATTGACTAAGTAAAAACAAATATCCGTATTATTTTTGTGCCGGAATGAACACAATTTTTCGTACGTGTGGCCAACATCTCGCGATTTCAGAGAAAGTGTTTGGAAGGCGAGAAAAGAGGAGATGTAAGTCACATAATTCTCAAAGTGATAAGAAACGTTAGAAATAGTGACAAGACAATAATATCTTAATTCATTTCTCGTAAACATGAATAAAAAATGCAAAGAACAAAAGTCAACAAAACGGGGAACGCGTGGAAGAAAATGGGATTGAAAGGTTCAGTTCCTTTGGGGGGGGGGAGGGGGAGGGAAGAGATTACACCACCCCTCCCTTCTCCCATCCTGTTCGGGGCACGCCCATTTGGAAAAGAAAGAAATTATACATTAATCCTTTAACCCCTAAGGGTGACCAGCATCTGATTTCTCCTTGTGATGTCAACCCTGAATCACACATTAGGGTCACGAGAATAAAGAAAATGATCACCAGCCAAAGGAGCCCTTGATCGTTAAACAAATTCTCCTCAATTTACCTCAATAAATGTATAGAGAACAGTTAAGAGAAAATGCAAACTGATGTTAAAGTGTAAAGGGTTAATTTTATCGCTGGAAATGGTTTATTTACGGTTAAATCGTGTTAATTAGATAGCGTATGGTAATGACGACGTAGTTATGTCAACAATCAAATATTTTGATGACTTCTTACTTTTGATCATACGGAGTCACCCGTTACTACTCGTGACTTAAGCTGGCGGAAAAAAAATATATTCATTTTAAGATATTGAAAAAGACATCTTACCTTCTCCTCTTCCAGGATCACCCCGTGGGCCTGGGGGACCAGTAGCCCCAGTATCTCCTTTGTCACCAGTAACACCGGGAAATCCATCATTTCCCTTCTCTCCGGGTAGACCAGTAATACCATTTTCCCCAGGGTCTCCTGGCTCCCCCTGATCTCCTGGAAAACCCTCCATTCCTCCATCTCCTTTGGGTCCGGGTGGTCCTGGCGGTCCCACCGGTCCTGTGCTTCCTTTGGCACCAGCATCCCCAGGGGGACCAGGTTGACCAGGGTCTCCGTTTGCCCCAGTTGCTCCATTTTCTCCAGGGCTACCGTTTGGTCCTTTGATGGAATAAAGTACGATCCGTTAGAGAAACAAACAGTTGGGGCCAGCCGGCGGCAAATGAAAAAATCAAGTACCTAAAGCTGACAAAAAACTATTTAGTGAAGTTCTTTAAAACTTTTCTCCGGTAGCAAATATAGAGCTATTTTTAATTAATTCAGTCATTAATCGTAGTTAAATTGTCTCCTTGAGAGTTTCACTCTCTGAGCAACTCAAATAACTTACACAAAGGAATTCCCAAGGTAAGTTATCTGGAAGGGGTACCTTTACGTGAGTCGGACCAAGGGACTTGAAGTACCTCTATAAAGAACTAAGGAGATGAGGTAAGGTCCTCTGAAATTATGTCTTTTTATATCCTTGAAAGAAGCTAAAACTAAGAGTGCGAGTTTAATCTAATGCCGCACAAAATGAGCCACATGTTGTCGACAGGTTTCAGCAAGGATGTATGAAAAAAAAATTAAAATAAAAACAAAAATTACGGGGCCCACTGCCGTAGATGATAGTAAGTTGTATTTGTACCTGGTGGTCCTGGTTCTCCTTTCAACCCAGGCTCGCCATTCGCTCCTGCCTCTCCTGGTGGCCCCTGGTCTCCCTGCTGACCTGGTTGGCCTGCATTACCTTTAATACCTGTATCACCCTTGACTCCTGGCTGCCCGGCTGAACCCTCTTGTCCCTTTTCTCCTTTAGGGCCTGGGTCTCCCGCCAAACCATTCTCACCAGGGGGACCAGCAGAACCTATCGGACCTGGGTCACCTGGCAGACCTGAATGTAAAATGATAGTAGTGTTATGCTTGATTGAATTATTCAATTATTACTCATGTTTGAGCCTAGAAAGGGTAACTTATAGATTGTAAAGAAAAAAAAAACAAACTTTCACACACCAGGAAAAATAGACATTTTTAGGATGGGATTTACAGACGTCGTGCGTCTTTTTTGCTACAATATGGGTGGCTCTGACTTAGAAGTCTCAGTAGTTACTTGTTATTGCCCATTTTTACCGCGGAAATTGTTTCGCTTTATGCTACACTTAAATCTCGCTCGCCATTCAATATTAGGTCTAAAGACTCACCTACGTTCCCTGGCGGTCCAGGGTTTCCAGGCTGTCCAGGGGGTCCGGGTTCACCGTTGGTTCCATCAGCGCCATCCACACCATTTCTGCCAGCTTGACCTCTCTCCCCTTTAGGGCCCTGAACGACTGTCGTTTCTCCTGTATTTCCTTGGTCGCCTTTAGGCCCTGCGTTACCTGACGGTATAAAAGAAAAAAAATCCCTTAAATCCTTTCCCTGCCAAGACGTAGTTGTGGAAAAATTCTCCCACTTGATGACTCGACATTTCTTTCTTTCTCGCCCTATATTAGTCGTAGGTGACATTGTGTGGCATTAAAATCATTTACACCAAAAACAAAAGTGAAATGTGGGATACAATTCGAAAGCGTGTGCCGTGGGGCCAGATGCTATGGGTGAGGTCGAGAGAGTTTCAAAGCATTATTAGCATATGCTTTACTGAGTTTATCGCGAAAGCAATAAACCTCCTTATAAACATATTTCTTAAAGTTTCGTTGTCGAGGAACTGACTATGAGCTTTCTTTTTGAAAGCAACACCTATCAGTAATTGCTTTTTTGAGAGCAACACCTATCAGTATTTCATCTGAATATGAGAAGTCTCCGTAGACACTTAAGTGATCTCTGCGAGTTGATCGAATCTATCCCCTTTGCTTTCAACAACATCATTTGATTGGTGACGTTCCTTATTTCCATTTTTCCTTTACTGTTCAGCAAATCAACTTAACCATTCACATCCTGTTAACATGGAAATTCTACTAAAAATGTCGATACATCTCAAGTAAACAGGTATAAGAAAAGACAAACTGACCATTTGGAAGTAGCTGTCTTAGGCCCAGTTCAGACGCCGTGCCGAATTTAAAGCACGGCAGAAAGAAGCACGGCATCTGAATCAAATTTTTTTAAATGAAGTTCGGCAAAGCAACTAAGTTCGACAGACTGAGCCGTGCTACATGACTCTGGCACGACAGTGATTCAGACGTCATACCACTACCATGCCAAACAAAATTCATAAATTATACAAATGTATGTCGGCTGAATTGCGTTACCGCGGGGGAGTCACGAGAATAATTCCCCTTCAAGGGGCATGCGGTGTGGTTGCTTCAGTAAATGCTGAATTTCGCACGGTATTAGGCTGACGTTTGAATCAGAATCGTGCTTTTGCCGTGCTATAGTCGAACCTAATTGCACGGCAGAAGCACGACGTCAGAACTGGGCCTTAATCCTTTAACTCTCAAGATCTCATTAGTAATTCTCCTTACTGTCTACTATACTGTTCTTGTGATGTTAGTTTTGAGAATTTGGTATTGGATCAATTAAGAATCCTCTAACTGATATTTTTCTTTATTCTCATCACTTTTCTGCTTGATATTTTATTGACATCGTAAGGAGAAATTCTGTCTTTGTCACTTATAGGAGTTAAAGGGTTAACCCTTTCATTCATGCCTGCGTACCTTTATCTCCCGGGGAGCCAGGAGGCCCTGGAGGTCCTTGTACTCCATCCTTTCCACTCGGCCCCGGCTCTCCATCATCTCCACGAGCACCTGGATCGCCACTTAGACCAGGGTCCCCTGGGGACCCAGGGATACCAATTCCAGGTGGGCCAACATCGCCCTTACTTCCTGCAACAAAATATCCGTACAGAGAGTCAAAACCAGGCTTTGTACACTATTATGTTTTTTTTTTTACTTTCTCTTGGACCTTGCATTTCCAAACACCCATTAACAGTTAATTAACTTCCCTTGAGAAAAAAAAAACCCACTCACAGATAGCTAACTTCCTTCGAGAAGACTTCCAGCTAACCAAGTTACCATTTCGTACTAAGCAGAATATAGAGTTCCAACCGAAAGATCAGTGCTTATGTCAAGAGACCGACATGAAATGAGTTATGCTTTGCCAGTGTACCCTTCAACACTCTCTTTAAAATTCTCCGAGTCGGGCTTTAGCAATGCGAATAATAGCAGTGAGAATAATTTCCCTTCCCTTTTGTTTGTTTTCATTCATATCACCACTTTCTTCTGGTCTTATGCATGCTCGCATTCAATTTTCGATCAAAATAAAAGTTATAATCGATCCTGGATGTCGCGAATGTTAACACCATCAACTTGGTATAAATCAGACCAGTTAATAGTACTTTTTCGAATGCCTACTAGCTGCAATATAGCTCGGAGATGAATGGCAACGATTATTCATCTGCAAGCAGAACAAGATGTTGTTTGAGTGTAACCTCTGTTAAAAAGCGAATTTTGATGCGTAAGAAATTCTGCTATTAGCTAGTTTGGTATGTACTGGAACAATTATTCTGTAAAGCAGAGGTAACCGGATGATAGGTATCTCATCGCTTCGCTTTTCGGTAAATACCTTTTACCCCCCCCCCCCCCCCACCCCCCTGTGGAAAATAATTGTTCAATAGCTCCCTTCAAGAAGTGAGGGAACTATTTAGCGATAAGATTATAAACCCTAGATTTCTTCTTGACAAGAGCGAAGACCGTACTGGCTATCTCGCAGTGACATCAAGAGCGAATAATTAAATCTGGTGGTACAAATCTACTACGGATAAGTTTCCAATTCCGGCCAATCTGGCGTTGATAAACACAATGAATGGTACTTTGCGTTGTTTCTCACCTTGTGCGCCTCTGTCTCCGACGGCTCCCCGTGGCCCTTGTTCTCCAGGTGGGCCCGCGGGTCCTCTCTGGCCTTTAGGGCCCTCTTTCCCTGCAGGTCCTCTGAGTCCTGGTTCCCCTTTGTCACCTGATGTTCCCGGTACACCGGGCGTACCAGCTTGTCCAGGTTCACCGGGTGCACCATCAGGCCCTGGGTCACCACGGGGACCAATATCTCCCGCTACTCCATCAATACCATCTTCACCTTTGGGACAGAAAAATGAACTTATCATCAACACTGAGAAGAAGGGACCCTTATCAAAAACAAGTCGCTTTTTTCTTTTTACAAGATGCCTTTCATAGTTAACCATCAGTTTGCTCTTTGGACACCCTAACCAAAGCAATATAACAAATAATTTCTTTCTTTCTTTCGGTTTTCCCAGGGCTCTTTTTGCTTTCTGAAATGATGTTTTTGTAACACTCACTGCTTATGCCTGAGGCATAATTTCCGTTGAAATGTGAGGTCCAAAGCCAAATATTTCTCCTCGCAAAGTTTGCAAAGTACTGGCCATTTCTTGCACATAGCCCACACAGTTTTAAGAATTTCTGTTATAAAGTGACTTAACATTTACATGTCGACTTAACACATTAGAAAGAGCAAGAAGCCGCACATTTTTTTTAATGAGAAAAAAATTCCTTAGCATTAAGAGGAACGTTGATGTACGACAGTTACCATTTCTTCCTGGTGGCCCAGGAGGGCCGCGATCTCCCTTGTCGCCTTTATCTCCAGGTATTACTGTTGCATTTGATTTTCCCGGCGGACCTTGTTCTCCTTTCATACCCAAGTTTCCCTTCATGCCTGGGAAGCCTTGTCTGCCTGGTGGACCCTCATCACCCTTTGGACCTGCAGAGCAACAAATATAAAACTTCACATGTTAGTTTACCTGCTTATGGATTACCACTGAACTTTAATCAATGCGCAGGTGATGATATGGTTGCGTACCCATTGCGCAGCCGAACATCGCATTATATCTAACGCCACAGTCAACCCAAATGGAAAAATTGCAAATACCAACCGAATGAAAACTTCTTACGAACCTAGCGCGAGGGCCGCACTGGGGAGTGTTAGCCCGAAGTCCTGACAGTTAGGAACGAACACTGCGGGGTCCGTGCAAAAACTAACGAGGGCCAACATTCCCCAGTAGGGGTCGAGTGAGTGGGGTTAGTAACTAGTTCTTTATATGTCACTTGGATAAAACATGGCTTAAGACCATTTCCTTGGGAACAGTCCGTATGGCAAAAATATGGACCAAGTAAGGACCAATCAGAACGCTCGAATTTTCCAGCCGTTCTTAGGAAGGTCAGACAATGCTCTACACAACAAGCGGCTGCAAAGGAGTACAGCGAGGTAATATGCTAAAGGGAACTGTCGCTCACAAACCTTCTACGCCCTGCTGCCCTGAAATTCCTTCTGTTCCTTGACTGCCCTTATCGCCTTGATCGCCACGGCCTCCTGGGATTCCTGGAAGTCCCTTCTCTCCGATATTTCCGGGCTCACCAACCTCTCCTTTCAATCCTGGGGGCCCCTCGACACCTTTTGGACCGGCAGCTCCTTCTTTTCCTTTCTCTCCAGGGTTTCCAACATCGCCGTCGTTTCCTGGGTCTCCGTCTCTTCCTGGTGGTCCTGGTTCACCCTTTTGTCCGGGCTGACCTACAATAACAATGAAATCATTGAACTTTGCAGAACATTAACCCAAGCTGAGACGTAAATAGGGGCCTGGAGAGTGTAAGACTGCCAGGAAAAAAAAAATTTGAGAGTTCAAAGACCGCTCAGGAACAACGCTCAACAACGTTTACAACATTTGCAACAACATTACAAAATAGATAATTTAGTATTATCAAGAGTTCGCTGTGACGAAGGGCTAACGCTCGAAAAGTCAGCTTTGAAAGTCTTTACGGTGGCCAATTTAAGTTATCAACTCAGTTGATAATACCTAATTACCCTGTTATACTCTCCCACCGACGCAGCAACACATTTTCTTTAAAAACTTACCCCTTTTAACATTACAAAATAGTTAGCCTTGACACAGCAGTCAACGTGATTTAGGCGAAGTCAAGGATAAAGTGAAAAAGCTCACACTTTGCTGGCTGCTTAATCAATTTATAACTAATATTTTGAGTTCTGAATGTGAGAAAAAAACAGTGGCTGTGCACTAAACTCTCATGGCGGAGCCCTTTCCAGGAAGTATGCATTATGGTGACAAAGGGCAAATGTTCAAAATGTAAGTCGATCTCCTTACACTCTGAAGCTGAAAAACAAAACCAGAACCGGTGTTATTTTGCTGTCTTTCCTCGCATACCTTTAGGCCCTTCTTTCCCTGAAGGACCACGTGGTCCGACTACAGCATCACCCTTGGCTCCTCTATCTCCTGGGAATCCCCGAGGTCCTGTCTGGCCTGGCGCTCCTGATTATGAAAAGTGCATGCGAATGACATTGTACAGAGAACTATAACAAATTCCACTTCTACAAAGCTATGAAAGTAAGTAACTCTTATTGGCAGAGTTTAAGTCCGATCTGTACGTTACCAACCACGTATTACCCTTCGATGTAAAGCCACGTGATTTGAGCTTTGGCCATAAATCGAGAGAGAAAAGTTAAGTCCGGTAAATAATTTTTAGGCATGCCATATGGCTTTTAAATAACTGAAAAATATGGGTTATGAGTTAAAATTGCCGCTTGAGCATTACCACGTCTCAACAAATAATTAACAGAACAAAAGATTGAAAAAAAAAAACCAAACCAAACAAAAAACAAAAACTGTCAGTTACCGTTCAAAATTTTGGCAAAAGTACAGGACAAACTTATGTCGCTGACCACCGCGTGGCTGGATCTCAAATTTTAGAGGTTCATGCGACATCTCAGCACTTCATACTGGGGCAATCAAGGATAGAGAGACATCAATAATATTTTATAGATACATCTTTCTCGCTTAAACTTCAGACCACAATTATAAAAACGTTAAAACTTGCTTCATGACTACCGTACACCGTGAGGGCAACTTAAGTTGATAGTTTGTCGCCCAAATTCATATCTAGTCTCCATGGCAGACAAAACAGTTGGAGTTTGAAACATTGGTCAACATTAGAAGATGTTTTTCGTCTTGTCACGAGCGTGGGACAAAGAAAAAATTCTGAGTCCCTATGAGGAATCGAACCTGAGGCCTTCAGATTCCGCGCTCCGATGCTCGACCACTGAGCCACGGTGAGCGAGGTTTTTTACGGAATTCATTTGACACGCGATCTGCATACTGCTAGGATCAGCAACGTTGATAGAGTCATGTTTGTAAATAGAATAAGAGAGATGGCAAGTTGGTCAACATTATTCGCGTGATATCGCAAATGAATCCACGTTACAGTACAAACCTGGACTGCCAGCCTGGCCGTTACTCCCCTTTTCACCAGGTTCCCCTTTCAGACCATCGCTACCCCGCTCGCCTCTTTCTCCAGGGTCCCCTTGGGCTCCATTTTTACCGGGACTACCGGGTGACCCAGGGTTACCGAGAGGCCCAATGTCTCCCTTCTCTCCCTTATCACCATCGCTACCTGGAGGACCTTCAGGGCCACGGGCACCTTTGTCACCTCTGAATCCTGGGTCACCTGCAACATGACGACAATGAAGAATTTAAAATGCGCATTCTTTGTCAATCTTTCACACCATAACACATTCTCTTCACTAATCTCTACACCACCGTTTCCTGAGGAGCTGAAAAGGAGAATTTGTTTAACCCTTTACACCCTAATATCAGAATACATTTTCTCCTTACTGTTCACCACACATTTCCTTAGGTGCTGATGATGAGAATTTGTTTAACAATCAGGAGCTCCTTCGGTTGTTGATCATTTTCTCTATTCTTGTGGTCTAAATGTTTGATTCAGGGGTGAATAAGTAAGGAGAGATTGGATGCTGGTCACTCTGAGGGATCAAAGGGTTGACAGTCAAGATCTTCTTTGGATGGTGATCATTTCCTTTATTCTCAAGACCTTATTATGTGATTCAGGGGTGATGGTATAGGGAGAAATTCGATGTATGGACAACTGATTTGCAGTTAAAAAAAAAAAAATCAAACACCTTTAACCCTTTAACTTCCAGAAGTGATTAACATGTAACTTCTCCTTATAATAACCAAACATTATCCAGCGAAACAGGTCATGAGAATATTCAAACTTATCAGGTCAAAGTAGTTATTTCCATCCGACACCAAATTCTTGTAACTTATTTACAAGAAAATGTGTAGCAGCTAGAAGGGAGAATTAACAATCAGATCTTGGGAGTTAAGGTTTAAAGCACTGACATCAAAAGAATAGTAATATGTTAAAAACTACGAAGTGGCAAAAGCTTGAGAAAAATGTAGCAAAAATAAGGGTTGTGGTTGGTTTTCAGTAAATGGCATGGTCAAGTATAACGGCTATTAAAAAAGTAGTAAGGAGACTTATTTGAGGAGAGGATCAAATTTACACTTTCCAATCCAAGGAGAGAACAATAAGTAAGTTATTCCTACAATGTCATCATATTGTCAAGCAGAAAGGTGACGAGAAGGGTAAATTGCTTGATCAAGCATCAACTTATCAATGCTAGAATAAATGGCAAACAACGAGGAGACTTGATACCGAAATATTGGGAAAGAAGGCGTTAAGGTTTCACAGAAAAGACCCATTATATAAATGAAACAGTACAGTACCTTTGGGACCTGGTGGTCCGTTGGGACCTTGAGGACCAGGAGGTCCCGGCGGCCCTGGAATTCCAGTTCCATTCTTTCCTGGCATTCCTGTTTTTCCTTTCTGTCCTGTCTGGCCCCTTTCTCCTCGTGGTCCTAGCCCTCCATTATCTCCTTTTGGACCGGGGGGGCCTGTGGCACCTGGCTCGCCTTTTTCGCCCTTCGTCATGTTCTTAAGTTGTCCAAAGTTAAGACAATATCCTGTGTGTGAAAAAACGAAAACGCCCACGGCTTCTTGAGCGTCTTGATAACTAGTAAAGTGAATGCTAAATTTTTAACCCATAAGAACAGTGCAACTTTTTAAGAGAATACACACAGAAGCCTTGCAAGTTTCTGCCAGATGGAAGGTGTCCATAGAAATAAGGTTGTAGTAAATTATTCAGTGATAGAAAGCTTGACTTTTCGGTCAAGCGCCAACGTGTACAATGGCTACTTATTCAACTGCTCTTTTGTCATGTGTAAGCTCTCTTTCCCATTGCGAGAGGGCTTCGAATTTCATCATCGAATGGTTTCATATTAAATAGATGTGTCAGAAATGTCGCCAAAGGACAAACCATAGGAGCCGCGAGCACGTTTACTCCAGCATCGTATCTCTAATTTGTCGCGAAATTCTTCCTCGAAACGAAACTTCAATCACGTATACTTCCGAAACGGGACATCTTCCAATCGTAAAATTTTGCAAGTAAGCTACTTCTGTCAACAATTATTTTAAACATGTGAAAAAATTAAAGTATCCTGAAAAACAAAAAACATTTATCACTTTGTACAACATTCAAAGGGAGTTGGACATGAATTTAGATCTAGTAATTTCCCCTAAAAAGTGTCTGCCAAATATAGATTTTGGGTCACAGAAGGGCTCGATGTTAGTGTCTCTCTGATTAATAGAGGTGTCTATTGAAATAGGAGTTTTTCTCACAGTAACAGACTACAAAATCAAGACTTTGTCCGCCTGAAATTGGGTCTGCTAATCACATATCTCAGTGTTGTCTTTTTTCCCGACTGTCCAATAAATGAGAGTATTTGTTGTGTAGTGGTTGTTTTGCCTATTCATAAAAATCTTTTTATCATTCAACTTGGCAGTAACTTCACAGCAGCAGCAGCAACTTAATAGTATTTGCAATTTACTGTCCTACTGACATGGAATGAATGTTAAGAGTAAGATAAACACATAAAGAAAAACAAATTGTTGAGTGACTCTTCCAATTTATCCTGATTTAAGTTCGCTCTGTAAGTGTGAATTAATTGTATTGCAATTGAAATTGATGCAATATCAGAAAAGAGGAAAAGTAACAAATCTCTCATTAGGAAACAGAAATATCAGCCGCACCTTTTTCGCCCTTAGCCCCCAAATCTCCTTTATCGCCTTTTTCACCATCTTTCCCTTTAGGCCCATTTACAACCTCTCCTGGCTCTCCTTTCATTCCTTTATCTCCCCTCTGACCTGTCTCGCCAGTTTTCCCATCCTTTCCATCCGAGCCTCTCTCACCCTGAAACAATCAAGCGGGGAGAAAACAAAATAGATCAACACAATCCTCATACTTGATTGAACTTATTAATTAACCCTTTATACCCTAACATCACTATGTATATTCTCCATACAGTTCTCTGTACATTTCCAAAGAAGCTGACCAGGAGGGTTTGTTTAACAATCAGGAGTTTTTCACTTTAGTTGGTGATCATCTCATCTATTCTCATGACTTTTCACGTTTGATTCAGGGTTGATATAGTAAGGAGAAATTAGATGCTAGTCACTCTTAGAGTTTAAAGGGTTAATGAATTGTAGCAGTGAGTGAAGGCAAGGGTCACTACAACAATCTTCTGCTGACACAATCAAATCCACTTCGCAAAATGAGAAAAGGAGCGTGGAGGCGTTAACCTGGGATGTGTTGGTTGTTATCTACCTTCACTCTGGTTTTATGTGGAAAATAAGAAATTTAATACTGCCTATTCACAGTACAGGAATGAAATTGAAAAAGTAAAGACGAAGAAAAAAAAACGAAAACGGGATATTAAGTGTAGTCATCCATCCAAGTAGTAATAACAGTCAGTAGGGCTTAACTTCAGTGACAAGCAGAAGTACTTGGTTAAACAAGCACGTGGCTAGTTTCCACTTCTGAGCACGATGGCCAATTTATTAACGTGGTCTGCCATAGGCATCCCATATATTAAGGGAAAAAGTTACATCTAAAAGGCCTAGTGAACACTGAACAAATTTCTGGACTTACAAGTACTTAAAACACACTTTGAAGCCTTTCATATTCCAAATATCCTCATCTACAATGTCTGTAAAAACTTTGAAACTTTTACAAAACAAAGCAAAATATTTCATGATCGAGCGAATGAAGGGAGACTGGAGGACGAAAGAAGAAGAAACACATCAGCCAATTACAACTAGGCACAATGCTTCATATGACAACAAATCCACTTGACCGTATTGCTTGAAGGAGGCAAGCAGTAAATAACCATAACATTGCAATCCACAATGGGAAGTGACTACATCATGGGATTAACAAATTGTACTTCGAGACAAGTGTTTTCACCACAATGAATAATAGCAACCATTTTTTTTTTTTAATATGAAAAGGACAAACCTTAAGTCCGCGAGGTCCGGTAGACCCCTTGGGTCCAGGTGGCCCTTGTGCTCCCTCTGCTCCTGGAGGACCCTGATCACCAGGGATACCCTCCACACCCGGTTTTCCCTTCTCCCCTTTGTCCCCTACCACTCTGATAACCTCTCCCTTTTCACCTTTAGGCCCAGGAGCTCCAGCTTCGCCAGGATCACCTTGCAGACCCTACAAGTCAAAGAGAACATTTACTCTATGCGATATTGAATAATCATGCATGATATTCAGGCCGTGAACTGTTGCTAATTATTAAAACAGGCAATTCATAAGGTCCCACACATGTATCACACATCTTTAAACTCAGCAATCTTTCACACCTGTTACTATTTTTAGAGAAAATTTCCTTTCCACGATCAAAAAGTCAAGAAAACTGCAACAATGTTGAAACACAAAGTTCTTATCTTTTATATTTGTGACACCCACACAACTAAACATGCTAATTAGAGTGACAGATCCTATTGATGAAAAACTACTTTCAGAATTTTGCAGTATTATTAGTATAGGTATAACCTAATTTTGAGTGCAATTTGGTGTTGATTGAGTAAATTTTTTGAGGATAGTAAAACTGCATGAGCACATAGGGTGAGTGCAATTTGTAGTCTTTGAAAATTTAAAAGTGCACACCAAATTACACAATAAATCATGTTGGTACTTGTTAATAATTTATGTGAAAAAAGCATCACAGAAAGTCAATATGGACAAAAATTTTGACAGTATGTGCAAGCTTTTTGCAATTTGCACTTGTGTTACATGAAAAATACAATTGTTTTCAGCCAATCAGATGGGCTTAACCTTGTCATGTGTATTATTACAACTATATTACTCCTCTCAATGTTCTGACTGATCAGAAATAAGACCTGGTCAAGCTAAAATCTGCTGAGCAGATCAACCCATCTGAAATGATTTTGAGCTGTACAGATATAAGCCCATAAATGCACCACTTACTGGTTCTCCGTCACGTCCACTGCGTCCTTGAGGTCCAGGAGCCCCTGGGTCACCTTGAGGTCCAGGGTCGCCTGGTGACCCTGAGGTACCACTTGGCCCTTGGGGGCCACTTTCACCATCTTCTCCTGAAGGACCTTGGGGGCCCTCTGGACAGTCACCACAAGCTTCACCTTTGGGACCTTGGGACCCCTTTGGGCCATCTTCTCCTTGAGACCCTGGTGGTCCTTGATTACCTTTTTCTCCCGGGGGACCACTTTCGCTATCACCTTGGAGAGCAAAACATTTTGTTTTAAACAAAATTTCTCATTTCTCTCTTTTTGATTGCTGAATGTTTTCTGGCTTGCTAGATGTTTTGTTAGTGCATTTGGGAATTAGTTTCCAACTCTGTGGTTGTGGAGTATCCTTCAGCTGGCTTCCAAAAGTTAAAGCTCTTAGCTACTCCAGGCATCCAATCTTACTTCAAAAACATTCTCATGACATCAGGTTAAAATTAAAATTTGATACCTCAGAAAACTATTCAATAACTACTCAATTCAATTTCACTCTCAAAGTGTCCAGGCAACATTACTTTTAATAAAGAAAATTTTTGAACATGATTGGTTATCACCAGCCCAAAAATAGGACAGTGTGTGTGTGATGCTTGAAATTGGACAGTAAAATAAGAAAGTTGACATGTCATGCCTGTATTAGTACATGGTCGCACTGTTGTAACTGTTGTTTTTTGAAAACAATGAAAACATATAACCAATGTCTAGTTTCTTTTTCAAATTTTGTCATTGTTTTGATTAACTGGTAACAGGACTTTGTGTCATCCAATTCTGTCTGTAATCATATTTACCATTAAAAAATCTTGACTATGTTCATCACTTGTATGATTACAGACCGTATTCGACCCTAAACCCTATTACCATTATTAATTATTACCTTGTGGGCCTGGAAATCCTTGTTCTCCCTTGTCTCCTTTCTCTCCTCTTTGTCCAGGTTCTCCATCCATGCCTTGATCTCCAAAGACAGTGATTCCACGTGGTCCTTTATCCCCCTTTGGACCTGGCAAGCCCCGGGGCCCTGGATTACCAGTAGCACCCTTCATCCCAGGATTGCCTAATCACAAAATTCCATATCTTATTATCATTTTTCTACCTGTTTACAGTTTTATTGAAGCAAACTCTACAAGCAACTGATCTGAATTAATCACTTTTAATCTCTGGCATTTGTTAACCTTTCCAAGCTTTAATCTTTTTAACTTAGAATTAGAGAAACTGGAAGGCTGATCACGTTTGGATCATTAACATTTACAAGTTTCCAGCTGTTTGGAAAGATCATCTGTTAGAGCACTGTGCGTTTCATATATTTTCTCAGTTAAACTAAAATTAAGGGACAAATAAAATAATAAAATACAAAGTTAACTATACATTAACCCTTTACACCCTAAAATCAGTATGGGTATTCTCTATACTGTTCTCCAAACATTTCCTAACGTGCTGACGAGGAGAATTTGTTTAACCAGTAGCTTCTCTAGCTAGTGATAATTTACTGATTGATTCAAAGGTGATATTGTAGGAAGAAATAAGATGGCAGCCACTCTTAGGGGTTCCCCTTGTCTGCACCTACGGAAATGTTTGGATAACTGTATGGAGAATATGCATACTGATGTAAGGGTAGAAAGGGTTAAGGAATGAAGATGACATGGTAGTACTAGCCAGCCAAATCAATATTACAACTGATAGAAATTTTTAAGTACTGTAATTTAAGTAATCATTTTAATCTTTATTACCAGGAAGTCCCAATCCTCCTGGAGGTCCAGTAGGTCCTGGGTCACCCTGTGTTCCTTGTGGTCCAGGTGGTCCTGGAGGGCCTGTGGCACCAGGATTTCCTCTGTCACCTTTTGGTCCTCCTGCACCTGGAAAACCGGGAGGCCCTGTGTCACCCTTGGGGCCATCAGGGCCTGGTGGTCCAACTCCTTCAGGTCCCTAAAGAAGACAACTTTATTAATTTCATGTTGATAAGTTTCAATCAATACACCGGAATTGTGCTCATTGACAAAACTTGTCATTATCAGCAAACCAAGGCGTAAGTAAATGAGTAACCCATGAAAAAATAGGGTAGGACAAGACACCTGGAGGCATTAACGTAGGAGCTAGGTGTTGATTGTTCATCTACAGTCTCTCTGGTTTTATGTGGAAAATACGAAATGTAATGCTGACACCTCAAAGTACACGAATGAAATTAAAAACAAAGAAAAGAAAAAAGTCAACAGCATGGGATATTATGTGTGGTCACCGTTCCAAGAAGTAAACCCGCCAACAGGGCTTAACTTCAGTGAGAAGCAGGAGTACATGGCTAACATGGCTAATTTCCACATTTGACTATGATGAAAATCAAAAACATTTTTAATATGGGCTGCCACAGGCATCCCCAAGTAATTAGTGGTAATAAGGTTTGACCAAAGGATATCATTTCTCTCTCCATGCACACCTTTTTAGGATGGACACCTCTAAAACACATTGGGACACCAGGAATCAGCACCAACCTTTCAAATTCTCAAGTCGGTCATTATAAATTTAACTCTCAGGGGTTAAAACTTACTCTGTCTCCTCTGTCTCCTTTCAAGCCTGGTTCTCCAGGATCACCAGAATTTCCTGTTGCCCCTCTTTCTCCAAGAGGACCTTCATCTCCTTGTGTACCAGGAGGTCCCTGTGATGTTAAAAACCAAAGTGTACAAAATCTTGTTAATAATTTACACTTAAACTATCAACAACATTTTATTTCCTATGGAGGAAAAAATAAATGGCATGCAGGAAAGATAGCCCCAACCCATGTAAAAAAAGAAAAAAAAGAATCCAGGGACAACTGACGAGATAGACTCATAGACTCTTGTCACAATGATTTTATCAACATGGAATTCACAAAGCGTTGCTAAGAAGGGAAATGCCTTTTAACAAAGTATTTCCAAACACAATTTAATTTCTCTCGGAGTAGAAAAATGTATGGGCAGGCAAAAGAAGGCTGTTGTCCATGCAAAAAAGAAGGCAATTCATAAAATATTGTGAAAAAGTATTAATAGACTTTGGTCACAAAAACTATTTTTTTGTTAAAACTAACTTGACAAAGAATTGTTGAGAAGGGAAGTGTGTTTATAGTGGAAGGATTTCCAATTACAGTTATTGCCTAAGAACTATTAGTACATTAACCCTTTACACCCTAACATCAGCATGCATATTCTCCACAGTGTTCTTAATATATTCCTCAAGGCAATGACGAGGAGAATTTAGTTAAAAATCAAGAGCTGTTCAAGATTGTGATCATTTCCTTGATTCTCATAAGCCTTTATGCAGTATTCAATAGCGATACTCAATGAGAAATTAGATTCCTTTTCCCCACAAGGATTTAAGGGTTAAAGGTAACAGAAAAAAAGAAACAAAAAAACCAATAACACAATCTCTAACCTGTGGACCATCTTCTCCTGGAGCTCCTCTTGTACCAGTCTCTCCCTAAAATATCAATGACACTCTTTATACTTTAATGTACTTAAACACCCCCAACTCTAATCAATATGCATATTATCTGTATTGTCCTCATTACATTTCCTGAGGTGCTGATAAGGAGAATTTGTTTAATAATCAAGAGCTTTTTTAATTGGTGATCATTTCTTTCACTTTTGTGACCTAAATGTGTGATTCAGGGGTGATATCACAGGGAAAAATTATATGCTAGTCACTCTTTGAGGCTCAAGGGTTAATTAAGAGCCAAAAGGTCATTATTTTGGGCAAAGTAACTGGCAACTTGTCATCGAGTAGCTGGCAGAACTCTTGCGGTCATGGGCTTATTTTGAAACCCTTGAATAGACAAAAAAAAAATTCATATAGATTGGGATGGGTTTAAAAAAAAGTTAATCCATAACTTTGTAGATTTAGATGTTTCAATTAGTCTTCTTCAAATTTAACCTTCAAGGCCGGGTTTTAATGATCACATGAGGTTTAAGTCACCAGAGGATGGAAAGAAATGACTAACATGACAAAAAAGAGGGTACAGTTGAACCTGTATTTAGTGGTCACTTACAGGGAATGGCAAGGTGACTGCTTAATACAAGTTCCACAGAATAGGGGTATTCATGACAAAAAAAAAAAAATTTTTTAAAAAATGTCACTTCATGCCATAATTGTCCAATAAACTTGCTCAAAAATACTACTAACATTAATTTCTGGATTTAAATATGGATCAAATTTTACCTGAAAGATTATTCTTAGTTTTATTTGAGTAGACTTGTTCAAAGTAACCATTCAATACAGGTGGAAGAAAATACACAAAGGCCTTTTGGACTCTTTAAAGGGTAACTGCTCAATAGAAGTGAAAATTACTGACAGTAAATAAGAAGTACAAATGTTGGAACTTTGTAAACAAGTGCTTAATACAGGGCAACTGCTTAATTTGGAGCTGCTCAATACAGGTGTGACTGTAGTTTGATTTGAAATCACTGAGAGGTCTAGACTTGTTATAAGTAGTGAGGGTAATATTACAGAATATTGAGCAAATTTAAGGAAAAATTACACGAGGTTTGAGTCCAAAAAAAATACAAACAATAAAATTGATATAATAGTCAAATAAATTTTGAACTCAGGTTTCTATAATTTTATACCTAATTCTTGATTTCTATTATTGCAGATATTTACCGGTTCTCCCTTTTGACCAGGGTCTCCTTTTGGCCCAGTAGGTCCTTGGATACCTTCTGGACCCTAAAGAGGAGTTGAGTCAGAAATTTCATGTCAAAGATGCAATAATAACTAAAATGTGTAAATATTCAGTAGGAACAAACTTGCATCATGGTTTCAACAATGAGGCACAGCCTCTCTTAACCCTGTAACTCCCAAGATCTCATTAGCAATTCTCCTTACTATCTCCCATACAGTTCTTGTGATGTTGGTTTGGAGAATTTGGTATTGGATCATCTTATAATCTCCTACCTGATATTTTTCTTTTTTCTCATCACTTGTCTGCTTGATATTGTATTGATATTGTAAAGAGAAATTCTCTCTTGGTCACTCATGGGAGTTTAAGGGTTAAGAATCAACTAGGTATCAATAAGTTTAAACTGTTGTAATTGACACACTTGTGTATTTAGTATTATTGGCGACAGAAAGAATACATCTGTACCTCTAATGCAGCGTTTGATCATGAACTGGCTTTTTGCTGAAGAGCATGCAATTGCATCAGTTTGGAGTAACCTGAATCAAGTGCTAGCAGAAACGTGCACCTGAGTTTAATTTGCCACATATAGAGAGAACACAAAATAAAAAAAAAAAATCCTACTAATTTTATTAAAGATGAGGAAAAATAAACAAATTACACAAATAGTACACTAACAGAGTTGGATGGTCCTCTATCTCCTTTCTCTCCTTTGCTACCAGACTGGCCCTAGAAATTTAAAATAAAAAAAATTGCCCTCTCTGTAATTTTAAGAGATATTATCTCAAGTATCTCTCCATGCAGCCTCTAGCAGTAAGTGATATACGGTTGTAGTGATTTTGTTTGACTGATTCAAAAATGGGGTCTCCAACACGTAACAGTAGGTGCAAAATGACCATGTTTCTTAACAACCTCACCTATTCAATACACAAGTTCTTAAGTATTATTCAGTAGTATGTCACTTGCCATGTAATTTCAATCTCTGATTATTCAATTTTTTGGTAGCCAAACCTTGCCAACAGTTTAATGGAATTGCACCACGATTGAAGCTCAAAACAAACCTGAGCAGATTTTGGGATGATTTGACAACCATTTGAAAACGCAGTGGCTATAGCTCCTTTAGTTTAGTTAGAATTGCCACTTTAAATACATGTACATTGTTTCAAGTGACCATGTTGTTTATTTCCAAGCCTGAAAATCTTTTCTCAGTAGTAAAGTAATGCTTACCGGTTCACCTTTGTCTCCCTTGACCCCCTGGAATTAAAAAAGAAATCATTCTACTTTATTTAACTGTCTTTAGAAAAAATGAAACTTTCAGATGGTAGAAGAGTTAATTCTTGAAATGAACTATCATACTAAAGAAAGAATAAAACATTAAAGCATGGTGGTGGAAATGTAAATCAGCATTACAGTCAAGCAAATTAATCTATGAATAAAGGGGGTAAGTTTCTAAAGAAACTGTGGTGCTGCTTCTGTGGGAGAGTATAGCAGGGTAATTTAGTATTATCAACTAAGCTGCTAACATAAATTGGCCTCCGTAAAGAGTTTAAAAGCTGACATTATGAGTGACAGCTGTTCATGGGAGCGATTGACATAGGACTAATGCTCAAAATGTCAGGTTTTAAATTCTTTACAATGGCCAATTTACGTTATCAACTCAGTTGATAATTATAAATAACCAAACTAATCTATGGTCTGAAGATGCAGCAAATGAATAACTCCTTGCACCAAAGATAGTTTAAAGGTCAAAACAGTTGCAAGTTTACAGTTGAAATGGAAGTTACTGGTTTACTGCATGTAATAATTAAAAATGCCAGAAAATGATAGATTCAGTGAGCTACTAGAATATGGAAAGAACTTTGAAAGTTAAATAATTTTAAAGTGATTCTAATGTGCATCAGTAAATAAATTTTGTCCACTTAACCACTATTTTTAAGACACATCAGATGACAAGTTGTTAAACCAAAGGCCTCTGCAAGAATTGCTCTGTATGTACACATTTCTAAAACTAAATACTTCCAGTTGTAAGCAATTTGGCTGCCATATCAAATGGAAAAAAAATCTGGCCATATAATCAATTCACGGCAAGAGTTACTCAAGATGGCAACTTGTATTCAGTTGTCCAGCAGCAAGCAGTTCATTTTATGATAACTTAGTGCTCCTGGTCCATGGTCTAAAGCTGACAATTATAACGACTTTTGAGCATTGAAAACAATTCACAAGAATTCTCATATATTAATTTATTCCTTCAGCCATATCCAGATAACCTTAATGAGTATGAATAGAAACTAAATTCTGTTGCAGAGTTTAATGTTCACATAAACTGAAAGTTATTGATACTGGATGTTTGCTAAGAACTAAGGGATTTTTTCATAAAAAAAAAAAACAAAAACATCATCATGGCTTCCAGTGATGATCACATGTAACATGCCTGTTTTCAACTGTTTATTAAATCGTTGTTAATCCTATACATCCTGCGTTGAAGTTTGTTCAAAACATCACACAGGGCTGCTCACCGTTATTCATGTTTCCAAATTTCCATTGCACTCTGTACCCATCTCGTACTTCAACAATTTTTCATGAAGTGTTCCTCAATCTTGAGATTGTCAATTTTAAGATTGCAATTGAGAAAACAAAGTAAATAATCACCAACCTTTACTCTGATTACAGTGAGGTTTGATCCTTTAAATTCTTCGATGTTCATTGGTTTTCCCTTTTCTCCTTTCACACCTGGTTCACCCATCTTTCCCTTTGCTCCTTGTTTTGCAATCCCCTGATTTCCCTACAGCAACAACCAAATAAAAACTGTTTAAGTACCATCAATTAGACAAGTGTTTCAATTGCAGCCGTGTAGTGGGTGCATCTTTTAACTTGTAAAGCACTGCTTAACTGCTTGTTATCTTAATACAAACAACCATCATAGTACCCATAACTAAAATTTGTATCTCTTCAAATTGGTTGACTTCTAGCAGGAACATGCAAAACAACAACCAGTAACTTAAATATGTTTACTTAGTATCTCCCTTGAAATTGATTCACTTCTAGCAAAAACAGGAGAGTCAAGAGAATATACCACGAAACTACTCAAGTCCTACACTTCAAAATATTTAATTGTCACAAGCAAGGGAAAAAAGGAAAAGTTCTGATTCCCTGTAGGGAATCAAACTTGAGACCTTTCCACACCTATGCTCTTCACAAGTGAGCTATAGACTGAGACTCTATGGTGACCTAGGCCATTCTGAGGTTTGTATATGTATGAACACTGTATGTGATGATTAGTATATGCAACAAAGTCTGTTTCTTAATTTTTAGCAAGATAGACTCACCTTTTCTCCCCTTGCTCCATCAGGGCCTGGTGGTCCAGGTTCCCCTTTCTCTCCTGGTGGTCCCTGGCCACCTTGCGATCCTCTGTCCCCGCGCTCTCCCTATAAACAATTGTTAAGCTGCATTTATGACATCCATTTTGAAATCAATGGTTTTTCTTACAATCTGATGGCTCCAATTGGTGCAATTTATTCATGAATCTAGCCATTTTTAGCTCCAAGTTGCATCTTTTTCCCAGTCAGTTAGAAATCTTTACTAAAACACATCAACCAATCTGAATTTGAGGTTTGTTTAAAGTAACAAATCAAATTTTCCAAACCAGCTCAGTGCTGAATCAATAAAATATTTGTAAAAACTGAAAAAACCTGTATTTGAGTGACTGAATTTTGCAATTTAAAAATGGACATGATAAAGTGGTAATTGAAAATCATACTGTCTTGTGGTTTCAAATCAAACTAGCCCTGTGTACATGTTTGATTTTGAAATCAAGTGTATGATTTCAGACCAAATTACACTTCACTCAATTAAATTACCATAATAATTAATCAATATTTACAATATCAATAATTTTCTTGAATATGTTATCATACCTGGCAAGTTTGATTTTCTGCCTATAGTTATAATGTTTAACTTTGAATAGATGAAAAACTTTTTGAAAGTGCAAAAATTTTTATCAAAAAAAGGGAGAGTATCTGTCAGTAACAATGCATCATCTTCCTATGCAAGAAAGAGTTAGATAAAAAATACTCACAGCATCTCCTCTTTCTCCTGGAGGTCCTGTATCTCCCTTTGAAAAGAAGAGAAAAAGGTTGCAAATGAGTTTTCAAAACATCATACAGTATTCCTAGATACAATTTTAACCCAGGATTATCACTAACCACCTTTCAAATGACCGGCAAATGGGCTTAAATGACTCTCGCAAAAATTTAATTAAATTCTGGGGGGTGTAATCTTGTCATAGACAGGCATTCCACCCGGGGGTAGGAGGGGGCAAGTAAAACATGTAGCTAAACATCCAGGATAGGCCTCCTTGCTTGTAAGATAACTTTGTTTTCGTTACCCTTCAACTCCCACTAGTGACAAAGACAGAATCTCTCTATACAACCTCAATACAACATCAAGAAGACAAGTGATGAGAATATAGCAAAATATCAATCAGACGATTATCAGTTGATCCATTACCACATTCTCCAAAAGCACACAGTTGTAACCCCAAATTAAAATATGCGGTGCAATTAAAATACTTTGTGCAAAGACCTCTCTAGGTGACATGCCACAAACTTGGAATCTGCATAGTTTTAGTTTAAATAATTTTGTGTACATATTTTGTGTTTATTTGCTTATATGGCTTATTTATTCATTTTTGTATACCACTCTTTTTCTTATATATATAGGAATCAGGTTGTTAAAACCATTAGACTGGTAAAACATTGTCTCTATTTTATTACACACCCCATAGGAATTTTATGACCTACAGTAAGGGAGGATTAGTAAATGAGATCTTGTGAGTGAAAGGGTTAATCATGGGATGTACTTGTACCTTAGCTCCAACAACATCAGTGGCTGATGAACCTTTTTCACCTTTCATTCCTACATTGCCAGGCAAGCCCTGGGGACCAACAAGAAAAACACCTCAAAATTGTAGGAAAAAATGTATTCTTTAGTAATAACTAATGACGTCACATGAGTATAAATGTATGTCTCAAACAATAAACCTGGAAGGACAATTCAGAAGAGATGCATGGAAATAGAAAGTCAAGTTTCTAGAGAACTGTGAGTAACACAATTTGTTCTTAATGATATCACTCTAAATTGAAACCAATGTTTTTCTGTAATTTTTAGCTCATCCAACAATCCACTCTATTGGTGTGAATGCATTTTGTTTAGTAGAAAACATTTAGTTTCTTGTTCATTTGACATACTCTCCTCCAATATTGCTTCTACTTAACAAATAAAATATCTGCCTCAAGGACCACAATGCAATTTGACTTGTTGGTTGATACTTACCAAGCCTCAAATTGTACTGACAATCAACTTTCTGTAAAATTGTGGTGAGCTATGGTTTTGTCCAAGTCTTTACCATGAAATTCTGTAAGTAGGACTTAAAAACATACTTATGATGAAACCATCTAGAGGTTTTTATTTAAAAATAATATAAGTACCATGTTTCCTTTGGGTCCTGGGTTTCCAGGGTTTCCTGGGATACCTCGCTCTCCCTGTTGCCAGATAGAATTGGAAGTGAATGAGTATCAGAAGTCTTGGGGTAAAATTACATTTAGAGGATGGGTTTCAATCGAAAGCCTATTGACATGCACCTGTTTTTTTTCTCTCTCTTTTTTCTTAACAAAAACCTACCATATCATACTCAGTCTAAATAACTCAAAGATACATGTCCATCTAAAACTGTGTGAGTCAAGGCCATTAGTTTGTCAAACCAAGAAATTGACTAAGTATACTGCTTCTAACAAATACCAACTTTAGACTATATGCAGTTTACTATAACTGCAGTCCAACTTGTGTTGAGTGATCACGCATGGGATAACACAGGTTGGACTGGGGTTGCCATTGACCATTTAATACAGGTTTCACAGATTAGGGGTATTATAAAAAGTGTTATAACATAGCTAGTAAATTTGTCTAATCAAATTCAATAGTATGCTTGCCTGTTCATAACTTGTATGTAAACTTGTCTGATCAGGGAATATTATGTTACTTAATGCACTACATACCTTTGTTCCATTACAGCCTGGGTCTCCCATCATACCACGAGGACCATCCTCACCGGGTATACCCTATAAATAAACAAAATGATTAAATAACCATTAAATGTGGCTAAATGTATTTAATCAAAGTTAGAATTAAGACATAACTGTGCTGCACTCTGAGGTGATAAATCTTTGCAGGATAGTCAGGGGGTCCTACCTATGGATTAAAAACTTTTACAGTTCTCTGTTTGCTATTCAGCTATTTTTACGTGTGATGACTCTCACATACTTGCGGTATGTCTTCCCTCTCTTTCACTGATGAATACTAATTATTTCTTGTTCCTCATATATATCAATAGTATAATGGTGAGTAATGGTGGCCGGCACCCTTCTGCGCTCTCACACATTTTCCAACTCCTTCCTAGCACTTAACTATTAGTGATGATTTTCAGAGTCATAACTACGGTAGTGGAGAGTAAACAAGCAAAAACATGATTTAATCAACAAGGAAACTTTGAAAGTAAATCCCAATGTTTTCCAGCTTTGAATTTATGGTTTAATATTCCATATAAATGTTCTCTGAGGTTTGACAGAACTTACTGGATTTCCATTTGCTCCTGGAAAACCTGGTTGACCAACTCGTCCCTATTGGACAAAAGAAGGGAATGAACACATAATTATCTGGTGTTACTTGTCAAAGCTTAACATTCATGAAAATATTTGTGCAATTAAACCTTTCACCCTGAGGAATGACCAAAAAGAAATATCTCTTTTAAATATTAGTTCACAAGCTTTTAATAAGAAAGATAAATAAGAAGGGTTAAAATCAACTAGGGGAAACTTGTTTGATTCAGCACCAAAATCTCATTTGCCAAACTTGTAAGAAATGTATAACAGAAATTGTTTAAAAAATTTATATCCCTGAAGTATGAAGATTGATATCACTTCAATGCCTTATCTTTATTACAATAAACTCTCTTAAGCCTTGTTCAAGATGAACTACTCAAGCACCTACTTACTTATGTTGATTAAAAATGAATGTGAACTTCAACTAATAAAAAAAATTACTTATAAAATGCTTTCAATTTAAGAATCAATTTGGTTTTCTACCTTTGTCTGCATATCATAAATTTAATTCACCACTGTTTTTTTCTTAAGGTTTAGCATATTTTTAATGAACGGCTGTAGTTGATAATAAATGAAAAATCTCAGTGGCCAATTAATTGATCTGCAGTACAACCAGAAAAGAACACCTGATAATCAGTTTGTTGGTAAACAAATGAGATTTCCTGTAAAGATTGTACTTACTCTTGGCCCTCTTTCACCAGTTGGGCCTGCTTCACCTTTACCGCCCTGAAATGAAGAATGAAAATGTTAAAAGATGAACAACAAGCTTGAACAATTAAAAAAGAACAACAACAAAAAACTCCTGTCTTTTATCTGTTGGGAGGGTTAGGTTGACTAGCACTCAATTTCTTCTTCCACCATCACCCCTAAATTGAACACCAAGGTCATGAGAATAAGGGAAATGATTCCATACTTGAGTACCTGTTTATTTTTGAAAATTCTTTGTCATGAAATGTGCAAAGAACAGAATGGAAAATAGAGTATGCTATATGAAAGGTTCAAGTATAGAAGAGAGTGAATCTTATAAAAAAATAAAACTTCAAGAATAATTGAAAGGTTCCAGTTAATTGAAGCATCAGTTGTTACAAAAAGAACATAGAGAAAAACACGGGTATCAAAACAGAAATTAGCTCCTCATCAAAATTACATAGCAGATAATCGAAACTCCAACCATAATTGTTGATGTATCATCAAAGAAACAGTAGTGGTATAGGCAATGAAATAGTTGGTGGACGCCTGATCAAACTCAAGATGCGAAATATATTCTCAAATCAAAGGCATGGATCACCCGATCGTATCGTATACAACTCAAGCAAAGAAGAGTTGATTCCCTTTGATCGGAATTCAAAGCTGTAAAACAACACATTTAAGAATTTCAGAATTCCTGAGTCTTACCTTATTACCTCTGGGACCGGGTAGACCTTCTGGTCCTTGAAAACCCTACAAAATAGATAAGGGTGAGTGCCATTCATCTAATTTTTCTCAGGAGTTATTCTTTGTAAGCTCCTCACGTATTGATTGTTGCTTGATTTTGAAACGAATATCATTTGGCCCCAGTTGAATTCTAAGGAAGTATGGTTTTGAAGATGAAGTAGCTCAGAGCTTTTGAAAACTTGACACACTTGTTTATAAAGACGCTCTTGAATCGTTTTTTGCGAAGTCAACATAAAAATGATATTTTCAGCGATTTGTTTTTGACATACTTGATTTAGGTTGTGTTTCTGGGATCCAGAGAGTTGTAATGGTGTAAAGTTGAAAACTTAACCCTTTAATTCCCAAGATCAAATTGTTAATTCTCCCATTTAGCTGCTGCACATTTCCTTGTAATTAGTTACATGATAAGTTTGAATATTCTCGTTGCCTATTTGCTGGATAATGTAAGGATATTATGGGGAGAAGTTTCATTTGATCACTTCTGGCAGTTAAAGGGTTAAGGGGCGTTTCAGATACATGATCAATGTTTGTTCCTGTGAAACAAATCAATCTGAGTCCCAACCCAGGGGATAAATGAAGAATCAATAACATTGAGCACTATAGAATGCATTCTGCCAAACATCCATTATAGTGATAGGCCAAATGTTTTAAAATTCCATTCAAGTTTTCCCACTCATAGTACAAGTAAGAGATTCATTACATTGATGCATGTGAAAGAATTTTAAAAGCAAAACCCTCCTAATTTTGAATAATCCTGAAAATAACAACATTCAAACTTTACTCACTGGTAAACCAGGTGGACCAGGAAATCCTTGTCTTCCTCTTTCTCCCTAAAGTGAGGAACATGATTGGTACAATTTAAATGCAACTATAAAGAGCAAACTTTTCCCTGTGTTTACCCCAAAACCAGTAGAGGTTTGGCAACATGATGTGTAGAATGGCTCTTTGCAGAGACAGTTATTGTAATTTTTGTCATCCAATGTCCAAGATCTTGCATAAGGAGTCATTAGTATTTTAAAATTATTTACCTGCAGATAGTGGAGGGACCAAAAAAGATTTTCATGTACATGAGGTCTTGATAAAGTGTGGTTGGGGTGTATTGCTAGGCAGCTAGTTCCAAACAGTCAATCACAATATATTAAATAATCATTCTCTGAAATAACTAGTGAATATTTACCAGGCCATGAAGTGACAAAGAAAAATCCGCTTTCTATTTACCATTACAAAGGTGAATGATTGTTTTATTGTTTACCACATAAGAACCAAAAAATTGTTTTACTTCTGTTATTGTCACAATTTTTTATCTTTGGCTGTTAGGAGGTGAATAATACTTGTCAATCACTTCTGAGCTAGCCAATCAGTGCACACAGAAAGTGCTGTTTACCAGTCTGGTATATTCTAATGTTTTTCATTCACTAGACCTTGGTTTTCATTTTGAGTGGGAATTAGATGTAGGTAGGGTTACGATGTTAAAACTCCATTTTTTTTGTTTTCTGCATAATTCAATTTTCAATTTATCTTTTGATGGGATTAGAACTTCACCTTGGTTCATTTTCTAACAATTTTCATGACTTTCCCTGAGAAACGTTAAAAACAGTTTAATTTCTGGAAGTAACCCATTTGTTTCTGGTTTTTTTTGGAGGAGAGGAGGGTATATGAACAAAACCAATATTAAAATTTTTATGGTTTGTCTTGAAATAGTGGCTACCTCACAGCTTCAGGGATGTATCTTGCTTTTTGGATTCCATGATATAACGGTTTTGAGTGGGTGTTAGATATAGGTTGGATTACAGTGTTAAAACTCTATTAATTTTTGTCCTCTGTATAATTCAATTTTCAATTTATCCTTTGATAGGATTGGAACTTCACCTTGATTAAATTTCTTACAACTTTCATGTCTTCTTCCAAAGAAGTTAAAAACAGTTCAATTTCTGGAAGTTACTTGTTTATTTCGATGTCTTTTTTTTGTAAGTGGGAAGGGTCTATGAATATACTCAATATTAGATTTTTATAGTTTTTTTGAAATAGTGGCTTCTTTAGGGCTTCAGGGATAGATTTTTGGATTCCGTGATATACCAGTAAACCACTTAATGTTCAACCACTTGTACTTCCAAATAAATGTTGCCAATTCTTAATCAAGTTAATTAATAATATGAAATAATTAAATTGAATTATTATGTTTTCTGAAAAAAAGCATCAAACTGATAATGAACTTACCCTTCCACCTTTTTCTCCAATACATTTAGGAACACATGATTGGCATCCTTGGCACTGTTGAAGCAAAAATCAAGTAATAATGTTAACATATGATTAAAGGGGATGTCTTTAAAGAAACTGTACTGCTGCATCAGTGGGAGAGTATAACAGGGTAGTTTAGTATTATCAACGGAATTGATAACTTTCATTAAAATATCTTTAGTACTATAACTGCGTGGAAATTAACATCTGGAATCATTCAGGGTTGCTGCTTGGCACTGGCTGCAAGCAAAATTTGCTGGATGAGAAACAGGCAACCACCAGTTGGATTTTGTGGCTGGTGATTGCTTTGTTTGTTAAAAACAAAGGATATTTCTGAAGTTATGCACTTCCATCCATTTGTCAATGAATGTCATCTTTTGACTGCTTCACTTGAAATTTTGCTCGGAGTTTAATTTCTTAGCTACAACCCTGATCACCCAAGAAATATGAGCATATTAATTCAAAAAAGTGCCTCATATGATATTATAGACAAATCAGACTATTTCTGAAAATATTTGAGTAGTCTTTGTGTTGATGGTTTGATGCTCTGCAGTTTTTTCTTTGAGAAATTAGTTTAATTTTCAAGTCTCTTGTTTTAAAACATCATGTTTTCATTATTCCTTAGTTTTTATGAAGTAATATCAGCATGAATGATGAGAAAAGCTTTCATCTTGCATTCAGATCACTGTACAACTTATTGGGCAAGCAGTCGTTATGCTTAAGTTGCTCTCTTGTCATAAATTTTATAGGAATACAAAGGAATATGGTTATTTTTGATGCCCTGTAGCCCGACAACTAAGAGCTGGCTAAGATTTAGTACATGTAACTGGGTGTATCATCATCAACATTATCAATACACTTCAGCGTCATTCGTGAGCATTGGGATTTCTAAAGGGTGTTATAGCAGGTACACTTCATCAAGTAATCTAAGTTTTTATAAGTGATCCAATAAGCAACCATTCATTATAGTTGAAGAGTTCACATCCCAATTTTCAGCAGTTGACATTTTTTTCATATTACACTGGGCAAATTAGCGGAAATTGCAAAATTATCTTCCTTGTGTTTTCAGAAACCTCAGTATAGTAATCATTAATAGGAGAGGTGAAACTCTTGTACGTTCTGTACAATTTTAAAATTGTCTTCTCTTGTGTTTTCAGAAACCTCAGTATAGTAGTCATTAATAGGAGAGGTGAAACTCTTGTACGTTCTGTGGCTGTTTAAATTCTAGAAAGAATAATTACAATGCTTATATCACAGCAAGGATGTATGTTGAAGGTAAGCTGCAGTATCATTTTTTTTTCCCTGCTAATTGGCAGTTTTTTTTAAGGCCACAGACTACATGGTATTTCTTTTCGGTACAAGTAAATTTGGAAAAGCCTCTTAACTGCTTTCACACTAATTACTATTCTCGTCTTAATCTGGGTGGGCCATGGTGGAATTCGTTAATTCTAATATTCCCTGTTTTTTCGAATGTCGAAGCTATTAATCTATTACCACCACTCCTTGCCTTGATAAGGAAAGTTAAGAGTTAAGTCTCCTCGTTCCTTTTTAAGTGCCAGTACAGATTAAGGAATTCAAGAAGGCTGCCATTCGTTGTATGGTTGAACACCTTCGTTAGGAGAGGTACCCTCAACAGAGTTCCAAAGAATTGGAACTTTCTATTACCTATGATATGCTCAAGGAAAATAAAAAATTCCCAACATTTCGAGTGGGCTTTTAGCAAAGATGATCATTTGTTTGTTTAATAAAATGGCTTTTAAATGTAAACATTTGTATTTGTTGTTATCGAGCACTGTAGAATTCATTTTAAAATTAGCTGGAACAAACAACATCCAACTTAAGAACGGACTTAAATCTTTGCTTAACTCTTAAGGATAAGTCTTTGGTGTGCATCCAAATCTGCTACAGTGCTTAAAAAATTGTAATCCCTCACAGCATAGGAAGTGAAAATTCCTTTCATATACAGGGCAGCGAAAGCCTCGCCTATATATTTGTGGTTTGACTCCCTGGCCCAAGACATAACAAACGTATGTATGTATGCTATGCCGAGTAAAAGCTATCAATCGAACAGTCTTCATGAAATGATATCAGCGATCTCAGTTGCATGACCAAGAAGAAAGTGAATATCAATTTTAACACGCCTCTGAGTTTTCTATCCTTTTAATGCAGCGGAAGCCCGATTTCACGCACTTTTGTTCAAGATTTAATTAAGAAGGAAGGTTACCACTAGTCCGATTTCACTGGGTTATTTAGGAAGTCACGAGAGCCAAGGAAAAAATTTGTAAAGACATTCATTGCTTTCACGATCTTTTCCGATAATTCTTGTTCGTCACGTAACAATAAGTTACTGCTGCTTTTCTTTTGCTATGAGTTCACAAACGCAATCTTTCTTGGTCGAAACATTTTCTTCGGCTTGAATGACCGGAAATAGATTTGGGAGAAGGATCGAAGGCTACCTGACGATTTGATATGAAAATAGATTGCACATATGGTCTCAGTGAGTCTGAATGTTTAATTTTTCGTCCCTTCATCGGCTTGTCGTTTAAAAAATAGCGACTAAATCTTGCCAAAATTTCGTGATTAGCCGGGAAAAAAACTGACGATCCCTACTGTTGATCCTATAATTCGTATATTAAATCATTGATCTCGATCTTGACTTTAGGGCAGTTCCCGGGAAGATTTAATGATCTTTTGGAATACCGATTTGTGGAGTTCTAATTACAAAACAAAGTCTCTGTTTTGATGATTTTTCCCGAGCGAGACTTATCTGGTAAACATATGGTGTCAACATAACGGAGAATTTTCTGTTTCAACCTAGTCTATTGTATTGTTTACGACAGGCTTAAGAGAGCTTTCGTCTTATCAGCGTGTTATTAAAGGGATTTTTTCCAAAACTGTTGCCGAGTGGTTATACTGGCAACGTACTTGACAGGTCTGTCACCCGTCTTTCGTCGGCTTAGCCACTTACGCACTTGTGCGACCTAAAGCGCGCGCGAGAGATTCACGCACCCTCTCGAAGTAGCGTGCGCGTTGTCACTTCAATTAGGAAATCCTCCGTGAAAATCGCACCCAATCAAACACTATTCGCGGTATGGAAAAATTGTCCCTCAAACGTGCTCCATCTCTAAACTCATGTCCGTCGTAGATTAAAAAAAAAAAACTTTCTGGATGTTATTTTCCGAATAAATTAGTTGAGGCAAATGGCAATCTTCATGCTTGTAAGCATAATTTTCTTTTAATGAAACATACCAAAGAGAGACTATACTTGCAATCGAAATTAGGGCAATCAAGGTTTGCTTTATAATTTGCTTGAAATTGTTGAAGTGTCCTTTTAGTGATAACTCTCCTCAATCAGGAAGATTTTGGGAGGAAAATTTAAGAAGTTCAATCTTGGGCCGACTGCCCGTTGTCCGCGGGGCCCAGTGCAATCAATATTAATATTATTGTAGGAAAAACAATTAAGACTACATAGCTGCCCGAGGTCTTACAAACAAAATGGCAACATAGCTAGTTAAGTCTTTGCAGAATAAACGCGAGGTCAGAGTCGAATTCCCCAATTTTCGAGCAGTATGTTTACTTGAACACTGATTATAGGCGAAACGGACTTTTATAATGGACCAAATAGTTTTAGAGGATGCTAGATGTACATAGAGATACGCCTTGTTAGGTTTATTTTTTACTGCCTAACTGAAAAAATATTATACGCTATGAGTTACGAGAGCGGCATGCGAATCCGAGCACATACGGTTTTAAATTATCTACAAGATCAGTGTTAGTGAAGAGGTGGAAAATTCGATGGAGTGGCTTAGAGCTAAGGAATAACAGTAAAATTGAATAAACATACCGCAGCATCCGCAAGAGGAGGATTCACCAGATAGAATCCACAAATTACAACAAAAACAGCGGCAAATTGGACTAAAAACCTGCAAGATGACAAACGATGGTTAAATACTGGAGATCACTACACGCGCGTGTTCGATTGGGATCTTCCATGGTGAGTATAGAACACACAAATGTAAAAACAAGATCGCGGCCAACACGTACCGCATGGCTAATCGATATATCCAGAAGCAGTTACTACGTTCGTTGTGCTCTTATCTGGACATACTAAGTTAACGACGCTTGTAGTGTAAAGAGAGTTTGGAAGTGTCGTTTGCTGATCGGTAACTCAATGGACAGCAGACCAAAATTCCGAGATTGAGAAAGCGGCTTTTGTTTCACGTTTGGTCACGGGTGATAATGTTTCACGGTTTATTGACAGATCGTGGAATTCCCGAGTGTCAAAGTTCTGCGATTGGGTGGGTTCGCGTCCACTCGGATTGAACAAAGGTTCAACTGTCCAGATCTCTCAACTGGTAGGTTGCGTGAAATTAATCTAATAATTGTGCGGAAATTTCTCAAGAATTTCTGCTGGCGCGTCGTTAGGGACTTAAGATCACGTTTAGTAGACAGTGGAAATTTTTTAGTTGTAGTGATTTTCTGCCAGCTTTCATTCTCAAGGTGGGAAGAGCTTGTTAGAGATTAAACATAAATTGGACGGTCACCAAAGCACGTAGAGGAGAGAAGATTGCATGCTTTCAGCAAACCGCGAAATTTTTGGATTTAGACTTAAGGTGTGTACTCTTCAGTCGCACGGAAGTTCCTTTAGGTTGGAAGGTCTGCTCACGATTCTGATCAAAATGCGTCAAATACGATTTGCTTTTCGTCAGAAAATATTCGACAGCCGGAAAAAAGCACTCCAAGTATTTTAACCGCAAATAGCTGTCATGCCTGACTGGTGATCTTCGAGTTGCTCCTAGACAAGATAAACACCCCGTGCTTGTGCGTCAAATAAATGATATTAACTTTGAAACTTTCATAATTTATTCTGCAGCTTTTTGATCTAAGGACTGATTAAGATTACGGATAATTCTCTTATGCCAGACAGCTTGACCTAATTTGCGTCCGCCACGACCTAACGAGAACGTAGGTTACGGACGCATGCCTCCTGATGGGAAGTTGAGGTTGAACGGAACGAAGTGTCATATAAATGGCATACTCTTATGTTGGGCTATAGAGCCCAACAGAGTTTTCTTCAAGTGACGTGATGTTTGCTTGGTATAGTCTTTTTCGTATTAATCACGCTTGACTTTCGGCACGCGAATAATCGTGAATTATGTAGTCGGACGCACTGAAAACGACAGAACTTGGTTTCTCAACGCGTGAACGATAATTCCACATTTTTTTTATGATCTTAAAATATTGTTCTTTGTGGAAAATCTGCTAATCTGATGAGCAAATAAAACATCTTTGGGTATTTATTAAGGCTGAACTCACTATAATGAAAGTCCCAGTTTGAAAACTGTCTTTTTTTTTTTTATTGCCCATCTCTTCTTAAACTGGAGTAATCACTTCTAGGGGTTTCACTTCAAAACTAAAAGTGTTGATGCCCATATGTTTATTCGAATCACGAATCCGTTCTTGTGTGTGGTCTTTTATAAAAAAGAAGACTTGTGTTACATTTTGTCAGCAGAAATTACCAACCAAAACCAAGAAGCACCATACACTTATCACAGAATGAAGGAAGGGAGTCAGTTCGCCAAGAACTCTCAAAAACTCAAGCAGCTCTACAAACCGCACTTGTATCTGTTGCAGCACCTCTTTTGACGGGTAAAATGTCAAAACATGAACCCCTGTTGGTTTAAACTGGTATATCTCTAAAGGTGATTTGGAATACTGTTGCAAGATGACAGAACGAGATAAGATCCAAGGGCAAGATAACTTTTAATTTTTGACATATGAGTAGCAAAAGACCTCAAGTCCTCTTCTTTTTAATTTTTTCGGTTGATGTGATTTCGGCGATTTTGTCCCCACCTCCTAAAGTGTCTGACAACAAGAGTTTCTTTAATGAAATAAGCTCTTTTATGCGCACGCTAAATAAATATAACCGCAAAACAGTTGGGGATCGATTGGTGGGGCTCAGGCGGTTTAAAGACTACTCCCCACCGGAAATATCGATCGGTTTATTCAATAAACATGCCGATCCTCAATTTTGCCGCGAAAAGGGGATTCTATCGGCGCCAAGGCGTGCTCAGCTATGCGTGTTATTGAGGTGGGACAGACACAATCTTAAACTTGATACTTCCTCTTCATCACACTCCGCCTTTGCTGACAATCCCTAAAATGTGAGGTTTACACGAGTGCCTGTCAACTGTCAGCCTCGCCTCCTTGGGGAATCGGAATGCATCACAATCGCTTTTCCCACTTCCTTTGAAGTGACACGGCCGTCCAGGCTCGGATAACAAACCCTTGTACTGTGCTTTCCACGAAGCGTGTCAACGATCCGCGGACTAGCTTCAGTTCTGCATGCCATAAACCTCTTGTTAGGGATTATTTGATATTTTTTCATTATGGGGTTGAGGTAGGTTTGCTAAAACTTGGCTCGATTTTGTTAAATTTTCGGTGCACGGTTGCGCGTCGCTTTTACCGTGGTTTTTACGAACGGATTGACTCATTTGTATTTTCTCTTGTTTCTCTTCAACAGGGCGGCCTCTCTCTTCGCCCTGATTTTCCTTGTTTGCAGAATAGCGAATTCACAGGTGAGGTTTATTGATCGAATAGTCTTAATTTAGTATTTTGGCGACAACGATTGCTGAATTGCCTTTGTTGTAGCGAAATATATGGGGGAAAACTAAGCGAGCGCCTCACGCCAACCTTCCACTCACTCGCGAGTTAACGCGCGTGGTAACATTCTGTCCGTGAATACTTCAACTGCATGTCTTTCTCTTTCACTTTATCGTCCAACAAGGTTAAGATCCTTCAAGTGTGCAATAAAATGGTGTTTATACATCGGGAAAGGCATTTTCTTCTGAATATTTTTAAACACCTCGTAGTAATGGTTTCGTTGAATCAACAAGCTTTGGGTTTAAAAATAAATTTGCTCTCCACATTTTTTTTGTTATATTGGTGGATGCCCTGAAGTTAGGTCTAAGATTTTATTACTTCGTGCTTGACACAATTTACTAAGAATTGTTCAATTGACCGGCATGCAATCAAATGCCCTAAGGGCATTAATAATAATCATTAATTTTCAGTAGGTTCGCCGGGTTTCATCGACTAAATGTCAAAAGGACAAACAAAATTATGCTTTAAAATGTTTGTATTTCTGTAAATGCTTGGAAAAATCAAAACAAGTAGTGTATGTGACTAACTGGCATGGATTTCTGAAAGGTCCTCAATTCCAGTCCTGTGAAAGATTTTTTACAGTGTATGAACCCAACTGCTATCAAGTTGTCATGTAAAAAAAATGGAAAAAAAAATGCCTTTGAAATTGAGTATTACTTTTTTAATTTTTATCGAGATTAAAATTCTTGTAGGGTGGGAGACACTTATGATAATATGGCAATTAGAAATAAACCAAACTGTAAAATACACAAAACAAACCATTCAAGTGAAGGTAATGACTATTCCAAACGTAAGAATGCATGAATATTTCTGTGTCCTCAACACTTTTACTCAAATGTTGATCAAATTTCTACAGAAAACCCCATGTGAACCTTTTGAGAGTATTCGACATTTGTCTAGAAATTCAAAGTAATTTGTTTAAATATCTTGTTTTCAAAGTCTTTGAATTTTTGGAGCTTATTTATATTAAAACATCTCTTCTGAACTTGGAAGAAGTTTTATAATCTGACTTTTATGCTCTGTCTCACATGGATGCAATTCACAGCAATCTGAAATTTGCACTTACCTAGGGTGGAAATTGACCTATAAACCGTATGGGAATGTTTGGTGTTTGTTTAAAAGTATATTGAGAAATACTGAAAGTTATTTTTAATTTTTAGGGGATGAATTTTCCTGGCTCGTACACACTAGAAAATAAGCTTTTTCCAGAGTCAGGAATGTGCATCTAGTTACTTGATGATTTGCCCAAGTGTGGATATTTCATGAAAACTGACAGTGTATTTGGGAACACTCGTGATTTCTTAGCTAACAGCCACATTGCAATCCTTTTTTAAATTTTTTTTTTGCTTTTTTCTTTAGCAAGGTTATAGCAAGAAGGTGTATTACTCCTTTTTAGAAATAGGCACAGATCTTCAGAATGTGGGTACATAAAATTAATTACATTATTTTTGGTTGCGTTCAGGATCAAAATGACGAGGAATGCAATTGTAAAGCGGGACCCAAAGGTTCAAGGGTAGGTAACTCATCATATTATGGAAAATAGCTTTGATTCATGATAACTTTTGTTTTTTTTAAAACAAAATTGAAGTCTGTTAACAGAATAAGGAAGGTGGTAAGTTTTTTAGCCCAGTAAAGAAATAGAGAAAGATGTTTTTTCATCTTGTGAAAAGTGTGGGACAAAGAAAAAATTCTTCCTTGTGAGGAATCAAACCTCAGACCTTTGGATTCCTTGCATCATACTGTGGAATCTAATGGTCTGAGGTTCAATTCCTCACAGGTACTAAGAATTTGTTCTTGAATTTGTACTTTGAATTTGTTTTGAGGAAAAAACATCTTTCCCCAAAATTGATGTCAGTATGAAAAATTATTTTTCAAGTGTCATAATATGCCACTTATAATGTAAGTGTAGAAACTTACTTTGTTTACAGCATGTGTGGTGGGCATTTGTCCAAGGAAAAGTGAAATCAGAAAATTGATTCAAATGAACTTTCCTTCCTCCTTGTCCCTTGAATACCAGCTTTAAGGATCATATCCCCAAAATATCCTTTTGTTGTGTCAAGGATAAATTGGATTCTTAGCCTTACCAAAATCTTTATAGGTAACCCTCAACTGCTCCTAGTATGCATTGACTCAAAGGAAATTTCTCCCAACATTATTGGTATATTTCCTGCTAGGTGGCAATGAGAAGAAAGAACAAAATCAGTCTGGGGTTATTGATTGATTTAGCACTGAATATTTACTGCTAAGGTTGAAATGAGGAAATCAGTTTTCATACCTTGATCGTAGTGAAAGGGTTATGCCAAACTGCATGTTTTCTTGTTTGAGGGAAGGTTTCAAATGTGTGTAAAAATGTTTCATGCAGAAATTCCCTTGATTTCTTTGAGAGCTATAAATTGTAATTTTTACCCTTGCAGGGAAGACCAGGAAAAACTGGTGTCAATGGTCCGCCAGGAGAGGAGGTGTGTAATAATATCTTAGCTTCTCTTCATGAGAAAGAGTTGTGAATGAATATTATTCATCAGATTTAGAACCTCTCAGAATTAGCAAGTGATGTTTCCTAGGTTTAGCAACAAGTAAACAACACTGACACAGACACAAGTATAAGTCAGGTGTTGAAATATAACTGATGATGAGATAAAATAAAGTTATAATCATGGTAATGTTATAAAGGAAATATTGAAATAATCCAATCAAACAGGAATTACATGAAAACTTTCAAATAATGACATGTCCTGGGTCGAAGTTAGGAAGTAACAATGCCATCTGAAATTTGTAAGTGAGGCAGCTTAAGGGCAGAGTCTGAAAGAAGGCCCTTTCCCCCTTCTACTGTCATGTTTTACACAGTTATCGCCAGCCAAAAATCTAGCCAGCAATCACCACTTTTTCACCCAGTGAGTTGCCAGTACTAAGCAACAGCTCTGCATGTTTTGAATAATGTGCTTTGCATTGGATAATGATAACAGAAACACATGTTGGTTTAAGACAGTATACAGAATTGAACAGCATTGGACATTGTTAAACATTTGATCAGTGTTACAGATGCTTTGGCTCATTTAAGGATTTAAAACTTATAATGGCTTAATTCATTCTCATTCAGAATGATATCTGAAACAAATGTGTTGTAACTCTTCTGAAATCTTTCAAAGCTTTTTGCTCATTTATTAATGTCCAATTCAGACAGCTAATGGTGACCCTTTGTGCAGGTAATGAACAAACTGAGATTCTTTAGGAAACATTGGGAAAATTTTTCCTCTTGAATGTTTGCCTATTACCTTGAGACAGATATAAGGTCACTTGACTATATTTAGTCAGTGTAAATTAGGGTCAATTTTGAGATTTGATTATAATCATTGAATTTGAATGAAAAAGAATTAGAAGCAAATGGAAATTATTGAATGGAAGCACCATCTAAAATATCGTGCATGTAGGAAGTTGGACATTTTTCAGCAATTAAATACTTGAACTTTCACCTTAGGTGTACGTGCTTCCCTTAAGTCCTTCATCTCAGACCACTTAAAACTTATTGCAAATATAGTAACACTGGTTGCAAGGTCCAGTTTCAAGTTAGAAATATTTTCTGTCAAATATATATATATGGCAAACTGATAAATTTGTATGACAATAACACTTGAAAGTTTTTTCTTTGTTAATTTGTGACTGCAGTAAAGTTCTTGAGTGTCAAACATAGAAAACTGCACATCAGGGAAAGTATCTCTGAAATGTTATGGAGATGACGTGAATTATGGTGCTAATCAGCTGTGGGATAGTTTGTTATTTCTTTGTCTGCCCTGATCTCTGTTGTGACTGGTGATTGTAAAATTTGCACTGTTAACCCTTCCTAAAGTGCCCCAGGCGTTCACAGTCTTATACAATTCACATTTTATTTTGATTAAGGCATGTGGCAGGAAATTAAATTGAGGAGAGAGAAAAACGTATGCACTAATAATAGATAATTAAAATGACCTATGTAATTATATGTATGTATGTTGTGTATGTATGTATGTATACTTCATTTATCACCACCCCAATGGGGGCTTTTTAGGGCCAGTATGCACGAGTGACTTTATAAATGAATGACTAGGTGAATGAACAAATAAACATGGTGTTCAAAAATCCCAACTGTCAGGAGACAGACCATGCTATAGACATAGCGCAGTTGAGGAGTTGATCATGCAGCAACTAAGAATAAATCCATTTAATAGCAGGGTGAAGGGCTTGAACCCAGACCACTAGTCTGATTAAAAAGCCAACACCCTAACCACTTGGCCCTGCAGCCGCCTTTAGGAATGTTACCTGGTTATAGTGATACGTGATGATACCATGAATTCCACCCTTTTTCGTTGTTTTCTTCTTAGGGATTTCCTATCCTTTACTTTGAATTAATCTTAAAAATTTCCTCTTTACATTACTACTGCTGATAAAATTTCAGTCACTTTACCATTTGTTCATTATTATAATGATTATGAATGGTTTTTCATATGAAAACAAAAACAAGAGATGAACTGACTGGACCCCTTAATTTAAAGTTGTTATGTTTCATTTATGTTCCAAGATTTCATGTTTGTCTTTGTGCTATAGGGTCCTGCTGGAAAAGATGGATTACAAGGCCCCAAAGGCTATAAGGTGATGTTTCCAGATTTGTTTCATTTTGGTAAAAACTTCAATATGAGCTGCTTACATGAGTTCTAGGGGTGGACCTAGAAATTACCAGCCTGAGGCAATGGAGAAATTGGGGGTGAAATTGCAGGCTTCTGTTTCCCATATAACCCATTTATGGTATTGCAGCAAGGCACAATACAGGATAATTTTTGCGTTTTGGTGTTCCTTGTTATTTCATTTGAGAGAACAACCTGTTACCATAGGCATTTAGTGTGCATATTCAGGTAATCTGACTTTGAATGGCAGATAGCTTTTTATTAAAAAAAAATTGTTTGACAGTGAATTTGAATTAAGGGAAGTTCTGAGATTGATATGATATTAACCTCTGATTGAACAATGCTATGTGAAAGACAAAAAGGTTTACTTATAAAAACTAAGAAAGGGGAGCATGGCCCATTTGTTGCTCCCCTCTTTCTTGATGAGCCCCTTCTCTTTATCAGGTATGACACACCTACAATAATTGGCAAGCATTTTGGAACATTTGATAAAAACACTGGGCATGGTACTCGGTTGTCATGTTCTTTCTTCACAGAGAAATCCTTTGGCCTCTTCTCTTTGTGATTAGACACACCCAGGAGTAAAAAAGTTTCTGTCAGTCTTCATTTGTTTGATGGGAATAGGTTTTTGTCTCTTCATGGGAAGTGTCCAGAAAGGAATGTTTGTTGGTGTAGGTTTCACTAGACCTTGAATGCATGTTAATGTTGTTTATGATTTTTGAATTTCTGTTTAAGGGGGAGGCTGGAGTACAAGGCCCTACAGGAACACAAGGAGATCAGGTAAAATAAAAGCAAAGGATATATTCTTAGTCAACTCTGAAAATAGCATAATTTGAGATGCAAAGTTTTATCAACATAACTAGCCGTTATTTCTGCTGGTTAAAGGTGAAAAAAGGAGCAATGATTTTAGTAAAGGAAATTCCATCAAAATGAACAATGATGTACAATTAAGAAGAAAATTTTATAGTCATTCTTAGAGGAGTCAGTGTGAAAAAGAAAAGAAAGATAAAATATTTTATTTTTTAGGATTTAGTTTGATCTCTGGGCTAAAATTGTAAGAAATGAATGGCAGACATTGTGGAAAATATCTTAATTTTTGGAGTGAAAGGGTTGATTAGGATAGAAGGGAAATGAGGTTAATTTTAAACAAAACCCTTTCTCAGTCTACTCATTTCACAGACTGACTGTTTCCTCCAATGTTTGTACCTGAAATGTTGCTAACATTTCTTAATACAATTTTTTCATTCCCTCAAATTAATACCTTGTCTTGAATTCTTTGCTTGTTAAAATGTATATGTAATTTTTTATTGCAGGGAATGATTGGAGTGCCTGGATTTCCTGGCATCAATGGTATACCTGTAAGTACTGGTATTTCAATTAGCTTTTGCATTTAAAGAGCACTTTTCTTCATTCTGTATGTGTATGGTTTTCATGTTTAAATGTTTAACATGTGTGGTATACCACTGCTTCTGACAGAATTAAACATCGTTTTGATCCATTTAAATTCTAGGGAGTCCCAGGAATTGCTGGACCAAAAGGTTTCATGGGACTCTGCGGATGTGATGGTGATAAGGTAACACTCAGCATACAACTTGAATAAAAAAACAAAATGGTTTGAATAGACATTGCTATACATGTACAATACTTCTGTCAACTAATTGGTTTGAGAGGCTAAAAGTATTTGTTTTTTGTTTTTGTTAACTACAAACCATTTACAAGTAACTTTATTCAACATCCAACATTGATAAGTAGTCATTCACAATTTAAAACCTGGATTACAAGATCTCTGCAAATCAGAAAATATATATTGGCTAGGCTTTGGAAAAAAAAAAAAAGAAAAGTGTGATTACTATGAAAAAGTTTTTTTATGGTACAGGTCAGGGAAGCCAGAATGTGCAGTAGGATTAACATTGAGTTTAGCATAGATCAAACGTTGGTTGTGTGTTTAGAGGCTCATTAGCTCACTTGAAATTGAAAGTCAGAGTAGCTTGGCTTAGTTCTCATAGACCTAGAACTTGAATGACTTGATGAACAAAACAAGGTGGGATTCATAAGGAAATAAAACCTGTGATACAGAAGACCTAATTATGCAAATTTTTTTTTTTATCACAATCATTCAATGATGAAATATGTCCAAACATTTTCCACATGCTAACTGCTCAAATGCTTCCTTGTTAGGGAGAACCTGGCCGCACAGGAACAGATGGTACAATAGGGGTAGCAGGAGATCCTGGAGAGCAAGGACCTAAAGGCCCTGTGGTATGACCCTTGACCTTTATTGTTGCAGGAAAGACCAAATAGGAATTTCTACTTTCAATATCAATGAAGTTTGAGGCAACCAAAATACATTGTTTGGTTTAACATCAATTTCTTAGAGCTAAAATGATGAGAAACTTATGGTAAAGAGTTTTAAGGAAATCTATAATCAAATGTTGGGAATGAAAGGTTTGCATGTGCCAACTTACTCTCATTGTCCATGATGACAAAAAATCCCCTTAGTGGTGGTGCTATCAGTTGTGTTCATAGTGGCAGTGCTATCAGTTGTGTTCATAGTGGCAGTGCTATCAGTTGTGTTCATAGTGGCAGTGCTATCAGTTGTGTTCATAGTGGCAGTGCTATCAGTTGTGTTCATAGTGGCAGTGCTATCAGTTGTGTTCATAGTGGCAGTGCTATCAGTTGTGTTCATAGTGGCAGTGCTATCAGTTGTGTTCATAGTGGCAGTGCTATCAGTTGTGTTAACAATATCTCAAACTTTGCAAAGTTAATTTGTCAGTTTATAATTTTAAAATCAGTAATCAGAAAGCATCAGAAATTATTAATTTAATATCGTTTTTTGAAATTATTTTTAGGGTGACCCCTATGATGGGCCAATTATTGCAACAAAAGGAAAGCCGGTAATGCATTAGCTGCATAAATGATGCCGCTCAAATGGTCCAACTTAGACACAAATCAGTGTACTTTGCCTTCAACAGAAGGTCCTGGAGAAGAGAGAAGAGGGTCTGTGGGGTATATTCCCCCCATAGCCTGAATTCATGTCAAACATTAAACACTGAATTTGAAAGATTCCTATATTTGACCATTTTGTCCAAAATTTGGCACATAGAAATACAATAATTGTTGTTATTGAAGTTAATAAGCCTCCTCCCCTGCATAATGCCCAACCCCTGAGCCAGAATATCAAACAAGTACCCCCATCACATAAGCACTCCCCCTCTCCTACCTCACTTTCCAAATCGCAGAGATACAGGGAAGACCTGTTTTTATTGCATCTTTATTTATAACTTTTCACGCTTCAACTACAAGGGAATCAGTACAGGAGAATGATAAGTATCTCCCTTACCCCCTCCCCCTCCTCCCTCACTTTCTAAGTAGCAGAGATACAAGGAAGACCTGTTTCTATTGCCTCTTTAGTTATAACTTTTCATGCTTCACCTTCAAGGGAATCAGTACAGGAGATTGATAAGTGCCCCCCTCAAATAATTGCCTTCTTTCTAATAAGCACCCTCCTCTTCTTAGATAAAATTTTGAATAAGCACCCTGGGTGTTTATTCATGGAAATATGGTGTATATTATTGCTTAAAATATAAAAAAAACTTTAGCCTCTATATCTACTTCATCCTACCTCTTCTTTTCACTTAAGGAATCAATTGCTGATAACTCATTTTTTGTTGTTGTTAGGGTGACACAGGAGCCAAGGGAGAAATGGGGCCATCAGTAAGTACTTTAAGAGCAGTTCATTGGCTCTCTTGAAATTGGAATAGAAGCTTCTCACTGTTTTCATGTAACTATTAACTAATAGTAACTCAAAATCACATTTTCTATTGGAAAGTAATCAGAGATTTCATTGGTGTTTTGTTTCGCTGTGCTTTGTGATTGCCCCAGAAAATTTTCAGCCCAACAAATCAGGTGTGTAATTAGACTATTGCACCTCAGGCTTGTGGATTTTTCCACAGTTTTAGGAGTTTTGTAGCTTTAACTCCAATTTTGTGAAGCTCTTTGTGATGTGTTCCTCTGAATTGTTTGGTGGGATGATTATGTTGGTTTGTTGCCACACTTTTGCAAGAAGGGCTTTCATGAAGGCTTGGTTAATGTCTAGTTGAAGTATAGCAGTATACAAGTACAGTCAAACCTGTATTAAGGGGAACTGTATTAAGCAGCCACCCTGTATTAAGTGGTAGGTTCTTCAAGTCTCAAATTTGTTTCTCCTTAACCACAGTATAATTTCCCCCTCTATTAGGGCCCTCCTGGAGAAGTTGGTCCCCCTGGTATACCTGTAAGTAATTAATTTGCCACTATTGTAAGAAAAATTCCTACACTCCTTGAATTTGCCTATCAGGTTTTCTAAGCTAATGGGAGTTATAATATCCTTGACAAGATTTTGAGTTGATAAATGTAATTGCCAAAATCTAGCAACTGCTATGGATATCAAAAAACATGCAAGCATGAGAAATTAACTTCTGAATGGTATGATAGTTAGGGTTGAAATTTTTTAGCGTTGTTTATAACCATAAGTTAGAAAGCTTTTTTGGCTTGCATGTGCTTTATAATCTGAAATGAGCAGATTTAAAGCTGGTTTGAAAGTGGTTTGCAAAATGAACAAAGTTATGGCAATTTAACAATTGTACACATGTGTACAAATGTATGTGTACTGAAAGTTTTCTCTCTCATCAAAATAAATTCAACATAATTTTGATCATTTAACATTCTGTTATTGTCAAAAAAAAAAAAACTGGTATAGACAGAATTAAAATGTATATTCTTCACCTTTGATTTACTTTTCAGGGAAATCAAGGCCCCATTGGCGAGAGGGTAAGCACAAGTTTGTAGATCTGTTTGTTCAAGTTGATTATTCAGTTGAAAACAGTTGCAACAGTTGATTGGGCTCATCAAATTGTCTGCTTCTGTTAAGAATTCATCACACTTTCTAATACTTAATATGCTATTTTATCCCTTATACATGAGGTATCATCTGCACACATCTTTTATAGATACTTATCACTCATGAATGCTTCAATGTCTTCAATTTTTTCTTTTTTGCAGGGTGAAAAAGGGAAGCAAGGACCTCAAGGAGAAGATGTAAGTCAAGTGGAACTGGACTAGGGTAGCAATAACAAGAACTTTGGACTTTTGTGAAAAAAAAACTTTAAGGAGGAAATGCATGAAGCTATAGCTCAGTGGATAAGCAAAGCAAATCTGTAGCAAGAGATCTGGACTTCAAAACTATCAACACCTTTTTTTTCACATTACAAATGAATTCTTCTGAACTTTCATTTTAAGGGTTCACCAGCTGATGGGGATCTACTGTTGTTGGAAGGAGAGAAAGGAGACATGGTAAGTACATATTCTTCTTACAATGACACAAAGAAATCCAGACAACTGTCTACTGTATTAATGACATTGCAATTGCATGTACAGCTTAAGGTACATTAGGCCACAGTTTCAAGTCACAGCTAGCAAGCTCCCAGCTTTTTCTCTAATTTGCTCTGATGAAGGGCCAATACACATAACTTCAGCTTTAGAAACTCTTTTTGGTGGCCCATTTTCATAATCAACTCAGTTGATAAAACTGAAGAATCTTTTTCCCATAATAATTAATCATATTTGGGTCTAGCTTAAGGTCTTTTTCATGTGTTAACTTGAAAAAACACAAAAAATTACTAGTAATTCAACATTACCCAAAATAAAGCACTCAAGTACACAGTTTGTCATTTTTAGAGAGGCTAAATTTTGCAAACCCTAACCCTAACCCTAACCCTAACCCTGTGTCATGAATCAAAGAAATGCTCCTCCTGAACTTCATTTATCCACAACATCAGACAAAAATGGTTAAAGTTAGCTAGTTTTTCTTTCTATTTTTGGAATGGTTTGATAAATATACCTAGATTGTCAAATCTCCCACCCCAAGGACCTGATTTATTGTTTGATTATCGTAACATAATTAGTGCTTCCACTCCTAAAGAAAGCTAATAATAATGATAATAATATTGATGATAATAATGACTGTGATAATGATATTAACCATGTTGGTAATAATAAATATCTAGTATTACTTAATTTATTAGATCTACATTCCTTCGAGTGACTAGCATCTAATTTTTCCTCACAATATCACCCTTAAATCACACATTAAGGAAATGATCACCAACTTAAGAAGCTCTTGATCGTGGAATGAATTCTCCTTGTCAACACCATAGGATATGTACAGAGAACATCATGAAGAGTATACATGCTCTGTCATTGGCTGGTATAATTGGTCGAGCTGATAAATTTTTTTTCCATGTTCTTCAGAAGGGTGCATTTGGTTACACTTTTATACTTTTGTTTGCTTTAGGGTCCACCTGGAGAGGAAGGAGATCGAGGCGAATTTGAAATTGTTACTCCACCTGAAAAAGATATTCCAGAAGGGGTAATATATGACTTTGTTTTACTACTTTCAGTGTACTCTAGAAGCCCTGGTGACCATTGTTTTTACTGGCTCTCTTTTTGTGTAGTTACTTTAATAGAAACCATATTACAATCATGTCCTAATCTGAATTATATAATAAGCTCAGTTATGCACACATTCTGATTGGTTCTCACATATGATCTATTGGAGGACAGACGTATAGATGACGTCATCATTAAAACTTTTTTTAATTCTTTATTATATAAAACAAATAGATTCCAAGTTGTCATGTGTCCGTTCAGTAATAGATCAGAGAGGATGTCAAAATGTGGTAAGAACATCAGTGACACACTCAGCTGCGCCTAGTGTGCCACTTTTTTGTTCTTACCACATTTTGACGTTATCTGTGATCTATTACTGAACAGACGCACGGCAACTTGGAATCTATTTGTTAAATAAATGCATCCATTACCAGCAAAAGTGAGCAAAATTGAATCACCTGTACATGTAGCACTTACTACTTTAACCCTTTAACTCCCAGGAGTGACTAAGACAGAATTTCTCCTTACAATATCAATACAATATCAAGCCGACAAGTGATGAGAATAAAGAAAAATATCAATTAGGAGATTATCAGTTGATCCAATACCAAATTCTCCAAACTAACATCACAAGAACTATATGGTAGACAGTAAGGAGAATTACTGATGAGATCTTGGGAGTTAGAGGGTCAAGTTAATGATATTGGTTACAATTATTTTACTTTGCATTTAACAGAATAGCAAGGGACCAAGAGGTGAACCAGGATCTCCTGTAAGTACCTTTCAGACCACTTACCGTTGTTTACATGTAACAGTCTATGTGCTAAATGCATCTTTGACCCTCAACTGAATACACTAATAGGGCTTTTTTGCTCAGGGGTGGAACCTGAAAATTCAGCATTTAGGGTCAGTTTATGGATATTTTTATGATATTAAACAATGCCACTTTGTACCCCTCAATAAGCCTATGGGATGATCTAGAGTTTTTTTGAGAAGAAAATTTCGTTTGTCTCTTGCTTCACTTTACTTAGAGTCACACATAGAGAATTTGCAGAGGTGACTGTCCTAGATTACATTGATCTGTTTGAATACAAAGGTCATTCAACAGTGCAGGATAGATTTGTTTGATGAAGTTCTTGATTTAGTGAATCAAAGAAGAAATTGACAGACTTGATCCAGTAGTCTGTTAGGTGTCATTGGAATCAAGATTTAGAGTCCCTGCTTTAGACGCTTTACAAGGGATTTTAATAGCTCGATAAGATGCAATTCTTTACCAACCAAAGTATGCGCTTCTATAGCATCAGCTGAACAATTCTACCAAATTAATCAACTCCCTCTTGAATAATACCCATGAACAACTTGCAGAACAGTTTAATTGTTTTTACACTCAAAGGTGGGGAATTTACAAAATGAAGGAATTTTTTACTTTGGTGTGAGTCTCAAATGTATTTTTTTTTTTTTTGTAACTGTTATGATTAATTGGTAACAGGACTCCAATTCTGTAGACATACTCATGATTAACAAATCAGACTCCTGCTTCTTGATCATCTAATTTTGTTGATCACTCGCATGATTACAGATGGAACTAGACTCCACTCAGTCCTATTACCATTATTAACCTTTTAACTCCCAGAAGTGATTATCATGTATCTTCTCCCCCTATAATATTCATTCATTATCTGGCAAAAAGGTAATGAGAATACTCAAACTTGTCAGGAAGAAGTTTTTATATTGATCTAACACCAAATTCTTGCAACCTAATTACAAGGAGATGTATAGCAACTAGAGGGGAGATTAAACAATCAGATCTTGGGAGTTAAAGGGTTACTCAGTGTATTATTTGTCCTGTTGTAGGGTGGTGATGGTGCCAAGGGAGAAAAAGGAGACCCGCCAACAGAGAGGGGTGAAAAAGGAAAGCCAGGACCAGTTGGAGACCCAGGCCCTGTTGGAGTACAGGGTGATCCTGGAGATGAGGTAAATGAAGTACACTTGATCCCCCACTAGTAACCACCTCTTTGAAGTGGTCACTGTCATTTATGGTTGGCAGTTCATACAATCACTGCAGTGTTAACCCTTTAACCCCTAAGAGAGACCAGCATCTAATTTCTTCCTACTGTTATACTGCTGAATTAAATATTAAGATCATGAGGATAAAGAAAAGGATCACCATTCTAAGAAGCTGTGATTGTTAAATAAATTTTCCTAGTCAATAACAAAGGATATGTGTAGAGAGGCGTATAAAGAAAATGGATACTGATGTTGGGGTGAAAAGTGTTGAGGGCCACTACAGTGCCTCTTAACTGTCAAAATAACCACTTGATAACAACTAGTTAATCACTGGCTGATGAACACTGTCAGTGGTAAAATATTAGACCTCTTGCTCAAGCAGCTTTACTTCTTCGGAGCATAAAGTTTTGGTTTCTCTGTTAATGATGTTGTTTGATGGTGTGTTACATAAATTATTAGCTGCAATGAGCATTTTTTTTCCAGAAGGAGAATTAGTCCTACCTTTTTGTATTGACCACCTCCCTACCAAAGATTCTTTCTTCTGTTCTCATAGTATAGCCATTGAGCAGTTGTTCCACTGTATCATAGCTGCAGAAATGCATATATTTGTGTGTGGTCATTTCAGGGCAGTCACAGCTTGTTTGATTATTTGTTTACAGTCTTTATAACTATGAACAAAGAAAAGTGAAACAAATAAATCCTTTTAATGCTTAAACCCTTAAGAGTGACGTGCATCTAATTCCTCCCTATAATATCAACCCTGAATCACACATTAAATTCACAGGAATAAAGGAAATGACCACCAACTAAAGAAGTTCTTGATTGTTAAACAAATTCTCCTTGCTAGCACTGTAGGAAATGTATGGAGAACAGAATGGAGGATATACAAACTGATGTTAGGGTGTAAAGGGTTAAATGTATTCAGATATGACACCTTGTCTTTCATGAAGATTTATATCTGACTTGCTTTGCAGGGAAATGCTGGAGCCAATGGAAATGATGGAACCATTGGTGCTCGGGTAGATATATATATTAACATAGATACCCTGCTAATTAATATGTAATTACATTTAATAATTTCCTGCTTTTGCATGAGTGTGTGCAATCACTCCTTTTTGTATGGAATGAGTGAAAAATGGTAAGTAGAGATTGTGAAATTGTTTGGAGTTGAGGTGGAATCCTCCTCAAGGGAACAAGTGAAAGCTAATTTGATAAAAGAGAACTTTTAATGTAACTAGAAGTTTCTTGCAAGTTAATTTTAAAAAGGAATTTAGATACTTTTGCATTGGCTGTGTAAAAGAAACTTTGGATTCAAGGTAACTTAATTTAAAATGTTCATGCTTTCTCAATAGGGTGAGCCTGGGCCTCAAGGTGAACAGGGTAGACCTGGCCCTGACGGTGACAAGGTATGTTGATGACATTTTTCTCTGTGGGATTTGCTACATAATTGCAGCAATTATTATGTTTCAGTTAGACTTGACCCACTTTTAATTGTTGACCCAAGTTCAAATGGCCTGTTTGCATCATCCTCTACCTGTATTGTAAGGTCACTTAAAGTGGAACCACTCAGATAAACTAAGAATAATCTTTGAAGAATAATTTAAAACATATTTATCACCTGAAGTCAATGTTGGTAGCATTTTTGAGTGAGTTTTTGTGCATTAAGCAGTCAATTATGGCATAAAATGCCATTGTTTATCATTTCTTTATTTAAAAACCCCTATTATGTGGAACCTGTATCAAGTGGTCAACCTGTATTAAGTGGTCATCACGCCATTCCCCTTGGGTGACTGCTTAATACAGGTTTGACTGTATTTGGTTTGGCCTGATTTTGTATGCCTTTTTAACAACGCTACCTGAAATAATGAATTATTTATCAAAAAGGACTATGGGGATTTTTGATGAAAATACCTTGCCCACAGTACACATACCTTTGTAATGGAAATTTTAGTTTAAAAAGTTAATATTCCCTTTGAAAATCCAAGATCACATCGTTATTATGGTAGGTATTTGAAGATTCGAGGTATTGTTTGATGGGTTTTTTTTCCCTCTAATAAATTTTAACACTTGTGTTTGATTCAGGGTTTGAAGGGTAACCCTGGACCTGCTGGCCCTACTGGTTCAACAGGAGAAAGAGGGGTAAGTTTATTAATTTATTAAATCCATTTTGAAATCATTCATGCTCCTTACAATCTGATTGGTTCTTGCTGGTGTGTTTAATTTACAAATCGCACCATTTTATGCTCTAAATTGCACCCTTTTTTCAACCAATAAGACAGCTTTACGTAAACACAGCAACCAATCAATTTCAAGGTTTGTGTAGAGAAATCAACCAAATTACAGGAAAATGAGAGACAACTTATGCAAATTTTTACAAAATAGATCAGTATACTGGATCAATAACGAATTTTTCGGACTAAAAAAACTGTATTGAGCACCTGAATTTTACAATTGTGTCTTCTACAACCAAGTAAGTGCTGACAGGCTTCAACACTTCACAATCATTGTAGATTATTGTTACTGATCAGGTTTGATAGTCAAGGCAAGAAATAATTTCCTCTTGCAATAGGACTGACAACAGCAAGTTTCATGATAACATCCAGTTGTTAAACAAATAGACATTTTTGGTAGGGCGCGTACTTTTGGAAGGATTTAAATCATGATTCTTGATCCCAGATCACTTTGAAAGGAAAGGGTTTTTCAATTGAGTTATTACTGTTGATACATATTTATTAAAATACTTTTCTTATTTTGACAGGGTGGAGTGCCAGGCCCACCAGGTGGTCAGGGAATGAAAGGAACGGCTGGACGTCCTGGTGAGAGTGGACCGTCTGGTGAACTAGGAGATGCAGGAGCCCCCGGTTTTCCAGGTGCTTCTGTATTTGGACCCAAAGGCGAAGTTGGTGAAACAGGGCCAATTGGTCCCCCAGGGGCACCTGGTACTCCAGGTAAAATGTCCTTTGGTTACCTTGATTCCCCATTCCCTTTCCCCGTTTTAAACGGGGGAAGTTATGGGACACGGCAATGATTTAGTTTGATTCACTGTTCTCTGTGATTGTTCAAGAAAACCTACATTGCGTCCTCAACCAATCAGATTCAGAACCCATCTCATCTTTTCCACTTGTGTTTTCCTCAATCTTAGCAGTTCATTACATAGATGGTTTATTCTATTACTCTATTGAAAAAGCAGGTATCTGGAGGTATTACTAACCACAACTCCTCTAAAGGCTCTTCATGATGCCTATTACAATTCACGTTTTCCTGCTCAAGTTCGCAAAGTTGAATAGGTTACTTTATTTGAACTGACTTTGATGGAGGTCAAAAGTTGCGATCACGGTTGACTCCAGACTCAGGGAAATTGAAAAAGGTTTTCCTTACCAGGAGTTAGAGTAAGGGGAAATTGAGAATGTTTGACTGCAAATTGGGAAATATGACTCGAGCAAGCAGAAGGATAAAGTTAGTTATAGTTTGAGTTTCTGAGAGTTGACTTAGCTCGTTTACACCACTTTACACTCACCACTCAATTTTAGGGACGATTCGTGACAATTGCTTTGTATTACGTAAATAGAAGAGGAAGGGAGCAGCTCTTGGTAAAATATTTTCATGGCCAGTCCGCAGACTCCACTGCGCCTTTTCTTCCACCTTTGCAGGTGTTCAAGGTATGCTGGGAGATCCTGGACTACCTGGTGAAGAGGGGCCGCAAGGTAGTAACGGTTCACGTGGCGAACCAGGAAACGATGAACCTGGACCCAAAGGTATGGACGGGCCACCAGGACTAAAAGGAATTGTTGGAGTTCAGGGCGAGTTAGGACGCAAAGGACCAAAAGGTAACCAGTCTGTTTTTGTGTTGTTTTCTTTTTCATTTTTGAACTCAATACGCTGTTGAAGTACATTAAGATCGACCAGGGCCACAGCATTTTAACCCTTAAACTCCCATGAATGACTAAGACAGAATTTCCTCTTACAATATCAATAAAATGTCAACCAGGTAAGTGATGAGAATAAAGGAAAATATCAATTTGGGGATAATTAGTTGATTCAATACTAAATTCTCTGAACTAACAATGTAAGAACTGTATGGTTGACAGTAAGGAGAATTACAAATTTGATCTGGGAGATAAAGGGTTAACTGCAATCACGGGTGGTCTAGTCTGGCTCCAAATGAATAATACTTACCTTGCATAAGTGTTGTGTTTTCAACTGACGGTGCGCATCTGAAGCGATTTCAAAGCTATTTTGGTGGAGTTCAGATTTCATTTTGTACTGCTTTGAACATTAAATATCCTAATTACAGTTACTCCTCGAAGTGGCTGGCGTAAGTCGACCAACTTCACCCTGTGAATTGCTTGAAAACGGTTCAGACTCACAAAATAACCATTATTGGACGTTCCGGTAAAAGATCATTCAGTCTGACCCTTTTACAGTTTTTTGTAGTTTTGTTGACATGTTTCTGGGCTTTTGACCTCTAACAATGTCATTGCTTGTGTCACTAGTCATAAATATACTCTTAGTTTCTCCAGCAGCGTGCAACCCACGCTGCATGTATGTTACAGTTATTATGGTATTGTATTTGTATATTTTGCGGAGCAGATGATGGGCTCTAAGACATGAGATGATGCTCCAGAAGCTACGCATCCTTGGGACTTGTATTTACCGCGAGGTCAAACGACACTGCGTTTCCATCGTATAGTGTCCTGTGCTTCAGAATCGCAAGTAAAATGACATAAATTTTTCTTTAAAAAAGTGCAGCACAGTATGACAATTTTGTGTTACTTTCCTTTCTTCAGCTGAACCATATTTTTGCCAAGAGGCTGACTGTCCACCTCCCAAAGTCGGTGCTCAGGGGCCACCAGGGTCACCAGGAAATCCAGGAGAAAGGGGCAAACAAGGATTACGAGGAGAGCAAGGTGGAAAGGACACGTGTCCTGTTTGTCCGCCAGGACCCCAAGGTCCTAAGGGGGCTAAAGGTGTGCCCGGTGAAAAGGGACTTCCTGGAATGAATGGTACAGATGGAAACAAGGGTGCAGAGGGACCGACTGGGCAACGTGGTCCACAAGGCCCTGATGGTTCACCTGGACAGAAGGTATTGCAACTCTAAAATCTCACACCCACCGAGTAACAATTTAGGATTTTTACCAGAATTGGCGGTGGTGGCGCAATCTGATTGGTCAATTTGCCGTTGTCGATAAGAGCACAGACAACGGTGCTCGCGTCAACGTTTCACACAATGGTCACGTACTGAAAGAATCGTTTTCTTTGACGTTGATATTGTGGACTCATTCCGTTACGCCTCGTAAATCCACAACATTTTGACCACTCCTTGTCAGAACCCTAGTAAATGTCCAGGGAGTTGTATGGAGAATATGCATACTGATCTTAGGAAGTAAAGGGTTAAGGAACTTCACGCTGACTGTTTATTTTGGTCCATACACTGTACATGTATACTGTAAATTCCAGAGATTTGTCAAGCTTCATCTTTCCTTTAGGGTGCCGATGGTTTTGAAGGAGGCCAAGGGAAAAAAGGAGAAAAGGGTGATGCGCCTGTTGGTGAAAGAGAAGAGGTTTATCAGCCGCCAGGTCCGCAAGGTGACGAAGGAAGCCCTGGTTCAAAGGGTGTGCGTGGATCTGCTGGTAATAATGGGTCTTCTGGACTCCCTGGTCCGAGCGGAGAAAAAGGAGATGTAGGGGCACCCGGAATGTCGGTAAGATATTGATAGGTATTGTTTTAGAGACTTTCAGAGTCAGTGTGGAATGTTAAATACCTGACGGCGGGTTAAGATTCACTTCGCTTTGACGAAACTCTTTTTGGTGGCCAGTTTACATTGGCAATTCAGTTTAAAAAAAACATATTGTTATACGATACTAAACCATATTGTAAAAACCAGTTATTATACTCTCCCACCGACGCAGCATCACAGATTGTTTAGAAACTTACCCCCTTTATTTATAAGACTCACTGAGCTGGTTGTTTACACGAGATGCAACCCAAACTGCGGTTTTACTCAGTGGACCTTACGTGTTCTCTATAAGAGAGTTGTTTTCATTAAACATAAGTCAATCCACTGCTAGCTTTCGGCCCTCTTGACACTGTTTACAAAAATAAATGTTGGGATTAAAGACTAAATTAAAAGCTAAATTCAAGATAGTTTAGAAGACAATTTCGTTAAACAACGGCTAAACCTTTTAATAATAATTTTTCGTTCATAATGCCTGGAAGTCTTGGTACGCTATAATTGTTAATGTAACTCCCCAAGTTATACAAATCTCAAAAAACTAATTTTTTGTACAAAAATTTGATAGAAAGAGTATTCACATGCTAGGAGCTGGACCGAAAGTTCCGGGGTCACGGTGATGTGTCCTTGGGTAGGAAACTTACTGACCTACCCTTCCTCAGGGTAAGCGTTGTGGCTCGTTCGCTGACATTTCTTTCACCTTTCAGGGTCTTGATGGTTTTCCAGGTACAAATGGTCTACCAGGAGACCGTGGTTCCAAAGGTGAGACTGGTGACAAAGGTGATCGTCCCATCGTACCCGTGCCCGATATGGGTAGAAAAGGCGAGAAAGGAGCCGAAGGAGATAAAGGAGCTAGTGGAGAAAACATAAGTCCGAGTGATCTAGGTAAAACAGCCGTACATCGTTAATCGCCTTAGTTGCCTTAGGTCTTGCATTCTTGTAATGCGTTGATCAATTCGAAGCTTCAAAATTCCACTCCCCCGGGCCACCCCAGGACGTCTTAACTTATTCAAATTCCCGCCTCCCGGGGGAAAATTGTGTTCAAATGCCCCACCCATTTTTTTTTTTTTTTTGTAAAAGGCAAAATCAACGACCGTGACTTTCTACACGTTGGCCAAGCCTTAAAATCAAGAAATGCAGGCCTTTCCTTTTCTATTGTTTTTATGATTAACCTCTTGACTCCAAGTGACCAAGGCAGAATTTCTCCATACAATTCCAGTACAATTTCAAGCAGACAAGTGATGAGAATAAAGAAAAATATTAATTAGGGGATTGCTAGTTTATCCAATACCAGATTCTTCAAACTAACATCACAAGAACTATATGACAGACAGTAAGGAGAATTATTAATGAGATCTTGGTAGTTAAAGGGTTAAGCGTCAGGGCCCGTAGAGGTATCATGACTCTCGACAAACCTGTGGGCTTGCAGGAGCCACGTACATTTCTACGTTGCTAATTATAGAAACGGTTTATGTACCGCTGGTGTTTAAGCCTATCGATTAGGTCTTACTGTGTGAAAATTTTTCTTTAATCCTTTTTTACCCACTTTTCACCTCCCACTCTCACTTCACCTCTCATTTTGCACTTTCCATTTCCTACGTTTCACCTTTCACTTTTCACTTCATTTTTTGTTTACCACCTCTCATTTCCCACTTTTCACTTTTGTTCATTTTTCACTTCTCACTTCCGACTTTTCACTACATTTTCCGTTTTTCCTTGCTCATATCTACAGCGCAGCGTTTAAGCGGTGAAAGAGGTGACAACGGTACAGTAGGAGTGAAAGGAATTGCGGGAATGGATGGAGTTCAAGGATGGAGAGGCGTAAACGGAAGTATGGGAGCCGACGGGGACAAGGGAACACCAGGAGAGAATACTACAGGTCCCCCTGGACCCGCCGGTCCTCCAGGTACTGAAACCGAAAAAGAAGTCTTGATGACGATGCTCACTAGAGCATTATTTAGTCACAGCATGTACGCTCTGTCCAATAAAATTTGATCTTTCCTTTGTACAAAGAATTCTTAGACCGCTTATGTCTCTAATGTCTTTCAAACTGAAACTCAAATACCCAAGAAACCGAATTGATGTTGTCTGTAAACCCTACAAAACGTTGTCAGGAAGAATTTCGCCTCATAGTTAAAGCTGTCTATCGATTTCCAGGCCAATGCACATTGAAATGTATAGATTCTTTTTTGGCACAGTCACTCAATCGACCCTGAGGGCAAGAAGCTTCCTTTTCTTTATTTTTAAGCTAGTTTGTAGGGAAATACGTTTTATCCTGAAGGCATTAAACATCATTACCTCCAGTGCCGTTTTCGCGCTGTAGTAGAAGTACAGTCACGAATGTTTGACATACATCTCAATGTGAGCTCTATCTTAGAGGAATGACCACGTAAAGAAGCTGTAGCGAATTTAAATTCGGACAAGTAAATAAAGGAGTTAAGTTTCTAAAGAAACTTATGGTGCTGCACCGGTGGAGATTGTCACGAGATTAACTCATTATCAACTCAACTGAGTTGGTAATGTAACTTGGCCACTGTAAAGAGTATTTAAAGCTGACGTCTTGAACGTTTGCCGCTCTGACGAAGGACAAACGCTCAAACGTCAGCTTTCACGTTTGAAAAAAATCTTTACGGTAGCCAAGTTGCATTATTAACTCAAAATCAAATTATCTTTAAATGCAGACAGTCGTATTCACCAGGTACTGGTTCGGACAAGTCACAGAGGTGAACTGTGATTTGAATTCTTTTCAGGTCCACAGGGAGATATAGGTGATAGAGGTGAAAGAGGAGCCAAAGGTGACTTAGGAATGGACGGATCGGAGGGACCAGCAGGAAGAAACGGATCAAAGGGAATGCCAGGTGAACCTGGTGATCGTCAAGATGGACTCAGAGGTAAAGACGGTGAAGACGGACAGAAAGGCGCTAGAGGTGAGTAATTAACTTGCAGTTATATTCAGGTTTGGATCGGTCTTCATATACTTGTGTATAGAAAATAGTTCGAGGCCGGTCTGACGCGGCAACTCATCACTGGCAAATGAATCATTAGATAGCTTTCGGTGTTTTCAAGTTAATGCGTTGAGAAACATGCTCAAAATCCTGTTAGCAAAGTTCAAGGTGTTTTTAGTGCGGTCGCCTAACAGAGAACGATTCCCAGCCGGAAGTTTACAAGTTACATTTATGCAACAAGCCACGAAATATTCTTTCACAAGTATTGACATTTTAACTCGTGGATATGCGAAGCATAGGTACGAGTAATATGGGGATTCGATATGCAAACTTCGTAGTGTCAGCACGGCCTTGGGAGTCTGGGGAGAGCATGCTTGTTTTGGTATTATTTTTTGTGTTTCCTTTCCTTTGTTCTTTTGTTTATGATTGTTCCTTTTCTCAACAAGATTGAAGTTTCAAACGGATAAAGTCGCCATTAACTTCCATTTGTTTCTTTGCTTGTTTTTTTAACGATCGTTTTTCTGTCGCAATAGGGGTCCCAGGTGAAGGCGGCGTGGTTGGATTTCCAGGTGACCCAGGTGCTAATGGAGAGGATGGTTCCGCTGGGCCGAAAGGACTGCCGGGACAGCCTGGAGCCCAGGGCCCCAAAGGAAATCAGGGAACTAAGGGAGAGCTTGGTGACAGCATAAGCGGTCCTCCGGGTGACCCTGGAATTATGGGTCTACCAGGTGTCCCAACTAAAGGTTTGTTTTAGCCCACATGTAACGAAGTTTATTAATGTTGCGGTTATAGCCTCATATTCAGCATCGTATCTTGGCTCTATCATTTTGCTGACACATTGTTCAGTGTTTACAAGGGCAATATTTGTGATTTCTTTACGTTCGTTTTATCTTACATTTCATATATTGATATCTAAGAAGTTCAAAGATAATACACAAGATCACAATACTAAGTAACAAACAACAAAGCAAGGCAAGACAAATTCATAACAAATTCGAGTTTCTTACAAACAAAGTATAAAATTAAGTACGAGGTTTGAGAGAAGGGTTTCTTTTTAACGTAACAAAATTTATTTAAGGATAAAATGCTTCATTACACAATCCTCGAAAGTTCAAATCTTTCTTAGGCGAGAGAGGAGAACCAGGCTCAAAAGGAGATGCAGGTTCGCCGGGAACACCTGGACAAAACGGTCCTCCGGGTAATCCTGGTGACGATGGGCCTCCTGGTGACCCAGGTAACCCAGGTCCACAAGGAATGAAGGGAAGAACAGGAGTCATTTGTAAGTACAGCAGCTGAATCTTTCTTTTGTTACACTGCATTAACCCTTTAACTCCCAAGATCTTAATGTAAATTCTCTCCTCTAACTGCTACACATGTCCTTGCAAATTAGGTACAAGAATTTGTTGTTAGATCAGGATAATGACTTTTACCTTATAAGTTTGAATATCCTCATTACCCGTTTTCTGGATATATGTATGGATATTTTAAGGAGAAGTTTCATGTTAATCTCTTCTTGGAGTTTAAGTTTAAGTGTTAATCTTTGAAATCAACCATTATCTGTGAGCGTGAAAGAGCAATAATGATCTGCAAAGCAAAGCGAAGCAAGCACAGCTTAATTATGCAATCACATGTAACTATCCCTGATGTGCAAGTTTCTGAGTGGGGAAATATATATTTTTTTCAACTTTTTTGCTTACTATTTTGCATCTTTTGAGGGAATTACGGGTGCAAAGCATCGGATAACCTATCCTCGCGTCCTCGATATTCTACGAAAGATTCGTTTGGTAATTTTAATATTTGGGGATCGTGTCTCGGTTCAGTTTGGCGTTGTCTTGGCTTCCAGCTCTGAGTGAGAAATGACGTCAGGAAAGATGCATGTCAAAATATCAGTTAAGCTTTAATTAAGTTAATTTACTAAACCTTAAGCAAAGTTCGGATTCTAACGAAGAACGCATGTTGAACTCGGATCTTGTCAAACTAGTGCTTACCAAGAAGTTTCAGTTTGAGTTAAAATCTCGGTATTTTCTCAATTGTGTTTTCAATATCTTTTAACTTCAGTGTGTGGCCAGGAAAACGCTGACTATGCCTTCCTCATGGATGCATCTCGTAGTATTCTCCCAGACGAATTTCAGTTGGTGAAAGAATATGTAAAGGACGTTATTGAATACCTCAGCATTGGCCCCGCTCTCACCCATGTCGGTGTCATTGAATACAGCAAGAGCGCCAAAATGGAGCTAGCTTTTGACAAATCGTATGATAGAGAAGAAATAAAAAGGATCGTAGACAAAGTACCACACACCAAGGGTATTACACGAATCGATCTGGCCCTGCAGGTTGCCTCACAGGAATTATTTACTGCAGCAATTGGAGGAATGAGGAATTCATCCAGAAAGGTAAAATGTCTCAACTTTAACCAAGGACTGTTTTTATCCACTTATCGCGGATTTGAATACTTCAGCAATGTGTGCTTTTTGTGTGCGGGGAGGCCCGGACTAGTTTTACTTGGGATTTCAGCTTGAGCCCAGGAGTGTAGGGGGTTCTTGCCTTTGACCCTCTGACTCATATCAGCATCTTATTTCTCCTTACAATATCACCCCTAAATAACACATTAAGGTCAAGAGAATAAAGAACATGATCACCAACTAGGGAAGCTCTTGATTGTTGAACAAATTTTCCTTGTCAGCGCCTAAGGTGATGTATTGAGCTGACTATGGAGAATATGCATACTAATGCTAGGGTGTAACGGGTTAACCTGTGGACTCTCAGGATCTTATTTGAAAAACTTCTTTGTATCCGATATTCATCTACTTGAACACCATTTTGGAGAACTTGGTGCTCTATCACGGTAACTATATCTGGCTGATTGGTTTGTATATTATCTTTTTTTTTTGGATGAAGTGTGGAATTGGTCGGGAGAATTATCAAATTGATCACTGGTGGAAGTTGAAGGGTTAACAGGAACGAAACACACGGCCAATCGTATCAAGAAATGGCCTATTGTTCCGGCTCAACTTCTCACATTAAGTATTAAAGAATAGTCCTTTTGTTCTTTGTAACGCTGAGGGACTTTTGCCGAAGCGACGCGAAAAAGTTCGTGACTAATCGGACAGTTCGTTATTATACTCGTGATAAACAAATCGGACTTCCGCCGTACGGTCGTCCGATTTTGTTATCACTGGTATGATTACAGACCGAATGGGACTCCACTCAGTTGGTTTTCTTTTCTTATTCTTTCACAGGTAATGGTTCTACTAACAGATGGTAACCAAACAGGAACAGATGTTGCTCCAGACCAAGTACCCCTTGTTGATGCCATACAACCCATTAAAGCTCTTGAAGTCAAGGTGATTGCTGTTGCCATTGGGAGTGTTGACCTTGATCAGCTGCGTGTGTTAGTGACCAACAATGATGACATTTTGAGGGCAGGAAGCTTTGCCGAACTTCGGAATCTCGTTAGAACCACTGTCGAGAGGAGTTGCAGAGGTATTCTTTAACCCTTACAATATCAATACAATATCAAGCAGACAAGTGATGAGAATAAAGAAAAATGTAAATTAGGGGATTATTAGTTGATCCAATACCAAATTCTCCAAACTTACCGTATTTATTCGACTAGAAGCCGAGCGATTTTTACACAAATTAAAACTGAAGTGAATTAAAATTTGGGCTCTAGAGGGGGTCTCGGCTTATAGCCGAAGGATTTTGAAAAAAAATTTTTCCAGCGCATGGAAACTCTACTAAATCGGGACGTATTTACTTATAAACCGAGCTAAAGTAAAGAAACACAATATGCAATTGTTGTTTTGGTGCGAAGGCTGACGGAATGGCGGCGCTTCCATTTCTGGTACTAGCCGAGGGACGCTTTAAACTCAGGATTCTCGCTGTTTTGGATTACATTAATTCATCCGAGTTATGATTCGTTACTTTTTAATTGAATAGTTAGTTACGGGTAATATTTATTAATTCGCGTGTGTTTTCTGAGAGAGAGGCTTTTTTGTCTTTGCATATTAAATCACCATTGTATCTGTTGTATACGCGCGTATGTATTATCGTCAAAGCCTCATTTACGACAATCAATGTGATTTTTTTCAGAAAATGTTAAGTTTTCCCGTAGTTAACAATTCAGTCTTGTAATAATAAATGGGTTTCGGCTTATAGCCGAATAAATACAGTACTTCACAAGAACTATATGGCAGACAGTAAGGAAATTTCACACAAAAATTACATAGAGGATAATCAATGGCCGCTGGGGATACGAATTTTATCTTCGAGTGCTGAAAGTATCTCTCACGAGTGAGCGAAGAAGAGATACTTTCAGCACTCGAAGATAAAATCCGTATCCCCAAGCGGCCATGTTTATTTTGTAAATACTGATGAAATTCCTACACGCCTCGAAGCCATTCTGTGAATGAAATTTCAAAAGAACCGGCCGCGCGCCTGAGCGGGAAGCTCTCTTATAATTGGCTAATCATGTTAGTAACCATGGCGACACCAATATCCTCACACGTGAAATATAAAAATAGTATCTTCACTGCGCGCGATGAAGATATGATTTTTTAGTAAAAGGAAAAATCCTGGTATTTCATCAGTATCTTTATAATAAAAATTGTTTAATCTTTGAGAAGCATGTGTTTCGGATGGGCCTTAGGCTGCACTATGGCCAATTTTATTATGAACTTAACGACACGTAATACGTAGGGTTACTGAGCAAAACCAGCGATCCCCCGTGGCTAACGTACCTTAAATTTTATGAAACCTCTTAAGAAAACTTTTAAACTTCGTAGAAAGTCAGTTCAAATTATTTTAACATCGGAATTAAAAATTCAGAAGAACGGAGAGTTTTAAATGTTGGGCAATTTTTCAAAGTTTCATAGAGATAGTATCATATAAAAGATCGTAACATGCAAGAGGAGTGATTGGCTTTCGTTTTTAAGTTCCATTTATCCATTATTGCTCTGTAGGTCCACTTGGCGATCCTGGTAAGAAGGGACCAAAAGGTTTCCCAGGTGAACCAGGAGGAGAAGGGACGGAGGGTTTCCCAGGGATGCCAGGAAATCAAGGACCTAAAGGAGATCAGGGTCCCACAGGGCCACCAGGTACTCGCGGCGAGGGTGGAGATAAAGGATTCACTGGAGATGAAGGACCCCCAGGTATGAAACTTAACCATTTAGCCCCTAAGAGTGACTAGCACTTAATATTCCTTATAATATCACCCCTGAATCACGCATGAAGGTCATGAGAATGAAGGAAATGATTACCAACAAAAGAAGCTTTTGATCAGCAAACAAATTCTCCTTGTCAGCACCTTAGGAAATGTATGAACCAACAGTATGGAGAAGATGCATAATGACATTGGGGTGTAAAAGTTTAAAGAAAAGATCCACCACTGGAACATGTTGCCGTTGAGCAGATGAAAATTCAGTGTAGGATTGACTGAGAACAAGACCCACAGATAACACTTAACGCCCTAACATCAGCATGGTTATTCTCCGCACTGTTCCCCGCACCTTTTCTAAGATGCTGACAAGGAAAATTTGTTTTATAATCAACAACTTCTTTAGTTAGTGATCATTCCCGTAATTCTTGTGTCCGTAATGTGTGATTTAGGGGTGATTTTGTTAGGAGAAAGTAAATGTTAATCACTCGTAAGAATCGAAGCCCCTCGAAACAAATACTGGCCAAACTGATGTTTCAGTTTCCCACTAGGCGCCATTTTAAAAATTGTTACATTACCTGGCTGCTCTCAAATTTTCAAACAACAGCCCTTCGCAGCCAGTTGTCTCAAGGGGTTAGCACAAATAAGGCTAGCCCATGGAAACGATTGGAAGGATCTTAACCGTCTTGGTCCATTTTGATCGTTTAGCGTGATTTCTACATCCTTATTTGGCGCGAACGAGTATGTGACACGCGACGAGGTGTGGTTTCCCGAGCTTTAAGTACTGGTTTAAGCTGCGGAGACTACAGCAGATTATAAAACGCTCCATGGCTGAAGATGTTTTTAACCACAAGCCTGCAACTTACTAAACTGCAATATCCAACAGGTGAAATTAGCAAAAGGAGCTATAAATTCTGAAAAGCCTTTTTTTATCATTTCGCCTAGGCTTAGTAACTCCAGGTTCGAAAGGACTTAGAGGAGATCCTGGAGATCCGGGATTGCCTGGTGATCCCGGTCTTAGTGGACTGGATGGTGAACAAGGATCGAAAGGTGTCCAAGGACAGCCTGGATTTCGTGGCAGTAATGGTGTTGTCGGACCTGACGGCCCACCTGGACCTCCAGGAGAAGCAGGAGCTGTCGGTGAACAAGGTAAACAAATGAATGAATTCCGGTGAAGCAGTTATTTTTTTTTGCTAAAGATAGTAATACTAATGGTCTCCTTTAAGTTATTTCATAAGTTGGATCTTGCTTATCCTTAATTCTGCGTCGAGAAGTAATGCACAGTCATTGATAACTGCCGCCACACCTACTATGGGTGCGTTCTTATTGAACATGTGGCCTTTTTCAGCAAAAAAAAAAAACGAAAATTGTTTGAAATGAAAACACTGAACAGTTTTCACAAAAACGACTGTGCTTGACGTTTCCCATAACGCCACCGACAGTTTCAGCTATCGAAATTCAAGGTCCATTATTATAGGCAAACTGAGAAACAAACGTTCCGTATACGTGAACGTGATCTAAAACTCTAATAAGCAGGAGGTAGACAAATTGGCAGTCGATCGGGTCTTGTGACAACTAAATGATTGGCATCACTGAGGTGGGAACAATGGATATCAAGTCCAATGCCCTAACTCCTCGTCAGCTCCATCGAGTGTGCGAAAATTAAAAAGATATATTTCCGTAGCGTACTGAAATTTTCCATCTCTTAATGTGTTAAAGGTACAATTGGTGGCCCAGGGATGACAGGATTTAATGGAATGGACGGAGATATGGGTCCTCGTGGAGACTCTGGAGCAAGTGGCAGTCCTGGTCTCCCCGGACCTGAAGGCGAGCCAGGTAAAGGAGTACTTTTACTGGACCGTTTTTAAGTGTCTCTTGATATCAATATATTTTTTTTAAAGAAATAAATAGTTCTCTGTCTTCCTATTTGTTCTGACTAAAAAGTGGGAAGAAGTTGTTAAAGATTTGGTGTTTTTAGCCCGTGGAATATTTACAAGAAAATTAACGTAAGATTTCAAAATTTTTAACGTGCATAGTTTGTGTAGATGGGAGTCACTCGATAGATGATTTTACGAAGAATGAAGATCAACACCTGACTTACATGTAGACTTTTCCTCATTCGACTTAGACTGGTACATTTTACAGCGTTTTATTTTGCCGGATTTTTGTTTTCACTTTTATGCAGAAGCCACTTTTGCAGGTCGAGGATGATCTGCAAATCCGCAAATATTTAACCCTTTAACTCCCATGAGTGACCAAGAGAGAATTTCTCCTTACAATATCAATACAATATAAACTAGTTAAGTGATGAGAATTAAGAAAAATATCAATTTGGGGATAATTAGTTGATTCAATACTAAATTCTCTGAACTAACATGATAAGAATTGTATGGTCGACAGAAAGGAGAATTACAAATTTGATCTGGGAGTTAAAGGGTTAAACACACATTTTCTAGCCACACGACAATATGGAATGTCACGTTTTACCGATAGAAAGGGTGCAATTCTACCTTAAGGTCCCCTCCCTGACCTTGCCCTTGACACATGTATGGTAAGGGTAGTGCTGTTTAAAGTGTTGCTGCGAACAGTTAACTATTATTCACCGAAGTAGAGGTAAATATCAACCACTTTCAACGACACTGAGGTGAATAATTTTTTTTAGCATAAACCAAAAAAATACCAAAAAATTATTTCTTTCAATATACCAAAAATTGGTCGAAAATTATACTCTTAAAGCGCGGTTTTGTGTCATGATCTGCTCGGAGGTGAATATTACTTGCTATTTACTTCCGAACTAGCCAATTAGCGCGCGGGAAAAGCGGTATTCACTTTTGTGGTACATACTAGAAGAAAAGATTTCGGCTAGTAAGAAATTTTTATCTCAAAAAGAGTCAATTAAGCCTGTAATCTTATCAAAGTTTTTTTTTATGTCCTTTCCACAGGTTCGTTTGGTGAACCTGGGATAGACCTACCAGGAGTAAAAGGCTTTCGTGGACCCAAAGGACGAGCTGGATTGCCAGGTTTAAACGGATTCCGTGGTAAAGGAGGTGATGATGGATTGCCAGGCCCCCCAGGAAACTCAACACCTGGCGAACAAGGAGGAACCGGTAAGTTAAGACAGGGCAAAACTATTACAAGTAAACCCTTCAATTAACAAGATCTGATAGTAATTCTCCCCTCGAGCTGCTACACACGTCCTCAGTCGTAAATTAGATGAGATAAAAACTTCTAGCTGATAGGTTTGAGTATTCTAATTACCTGTATGCTGAATAATTAAAAATCATTACAGGGAGAAGTTACATGTTAAACACTTCCGGGAGTTGAAGGGAAATTCAATAACAAATAAAATTGTACTTCACGTAGAGTTGTAGAGAGAGTTCGATGTTACTTGATGATCTTTTTCAGATCTAAGGGGACGGCTTCGTAAAAATTACAAATAGTCTCAAATAAACAAACTGGCCAAGTAAAAGATGACGTTCACTTCAAAATGACTTTATTTTCTTCTTTTTCATTAGAGGTGCAATATCAGGGGTAAGACGCCAAAATCTTCCTATTACTCACAATTGGTTTTGGTTATTTATTAGGTCCTCCTGGAATCAAAGGGGCGAAGGGTGACCCAGGTCCCCTGCCGGGAGACGGCGTGTCCCTTCCGTCTGGTGACCCAGGAGATGCTGGAGCGGATGGAAAAATGGGTATGCCTGGTTTAAATGGCGACCAAGGACTAGAGGGACAACAGGGAGAGAGTGGAGCCACTGGACCCCCTGGGCAGGGAGGTAGGAGCAAAAAGAATGTAGGGTTTTTCACCAGGCCCCGGTTGTTAGAGGGTTGGATAATGCTACTACTGGATAAATCTCCATCCGGTGGATAACGCCATGCGTTTTACCATCCCTTATCAGCCAGATAGCGATTTATTCGTTGGATAGCGTCATCCGCCCTTTATACAATTGGGCTCTGAATTTAGAGTTTGTAGCTGCTAAGTTCCAAAGAGATAAATTACACTTTTCTTCATTCAGCACAACAATTTCGGAATTTACGGATACGTTATTAGTGTATTTTTTTCTAAGTTTTAATGGCTTGGTGATTGGTGATAGGTTGGCCTCTTGGCTGGGTTTGTTTCTAAAGAAAAGTAGGTTCATTGCGTCCGACAATTCGATTCCTTACATTGGATGTGCGGTGAAACGTTCAGAAAGGTTTGGTCATCGTGATACTTAATGCACAAATCGTAGTCTGATGGCGTAATTATTTATAGATAATTCTTAAAAGATTTGGGAATGTGTAAAAGTAAGAAAGTTTACAGAAAATAGTAAAAGGTATGCGAAGACCTACATAGGAAACATTGCCTCTTCGTTTTGCGTTTTGAGTGTTTTTAACCTGTTGGAGTTAAGAAGGTGTCTCAATTGTTTTGTGTTTGTATCACAGGGGCTATCGGTGATCAGGGTGCCCTAGGCCCCCCAGGAGAAACTGGTGCACGGGGCATGCCAGGGATCTCTGGTGATCCGGGAGTAGAAGGAGATCCTGGACCCGACGGTGCCAGAGGCGACCAAGGAGACCAGGGAGAAGCTGGATCTGACGGTTTAAATGGGTTAAATGGTGTAGGAGGGCCGGAAGGTGAAGCAGGGCAAGATGGCGTGAGGGGACAAACTGGAGACGTTGGACCCCCAGGTACGAAGTCAGTTGTGTGCATTTTTTACTTCTGCAGGAATTTTTTGTCCAGAACAAGAACTTTTTTTTCCTCGATGAAAAGTAAAAAAGAGGGCCGCCATCAATTAGGGGGGTGGGAAGGGTTAAATGACGCGATCATCGCTTTCAGATTTTGTAGCCAGATTGTTTCATGGGATGGGTCAACATCAAAGACTAGTATAAACAAATTAGGGAGTAAGGAAATTGGAAACCGTTATCCAGAGGAAGCATCCATTTATGGGACAGCAACTCTGCTACAGGTTGTAGCAAGTACTACTTTAACCCTTGACGATATGAAGTGAACCTTGTTTTCTGATTGGCTACCTTGCTCGCTCAGGATGGCCTGCATTAGAGCCCGCATTCGTCGAGCGGATTCACAAAGTTCGTAAGTTTTGGACCATAGCGGCGATGGAGTCTGATAGACAGTTTGATGTACAGTCGAAAGAAAACGTGTACGACTCTCGTGGGTTTATTTTGCTACAAATAAAGTTGGCTTTCTTTCCCGACTCTCGAAATAAATAATTCGTTCTTGATTCATAGTAAAGCGAAGTCTTTTGGCTATACGGTATAATGAATTTTTTGTTAACCAAGTCTGACTTCGTCTCGGTCCACAAAGACGCAAAAAAAGATCTCGGCCAATATCCAGCCATTCTTATCTCGCGCATGTTCAATAACGTATATTTAGTGGAACCTGCGTTGGAATGGCCTCTCCATTCGGAAACCGCGAACACTGACTGGGTTTCCTAAGTTTAACTTCCACGGTAATAATTGTTGTTATTGTATCTCGCATCTGATAGGTGGGACTGGTTTAATTGGCCTTAGAGGACAAAAAGGCCTTCCTGGCATTACTGGTGTCAATGGATCTCCAGGCTCTTCAGGAACACCTGGTGATCAGGGCCCAACTGGGGAAGCAGGTGCTCGCGGAGAGAGGGGAGATATGGGACCACTAGGACTTAGAGGACCCAAAGGTTTAGTGGGACCTCCTGGTTTTAACGGAATTATTGGAGTAAAAGGCGAACAGGGTGAGTCCCAGAATTAAAAGATATGTGCAAAGCCATTGTTCTCCTCGTTACATTTTTTGTATTGTACAACATCGCTATGTGGCCGTCGCTGCCACAGATTTCAAAATTTTCCCAACAACGTGCGAATGATTCATCGCAACATTCCATTGGACTGCGTTTTGGTGTCCCTTTTCCCGATGTTCCAAATGTGTAAGATCGAAGCACGTGTTTAGACCCTTTAACCCCTAAAAGCGATCGGCATCCAATTTCTCCTTTCGATATCAACTTTGAATCAAACATCGAGGTCAAGAGAACAGATGAAATGATCACTAACTAAAACAGCTCGTTATTGTTAAACAAATTCTCCTTTTCAGCTTCTGAGAAAATGTATAAAGGACAGTATGGAGAATGTGCATACTGATGTAAAGGGTTAACTTTATCCTTCTTTTTTCCTTAAGGGAGCAATGGCACCATTGGTAGCCAGGGCACAACAGGCGAGCCAGGCAACCCTGGGCCGAAAGGTGAACAAGGACCAACCACCATCACTCCAGGACCAAGGGGTGAGAAGGGACGCCCTGGACTGCCAGGAATCCCTGGCCTGGAAGGAATCCCGGGCGAGACAGGACCCCAAGGTAATTGGAAAGTTATTTTTTTCACGAGGCAGACAGATATGGCTGAGAGCCTGGACAGAAACGTTTTTGAGTCACGAAACGACGTGTAAATACAAATACAAAATATTTTTGTACTCCCCAGCCCTAACGAGCTGTCGAAGCAGTCTTGTTTTAGGGTTTAGGAATGTACGTCAGCTACCTCGTCCGGAAAGGGGATGCTACATTCATTTCCTTTTTAACTCAAAGCGATTTACTGTTTATTTTGCACATTTCCAAGCCATCACTTATCACTATAGTATTCATCAGTATCAAGCTCGTGAACTACGTTGGCACTTGTGATGTCTTTTGTTCCTTTGTCTTTTCAAGGCCCTCCTGGCAACCTTCAAGGCCCGAAGGGTAACAATGGTCTGCCCGGTCTACCATCAGAGAAAAAAGGACCAACGGGCGAAACAGGACTTCCAGGAGAAGAGGGAATTCCAGGCTTCCCCGGAGACCAGGGGTTACCTGGTCAACCAGGCCCCACGGGTATCATAGGTAAGGCAGCAACAGGTGAAGGTTACCACTTGGTGGTCCACAGCCAATCTACTAGAATACCTGACTGTCCGCTGAATCTGACTAGACTGTGGACTGGCTACAGTTTGCTGTACGTTCAAGGTCACGATACTTCTCATGGACAAGATCTCGGTGCGTCTGGATCGTGTATGAGACGTTTCACCACCATGCCATACCTTTTTTGTAACATAAACCAACAGTGCTACTACGCTTCGAGAAACGATTACAGTTATTGGCTGACCACAGATATACAGATTCCCATGATGCCAATCAGTGCTCCCGCTGTTGAGCCGTTTGTCAGTAGGTGTGCTGTGTGTGAGGCACCTGGGCCTGTTGTTGCCACTCATAGTCAATCCACACAAAACCCAGACTGTCCTGCCGGCTGGCAAGCCATTTGGAATGGATTCAGCTTCTTGATGGTAAGCCACTTTGAATACGTTAGTTAAAGCATCCTTTCAAGCACTTTACTTCTACAAGCGGCTGAAGTGGCTCATAGGACCAGACTAGTGTATTTTTTTGTGGAGGCCAATTTATACACCTCAAGGACTTTAATTTGTTCAACAACTGGTTGTTTCACGTATCTGTCGATAGAACCTCTTAGGGCCGGTTATTTACTCGAAATATAAGCCTAACCACGGTTTTACACAATTAGTGGGCCTTAGTCTTTCTCCACAAGAGGGTTGAACTAATGAAATAAATGTCCTTTCCACTGCTAGCCTTTGGTCCTCTTGACACTGTTCATAAAAAAAAAAAATTCAGATAAATTGTTCATCTGATATGAGGATCGTTTGGGACGCAGTCTCGTTGAACATTGGCTAAACTTTGTTTAAATGTTCGGTCTTTTTAAGGAACTTTTAAAAGTTCCGATGTTTTTAGTGCATTGAACATGCCAGTACTGACCTTTGTTTCTTCAAGGAGCTTAAGCTCCTAGTATCTCCTAAATTTGATTTGGAGGTCTATCTCTCGCCGCACATGCAAAATCACAACGCGTGGTTCACCAACAGCTGCAGCTAAGATTGTCGTCTAAATTATTTATCTGAGTTTAGAATGCCTTTAAGCTTAACTCTTAATTGTTCAATATCGTTTGGAGATAGACGAAAGAGGAGTTCGACTTCGCCACGTCACAGATTGAGGCCAGGTTGCTAAACATTCAAAATGGCGGCGTCCTAACTTGACTCTTTTTTGTCACATTCGAAGACAAATTTCCAAAGAGGTGGTTTCTCTTTGGTCACATGCGTATATGTCCTTTTCGGTGGTGGAGATGATAAAGGACATGCTTTCTGGGGCATATATCATCATTTATGCTTGTTTTTTTCCTGCTCCTCTTTTCAGCATACTGGTGCTGGTGGAAGTGGTAGTGGTCAATCGCTTTCCTCTCCGGGATCTTGTCTCAGAACTTTCCGCCACAATCCTTTCTTTGAATGCCATGGTCGTGGTACCTGTCACTATTTCGCTAACAAATACAGCTTCTGGCTCTCCACCGTTGGACAGATGTTCGTTGCACAGACGCCAGAGACCCTAAAACCTGGAAATCTCCTGAGTCGTGTCAGCCGTTGTACTGTTTGTTACCGGGTTGCCAGCAAAAAGAAGAAGCGTCGTCGTGCCTTGTACCCCAGAGTGTTACCAGTACAGAAGAAACTTTCTTCAGCGTCACTGAAGCTTCAATCAGCGGCGCAGCGGCTGTCACGTCAGTCGTAGGTAATTATGACAACTTGGATTCGGACCTGACTATGACCAATATAAAACAAATTGAATTTTTAATAATCTTTTTCTTGCCTCGACACAAATGCTCCTAGTCAAAATAAGCTGTTTGCGACAGTTATGTACTTGTTAAAGGCCGTTTCACCAAAACTTAAACCTTTTCAGTTGAGTACTGCTGCTTCAATGCCAAGAATGTCCAGATTGGAATATAAAAAAGCTCACTAAATGCGAGCAAAAATAGTTATAGCGTATTTACTTTTTAACCACCTCGTAGTATAATGATTAGTTCTTGTGAAAGCACGTTTCATAGTCATTACAAAAATGCTGCGTCACTAGGACATGGAACAATTGTCATGGTACGTATTTGCTAGGAAAAGTACCGTTGTTTGCTACCAATTTGCATTGCAGTTGTGTTTGAGGTTGTTAGTTTGTGATACGTGAAGGTTTGGAGTAATTTTCTCTCAGGAATTTAAGTTGAAAATGATAGTATTTGCCTTTATCTTTAGTTTAGTCAAAACAATTTTTTGTTTTGTTTTGTCTGTTTGACCGTTTTTGAGGCTAATTAAAAAAAAAAAAAAAATGGTTCAAAACTTCGAATGGTTTAGCGTCCTTTTAGTAGCACCCATTTCCACAATCTCTGTATTTTAATGAGATTATAAGCCTAACCGCTTGACTTCTCTAATTTTTTTTCCTCTTATTTATGTTTAATGTTGATGCCATAGCTCAAGTTTCGTTTGTAATCTCAAATCAACGTTTGTTGTGTGGCCAAAGCGTTACAAACTTGCGGTACGGATTACCTGTCCGGCGTTTATTAATACCTCTTTATCACAATAATAACTTTATTGAAAGACGTTTTTCGTTTTTTCCTAGTACTTTTGTACTATAAATAGCCCCGATATTCGGTCAAACTTAAGTTGGTCGGGCGATGGTTTACCGACTCTCCACCTATTGTCCGCCAATTCCCCGTTAGTCTAATGTCGGTCTAATGTACACCGAGCTGCCGATCGATTATCGATTACGTATCGAATGAGGCTACCTCAAGTATATTTCTTAGAACCGGACAGGTCATCTCAAAATCCGTAGTTTTATACTTTTGAGCACAATGTCGTCTTCCTTTGACATTTTTTCGCATCACAGAAACATTTGAAACTGCAAATGCTCTGGTTAAAAAATTCATAGGAGACAAAAAATGACTGGCGGCAGTGAGGATCAGGGAGTTATTTACCCTGACTTTTTTAAAAGCTGGAAAATCTAATGGTATCAATGATTTTCTTCAAACGAAAGTATTTAGTTTCCACAAATATTTTTATAGTTTCCAACCCAAGCATTCGAGCACAAAAGTCGAAAGACTGTTTCAAATTTTGCTAACAGAACGATAACAAAAACATAAAAGACAACAGTTCGGAACGACTTCTCGTTTTCCCCAGTTTTCATGTCGTATAGGTTCAGTTAAAATCTTAACATGTTCAGTTTGGGGAAGTAAAAGGGGAAAGTCGTTTGACAAGCACAGTTGTTTTTCAGTGTTAGAAATATATTTTAAAATTTTAATTTCCCTCTCAAGTAATAGTCTTTCACTGGAATGTCACACAACAGAGTGTTGCGTGACATCCAAACATCGCCACACGATTAGGTTGTAATTCAGGGTCTTAAAACGCTAGTTTTGTCATATTTGTTAGATAAAATGAATCGGATCGAAATTCCTAATTAGACTATTAGATCCTATAAGACATAATAATAGTAGATTTTTTTCTATAATAAGCTTAATAATCTTTTGAATGCATTTACGAACTGTATATTTTAAACTTGTGTTAGCTATTAGATTTTTTTTAATTGTAAAATTAAGGTCATAATGTTGATTGCAATTTGGGTTATCATTAATAAAATTGTTTTACTGTACTGCGTTAACTGGTTGTTCTTATTTCAAATTTTGTATGAGCTAAAAGACCTTCGTCAGTACGAAAGATTCATCTAAATCGTCATGTTTAAGTTCGTAAACGTAAACAAAGATTTCTCTCCACACGTTAACGATCCACCGCCCCAACTTATAATTTTTCGCCAAATCCACACGCAAATGATAGGAAAGTCGCAAATACATTACTGAAGAATAAAACGAGGCCGCCTGGGAGCCAAAATTGCCATGAAATCTTGGCTAAGGATGCTACCGCAGCAAACCTCTCCCCGACTCGTTTCAGATCTTCCTGCGGGCAGAGAAACGTGCGTCCTGCAGCGCTAATAAGGTCCATGAAAGCAAAAAGACACAGAAACTTGGTTAAAGTCTTTTACTATCCAGCCATTATGCCATTATGACAAACAAGCTTAGTATAAAAGGATCTCTTTTTTATGGGAAAAATTGTGTCGTTTGTCTTGACTGTTTTCAAGATGTACATTTGGACTGTGTTACGATTCAATTGCGATATTTTATAAAAATGCTACCAGGAATTTCCAAAGTGTACATACAAGCCATAGTAGAAGCAATTAAGTTTTTTGAGTAACAAAGGGGATGATCCCAAGTGGGAAAGAAAGTTCGGATCAATATCAGTATCTGGGCAACTGCCCACCTACCCCTCCCCTAATCCAACATTAACCTCAAGTTGTTGTCAATTGACTGTTGTTGATTTAGGGGAGGGGTAGGTGGGCAGTTGCCCAGATACTGATATTGATCCGAAAGTTCTATCTTTCCTACTGGCGTAGCCAATCAGGACACAGATTTGTTTCTCTTTGCCTGCCAGTATTCCATTCACACATTTGGATTGGTTCTTACCTATGGTCTATTGGAGAAGAGATGCACAGATGATATATAAAACAAATACAATCCATTGTTGTCATGGTTATGTTTAGCAAAATATCACAGAGGACGTCCAATGTGGTAAGAACATCAGTGACACTTAGCTGCACCTTGTGTATCATTTGTAGTTCTTACCACATTTTGACATCATTACTTTTTTGTTTCTGACTATATTTTGACATCATCTGTGGTCAATTACTGAACAGAAGCATGGCAACATGGAATCTATCTTTTAGTTTCATTCAATCCACTGGAGAGAAAAATGGGTAAAATCACAGAAAAAAAATAAAAGATGTCGGCTCAGTCCCAGTATTTGAGCACCTGCATTCTAGCCCCTCCTGTAACCCAACGACAATCAACTAATAATATTGTAGGGTTACTGTTGGATTGGGGGAGGGGTAGATGTGCAGTTGCTTAGATATGGACATTGATCCAAATTTTTAGGATGAATTTAACATTTAGCTAATGATAGTCAGTGCTTGTGTGCATGGACAAACAAAATAATGTGTTTCAACAAGCTGGCTGATGTTGGTAAACTTTGTCTTTCTAAGCAATGTTACAAGCTTACATACTATATTAGAATTTTGAAACCTACAACTGCACACTACTCCTACAATACTGTCATCAATGAATGCAATGAAAAAACAGCAACACTATGCAGGGCTTATTTTAGAGACAGAATATGATCCCCTACATTCTTCATATAAGAATTCAGTAGATACTTTAAAATGTGTCCTTAAATTACCTAATAGCAAAATGCTTGATTTGCACAGCAAACCAAATTTCCAAGCTACAAATTCAGAGAGAAGCTTTTTTGTTTCAGAAATATGTATAATTTGGTATATATTATGTATAAAATATATTTCATTAACTGGTCAATTCTGGTACAATTACGTTGATTCAGCACTCTGCAATCCAAGAGTTCAATTACTTTTTCCATTAGCAGCCACCAATGGAGAAAACAAAGAGAGGCTGTAAGGCAAAACCCATTCATGAGAACTGGCACATAGGCAGTGCTAGACTGCAGATATCAGGCTTCAGTTAAAGTGCCTGCTCCAGTCACAATAAAATCTTCTAAATAGTTCATTTTAGAGTTATATACTTAGTTGCCAAGCCTTTGATTTGGAATGAAGCTGAAGGTGATCTTGTTGTGATAGAGACCAGTATCTAGTTAGAACGATAACAAAGTAATTCACATTTCAAAAGCAACAACATTTGTATCATAACAAGGTCACCCTTAGCCTCACTCCTGTTCAAAGGGTTGGCAACCAAGCATGCAACTGTAAAATGGACTACTCTTCACCATGTAAGTGCTCTGGAAAGTCTTTAACTTAACCCCCTATAACTATTACACCAAATATTCAAGACTTATATATCATCTGTTTACAGTTCAGAATAATTATTTTATAATACATGAGTTAAAGAAATCAATTCAATTTGAATTAGTGAATTTCCATAAATGTTTTTTCAAAAATAAGCACAGAAAATGAAGAGGAATACCATTGAAATAATTTGCCTTAATGTTAATTTCTGTTGATTACTGTTTGCTTGGGTGAGAGGAAATAAATAAATAAAATTTTAGATGATTGTAAATTCTTTGTTATAATAATATCAATGCTAAAAATCATTCTGTTACTTAATTTAAAAAATGGCACAAACTGTATGTTTCCATCTCCTTAAGCTCTTGCCAGATAAGTTGTTTCACCAATTTAGATGAAATTTCCTCCATATTTAATCCCATTTCATAGTGCCCCTTCATTTTAAAGTGAGTGAAGAATAATTCAAACAATTTTAACCATTTAACTCCCAAGATCTCCTTAGTAATTCTCCTTACTGTCTGCCAAACAATTCTCATTATGTTAGTTTGGAGAATTCGGTATTGGATCAATTTGTAATCCCATAATTGACATTTTTCTTATTCTCATCACTTGTCTGTAGGATATTGTATAGATATAGTAAGGAGAAATTCTATCTTGGTCACTCATGGAAGTGAAAGTGTTAATAGCAGTACTGTGTTGCAGAGCTCAAGGGTTCTAAGCATATAATTTGTATAAAGCCCAGAGGGTACATCCATATGGCATAAATAAAAACAAATCTTTTGAAAAACAAACTAAAATGACACAAAATGTGGAAACCTAATGACATTTGTCCTTATAGATTAAAACGTTAACAAAGCTTGTTAACATGAATATTTACACCCCTTGTTTTAGTAGAACAATGTACAAAGAAAATATTTCATCTTCTATACCTTCTAAACCTTTAGCAGCTAAGATGAGATCTACCAAATTATTCTTGCCTGAAGGCTTGGTCACAGATCTTCCCTTTCATAAACATCAGAGCTATCTTTCAAAATATGTGTCTAAATATAAAAATATACGTGCCAACATTGGGAGTCAGTCCCTAATAAACATGTTCAGTAAAGAGTAGCATAAGCCAAGTTCAGAGCAGTTGTAACATTTTTTCAAGAGTAATTTTCTTCTTAGGATCAATACCTAATCTAGAGTCTCAATTTATGCAGTTCTGTAATTGCCTCATATCATATATTTGAGGAAAATTTTTCTAACAGTGTTTTTTGGCTATATATTTATAGCACACAATGGTTACCAATCCCTGAATCTTAAAAAAATTTACATAACAAAAGTTTTCACAGAGGAAAGTATTGTAATCAGAGAACCTAAAGCCAATATTATCTACGATCATTACTTGTAGAGTTTGATATTGAGTTACTGGCTGATACTGTCCTTGGGGTTACTGTAGTAGCTATTGATTGAAGAAGTCTTGTGCTCTGCTTGCATTTTTCCATTGGATTGAAATAACTTAATCTGCAATCTTCATCATTCCCATTCCCTTCAATCAATTCTGTTAAAAAGGAAAAGAACAGTTGTTACTAACAGTAACATCATATCATAAATATTTAATCCAAAAATACATTGGTGATAAAAGGGAAAAGCCACATATGCTTGGTAGATTGCTTAGCGCTCTTCTATCTGGACTACATTTGGATCACACCCTGGCCCAAACGTTTTTTGTGGCCTTTAGTAACACAGTCTACTTTCATTTCAGACCTTAACAGGGTATGTTCAGGGATTAAACCATTTAAACTTCTCTGTCCAGATTTTGCCAAACATCCACAAAGAGAATACTTAAACTAACTCCATAGACTGTGATCATTCTCCTTTATAAACACAGTGTGTGATACAAACCTTCCGCACTATAGCAGTTAAAAGCTGAATATCCTACTTGCACCAAGTCTTCATCACCTGGTGGGTTTGGTGGAAGATAAGGGCACTTCTGTAACACAGTCTCACAAAACTTCAAGCATTGCCTTCTCTTGTGGGTCTTGTAATGATCTTCAATTTCATCAATAGCTTCAGATATTTTTGTGTAGCAAATCCAGTTCTTGTAGGCTTCCTGTGGGAATAATGATCAAATTAGTATTGTGCACTAACTCTCTAGTTTCTGACACTAATTTTCATCCAATGTTTCACAGTTTAGTAGAGCTTTTAATAGCTTTTGATCTCTCACACTGTCAATTCAATTTTCCAGAATACAACGATTTAGTCCTGCATCTTTCTGTGGTAATTAATTCTTCCAACAGCATCATCCCTGAATCAAACAGTAAGGTTATGAGAATATAGGAAATGATCGCAAACTCAAGATCCTCTAAATTTGTTAGAGAAATTCTACTTGTAATTACTATAAGAAATGTATAGAGAACAGTATGGAAAACTTGCATACTGATGTGAGGGTGTTGGTGGTTAATCAATGGACCAGTTATGATAAAAGCTGAAGACTGTGTTTAAAATCATACAGTGTGACACTGAAAAAAGACAATAATTCTTATTCCATCTGTTGACTTTAAAAAACATATCTTTGACTAAATTGTCCAATAGAACCATTTTTCCAAAGGAAATATAATTTGAATCACTTGGAATAGCATGGGTGGACAATACAGAAAATTATTGTTAATCTAATTGTCATCATTATTATTATGACAAAATAAGAAAGTATAAAAAAATTATTCAATGTCTCTTCAATCTATATAATACCATATGAACTTTATGTATAACGGTGGAAATAATTTCTCCTTTCATTTTATCTGTGCAGTTAAAGCATACACTCTTTGTGATCAATCTCATTTACTGTATTAATTACTTTACAATTCATTTGGTTTGTTTACATTGTACATGAGTGTAATTCTCTCACCAACATCAGCTAAAAAATTCCAAGAGGCCTTACACAGAACTCAGATTTTTGTGATACTTTGTAAATCACTGAATAATTTCATCCTTCATTTTAAAATAAATTTCAAGCATCCTTATAGTGATCATTTTCAAAATCCTCACCATCATCATGATAATTATTACCATTATTAAATATTACTTCATGGTAAAAAAAATTACTTATCATAGAAAGAACATGTACTGTAGCTTAAAAAAAACAAATCAATGTACATCAATTTCTGTGTCAGGCAAAAATGAAATTCAAATTAAAAGAATTCAAGTTGAATGGGAATTTTCTTTATTTAAGAATAACAACACTTTTTCTGGAACAAGGAAAAAATAAAGATTGAGGAAAGAATAATATTTTTACCTTGTACATTTTGAAATAATTTTCTGAACCTGTGTTTATAAATATTTCCCAATTTAAAGTAAAACCTTAGTACATGACAATTAACAAAATGGAACAAGCAACCTGGGGGTTTAGTAATACAATATAGTTGGCAAAAAAAAATAAAAGGATGAACATTACTTAAATCAAATCAAAACAGATGTTTAAATATTTGCCCTTAAACCTTTAGAAGCCATTAAGGCTGAACATAAACTCCTCACTGATAGACAAGTATGAAATTAAGTATACAGGCTCTATATCACAATAGTAATCACTATTATAAATATGGTTTTAAATTTTTACTTGTAAATAGCTTATCCTTACACCAGAATGGCAGCTTTTTGTTTTAAGAATTACAGGACGCTGCAATTTTTTTCTTGACAATATTGTTAGAACAATCTTTTCTCCATGGGCTTTTGTACATTGAAATTTAATGGCTAAAATGCATGTACTCTATACACACATCTTTACCTCTATTTATTTCACCCAAAGAGGAGTTTGTTAGAATCCTCTGCAAAGCTTTGAGAGGAAACTATACAAACAAATAAAGCAACCATTGTACATGTACTTTTGGTACAGAAAGTTGAGACTATTGACACTATACACCATGAATTTTGAGAATATTTAAATTTTTGTTAAAGGGAAAGCCATAAAATTGGATCTTTGTTCAAGATAAGATTATCATCTCATAATCATTAGCATAACACAAGGATTTTTTTTCTGAAGCAGAAAAGGATTGTAAAATTGAAAGGTTTACTTGAGAAATAATATTTGTGTTTTAGTGCTCCTTAAACTAGCGAATTAAAATTACAATATTGTACTTTTTTTCTGATGGAGAAGGCAGCAGGTGAAGACAAGAGTAATTTTGTATTTAAAATTAGGACTCCACTCATTCAAATGTGGTGGGTGGCTCTGAGTGGTTTAAGGTTTAAATCAAGTGAATTTAAAGAGGTTTCAATCTTAAAATGGATTTATCACTTCTGCACCCCATGGATGCCAAAATTTTCAATTTTTAAATGAAATAAAAAAACTTATGTTACCTGGGTAATTAATGAAAGACTCTCCCCAAGTGGAAAGCAAAAGTGTGCTACACGAATTTGACAATCTCAAATCTCTCAAGTTACAAATATACTGAATAAAAAGTATATATCGTGACATACTAAACTCTGAATTAACTGTTACAAATGTGTTATCTGTTTTTTTTTCCTAAATAATCAGATTTCCTTTCATCTGACTTTAGGAGAATTTGGTGAAAGCTTAATGGAAGACATAGCATAAACAAAGACACTTAAATTTCGTTTACCTGATGTTAGGAGAAAATAGCACTTCGTCATAATATCCTATCAAAATTTTAATGTTTGACAGCTTGTCTCTAATAGTTTGACAAATACAGAAAATTTGCAAACCAGTGCTAAATCTAAGGTACAAATATTATCGAGGAAATCCGCAAAAAAAAATATTTACAGTGTATAACCCCGTTAAGAAAAATCGATAACCTTTAAAGACACTGACGCGACTAAGCTGAAATTTCAAACATCGTAACTCTGATTGCTCCTCGAATCCAAACAATGATCTGAACGCCAGAAGATTAAATGCAAACACAACATTGTTGCTTCTTCAAATACAACCTGCGCGAGTTTGAGTTTCTACCCTGAATATTTGACGCACGCCAAACACTGTAAACATTGTACTTCACCTGATTGCTGGGGCAAAAATTAGGAAAAGAAAAGAGGAGAAGCGTTTTATGCTAAGTCTCCTAAAAAAATGGTTTAAGTAGATAAACATTTACCCAGGAAAATTTTTTTTGGCGAGGATATCAAACACAAGAGATAAAATATTTTGTTGTACAACAAAAGAGCGCTCTTCACAGCAGGGTGTACTATTAGTCTCGCGTATTTTGCATTCTCGAATAGCAATATTTTTTATGGAAATAACCTATCTTTGAGAAATGCGCTGTGCATCTGTTTGCCGTTGAAGAGGAGCGAATTTATTGACACGGATATTTTTCCTTTGTGTGTGTAGACCTTGCGGTTCTTCAAAGACGGCAGACAATGTGAAGGTTAAAACAGTATTAGAAGCGATAGTACTTAGAGATTGTTGATGCAGTTAAATAGTCTTTAGGCCGCGATTGTGACATTTCTTTAATCCTATTCTATTCAAGAGTGATCATGGGGAATGTCTTTTTTTTGTTTGAGACGAGGAAGCCAATTCATGTCAGCTGCGCGGTTAAAACTGCGCGAACGCTTGAGTCACGAATGAAAATAAAAAAAGAGTTCATTGAAAAAACGTAAAATTATCGTTTCTAAATTGTGGTCGATTGTTGGCCATTTCAACATGAAATGCAATAAATGTGATTTCGTCGTTGTTTGGTTCAAATACATCGAGGAAAAACGATTTGCCGGAACAATTAAAAAATATATTTACTTTCCTCATTTTGTGGTACTTTACTCGACGTAAAAACAGCTTCAGACGTGAATACGACGTGATTTGTAGCAGCAGGGAGGTTCTGAATTTCCTTCCACCTGCTTGAGACTTTTTGAATAAAGGAGGTACAAACGTAAATGCACAAATAGCGCCTTGTCCGTTTTAATTCCTTTTGCCTCCATTCACAGACCTCAAACCTCTTTTAGGAGCGTGCCTAAATTATGGAACCGAAAGAAGACGTCACGAACGAAGGTCGCAGTGATTTTTCACGCTCTGTGTTCACCATCAAAACAACCGAATGATAATAAAACCTTATAAACAAAAGCAGTGGTCCGCTGTTCTTTCTAATTTCTTAACAGAGAATTTGATTAATTCAAGGAGTGAGAAAAAAAAAATCTTTTCAATCGTCGTAAACTAAGTGGCCCAGTGCGGCGAATAAGGGTTTGACAAAGTTATTTTCACATTATGGTGTTATAACCGGCGTGATCGGACACGGGGTAATGAAATAAAAACGATCGCTGAAGTCCTGAAGCAGGTTAGCCTATAAAGCGTACAATGGACTGCAACAAATATACGAAGAACTGCAAACATTAAGCGTTTGCGTCCTTCATTAAAAGGACATAATGTAAATTTGTGCGTTTAAATTAATTACCAGACAGCCGCGGCATGTTGATGCTGTAGAGTATGTGTACGTTTCCCAGTTTTCCCCACAATCGATACGCTGTAAAATTCCTTCAAAATTATTGTAGTTTCTTTCAGCCTCTTTGTCCTTCTTTTGTAGTAAGCTTATGCTTTGCCACTCTTGGCAAATAGTTCTGTTTTTCAAAATTCCATTCAAAGGAAAAGACGAACAAAATTCCATGCCGTATGAGATATCTTCCGTGCGGTTCTCACAATCCACACAAATACAAGCTGCTTCAGTCCAGCATTTCGAAGAGGTATTTAGTGGCATTCCGCAACAACGGCGATACTTGCTATCGATCTCTCCGTCAACACCCGATATTGCAGTCCGAGTGAAAGGCATTAAGAAAACTAGGAGACACAACGAAACAGGGACCCGAATTACGAGTTCCTTGTAGTTAAACAACTGTCGACGGCTTCTACTCCATGCCAAGAGGACTCCCACTTCTGTTGCCCGCATAAGCGATCCGACGCATTGAGAATTGACCACGTAGATGAAGATTCAAACGGAGCCGCAAAACGTCTTGAAATCTTGCGAGAATCATACGAGGTCGAAATAAAAATTCGTGTTCCTTGAACGTGGCACTATGCGTGTGAGAAAATTCGAACCGAGCGCGGCCTCAATTTGTGACAGAACAATCAATGAAATCTTTGTTATTTAGACACGGCTGTTACTTTCGTATTTAACATCCAAAGATTCTTCTAAAGATCTCCTCTGCTGACAACTGACTCCAATTCAGAAATTTGTAAACAAGACTGTTAGTATGAGCGGAAATGAGCAGCAAATTTTTCCCTCTGAGACCGAGACAAACAACGCATGTGCCGTGACAGTTGTCACTATTTGTCCCTTGAGTATTGGGAAATATTTGGATATTTATAACTCACCTAGCGGGATTCGTCATAGGTAAAATATCCGGAAAGAACGCCGATACTAACGACAATACACCATGACAAAGCAAAAGAAGTAAGGAAGATGTTCAATAGATGACAAAATGTTTTCCTTATCAATAAACGAGACCAAGAAAATTCAATTTTATAGGTATAAATTGGTTGCCCAGTCCGTAACCTTGGACATTTCGCACTGAATGGGCAATTGTTTCCAAGTACCAGAGCCTTGTTTCTCTGATATTTGAATGTTTCGCTCTTTTCTTTTCATGCTGCTATCGAACCTGCGGAGAATTATCTTTTCCCTTTTTTTTCCCCTTTTTTTTTTTTTTAATTCCCCTTTATCGAGGCCTGAGGTTGTTCGAAGAAAACGAATTCAACATTTGCTAGTCATTCGTCCAGGCAATATTTTTTCAACCTAGGACTGTTCTAGATCAAAATCTCATTTTTGGAATACCAACTTGAATTGCCCCGCTGTTTATCGTTACGATAAGGTGGTACCGTGGCAATAATAGATTCAAGAAGCTTTTAATATTTTGTTGCGGCGTACGACTGATCCAATTTATTAATTTTTTTTAAGTGTATTATTTTCGAGTTCTTTCCTTTAGTTTCTAGGATCTGCAGGTAACTGATCATTTTCAAAATAATTGTAGATTCACTCACAAAACCTCTCAGGAAACCTCTGCTGAATGTCTTTAGTTCAATCTGGCTTATTGTAACTTTTGTAAAATTTCACAAATGCTGTAATTGTATCATCCAATTGTGATGAAAGACTTCTTCAAATTGGAGGTCATTTGCAGTCGAATGATTTTTTTTTGTTCGCAGAAAAAGTGAATTGATCAAAATTCCATGACTATCATCAACGCCACTTAATGTTAAATTTTGAATTCAATAATTATTTGGTCAGTAAATTTGCAGCTCCGAAAGTTAGCTCTGAAAACATTTAGCAAATTTGCATTCTATCGGCTGCCAATGCAAATGTTTTTCATGCACACTTTACATAAAACAAGTTGATATTCTCTTGGTTAGGAATATTCTTTTTTACGTTATCTAAATTTGATAATGCCATAAGACGTAGATACGACCGATCAAATATATAGCTACTTAAAAGTTACTCTCTTTTTAAAAGCATTCTTTTTTATCTTCGTTTTTGCCCAACATAGGTTTTTAAGTTTCAGCTTAGGAGACTAGGCAACTACTCCTTGTACAATTAATTATCAGGAAGTGGATTATCTTATTATATCTTATCTTAATAAAATTATTAGCCGAGCGCTCTTCCAAACGCAAGTTGTTACACTCAAATCTGATTATATTGAAAAATCTAAACAGGACGTCACACCCAACTGCTGATTTTAAATATATGAATGAACCTTTGTTTCAATTTACAGATACAAACATAGAATACACCTTGTAAGTTGTATACGTTTCTTGAAAGATGTTGCATGAGGTCTGGGATTCACGGAAAAATTGTCCGTCGTCAAATTTTAAGGGAAAAACTCAATAGGATACTGCCTGAACAAACCAAAACAAAAATTTGGTCTGCAAACTAAAAGGGTAAATAAAAAATTTACTCTAACCAGGGTTAGTCACTGACCGAGGAAATAACAGAAATGATAGAAGACAATCTCTCCTGTCACATACCCTTCATTGGAGCAAATGCATATAAAAAAAACTAATTTCAAGACGTAAGTAATTCTTGTTGACTTTTAAAAACGAAATAAAAACAATAAAATTCCCATCACATCCGTCAACGGAATGTTTCTCCCTAATATGACCCCCCAAAAATAAGAAAAGAAATGATGGATGACTCGTTCTTTTCCCCTATTTTTTAAGTCAATTGAAGAACGAGTGTAGCTTTTTCCCTCGTAAATGTTTCGTGGTTTCGTAAATATTTAAACAATAGATCGCACTTTCGATCGGTTCACTGGCGTAACAACCCACGAGGGATAATGAGAGGAAACAAGAAAAATTTGTTAATAACCAGCCGGAGGCGAGTGATTAACAAACTTTCCGAGCGGTCTCCAAACTGGGTTACTGCGCCGGTAAACCAATAGAAAGTGCGGTATATTTCTTTAAACTCTGGGTTACCGGCGCAATGGACGATAGATTTTTGACCAATCAGGACGCCATAGGTTTCCTTTGTTCCATAAAAAAAATTTTTTTTATCAGTTTCACGTCTGTTTAGCCGACCTATACGACATTTGAGGTGTGTTATTGAAGCATATTCTAATATCTGTTTAGTGGTGTCGGACATTGCTGCCATTTTGCAACAGTGCAAGACCTTAAACCATCGTTGTTGACTGCATCGATGTTTTTTTTAAGCTTGGTCAGTTCATTATTAGTAAAGTGAACTAATTTCAGCGCTGTTAAACCGTTCTCTAATCTCGAGAAAAGCTCGCTTAAAATACCATTCAGATATGATAAAATTATTGTTCATGGAAAAGTGAGCACATCATTCCCTTGTTTGCTAATTTTGAGTAGCTGTGAATATTGCTGAACGAATCGGCTCACATCATGCAGATAGCATCTGCTTTAGCCTGTATTTATTTGCAATTTAGACCTATCTAATTCAGCGCATCCTGAACACTTTAAGAGTTTTGCTGGCATTTTTAATCATTCCAACAGCGGTTACTTTTTAAGTCATCGTTTATAGAGAAGTCCGCCGAAATCAGCAACAAGTCATTACTAATCAAGTTTGCTTAGAAGCGAAGAAGAAGCCGGTGAACAATAAGAAAGCCTTTCAAGTCACATGTCTGCTACGTATGACAGTTATTTTGTGCTATACTCCTGCCTACTTTTGGTTCTTCGTTTCTCTTTACTTTGGATGTATTTTTTCCGTCTAGCATAGGAAATTAAACACTGTCTCGTCTTTCTTAACGAGTGAACGCGTGCCTAATTTGTTTAATCCTCTCATTTACACGGTCAGAATCAGATGTTTCCGAGTAGCTTTTATGCGGATGCTGTTTAAGAAAACTTTCGAGCAGGCTGAGGAACTGAAACATAGGATATTTGGATCGCGTTATGAGAATATCAAGTGGTATTCTCTTGGATCACGTCGTATTGGAGTTGATACAAGTGCTGGGCAAAAAAAACCGGCACAGAATTGATATAATGCAACAAGGTAATGAAAATATTGGAAAAGTAACAAATGCTTTGGTGAAATTTGATGAGATGAGACTAGGTAACATAAGATACGGTTAAAATTTTATTCACGGCGAGGACGGAAGCGAGGAAGATATTACAGCAGTATCCCACCACTGTGAAGGGCTACTTTGATTAATTAAATACAGTATAAAGGACCACGATGGTCTCAATAGGGTGATGGTTTTTACGGCTAACGGTTAAAAATTTTGGCCATTTTACCCAAACGGTCTATATCATTCCATTGTTAGACTTTCACTCAACAAAACGAGCACTGTGATTGGTTGATTCTTGGTCACATACCCCTGATCAAATTCAAATGTATCGTGACCGGGATACAATTGTGCAGTTGTTGCCAGCGCGCCGAATACAACAGCATATTTTTGCCACATGATTGTTGAAGGGAAAGTCTAGATATATGAAAAAGCACTTAATGCATGGACTACCACTACTTAGGAACTACGCAGAGGGAGGGGCTGCTTCAGACTTATCCCACCCAATTTGCGTCACGATAAAATTTGTATTACCAAATCCCCCAGCAAGGGCTCTGTGATATTCATACGATCCCCCTCACAGACAGTTGATTGGCAGTCAATATTCTATAATTTCCTGTTTATATTTAGAATTTAATGGAAAAAATCTAGTCTGGTGTCAACAATATACACTTAATGTATGGTCCTGAGGGAAACAAGACAGTTTTGTTTTCCCGAGGGTCCTGATGTTTCCCGAGACGAAGTCACTAGGACCCCTGGGAAAACAAAACTACCCAGTTTCCCTCGGGACCGTACATTAAGTGTATATTGTTGTCACTTGACAAGAATTTTTTTCCATTAACTTCTTTTTCCGCCTAAAGGCTAAGTTTTTGGCCGTTTTACGTATATCGGTTAACCCCATTGAGACCCTCGACGATACTTCTCAGCCCTGAGCCGAAAATTTATGTTGTATTGAATTCAACCGCAGCATTGATCACTCGGTAGCCACCAAGCTGGTCTCGTAGCAACGCGGGATCTGTTTCATCCTCGCACACCTGCCAATATTTAAAGATCGAAATGTACTGTGAGGCTTTTAACTTGCTGTGTTATTTTTAATTGGTCAGTATCAACATTTAGTCTAAGAAAAGTGTAAGGCGAATAAAGGCATTGATTATTTATTGTCGCTATCGTTTGATATTAAATGCTGCTAATGTAAGACTAAATGCATTCCAAATGGCGCCGGGGAGGAAATTGAAGCTTACGAATAGCCGTACCCTCCCCTCTTTCGTTTCACCTTGGGGGGGGAGGGGGGGAAGGTACGGCTATAGTTGAAGCATGCATTCCCAAATGACTTGTATTTGGGTCGCATTTTGGTGAACTTTGTGTTTTCTTTAACGGCTTTATTTCCCAGCAGTAGATAGATAAGCGTCATGTAAAATATAATCTTCGCTTGTTGGAAGCCGCATGGGATAAATCTACGAGAGCAAAATTAGCATCAAAGGTAAAGCTGTTCCTAGGTGAATGGTTCAGAATTAAAAAGTGACATAAAATAATTGAGGAAGGACTACCTTGCGTGAAGTATTAGGAACCGCGCAGAAGAAGGGGCTGGGAAGGCATTAGCCCCCCCCCCCCCACTTTTCAGAAACAGCTTGTCCTGCTAGGTATGCTCCCATCCCCCTTCCTTGTTAGTTGAAGCTTATACGTTTGTATTTAGCCTCTTCCCCCCCCCCCCCCCCCCACTCACAGCACAAGCCCTGAGTAAGGCATTATTCATCACCTTGGGTGGGCTGGTGGGGGAGGGGGAGGGGGAGGGGGATGTGGGAAGACCTTTGTTGGGGCATGATAATATTTATCTAAAACCATAATAAGCCTATGTGATATTCATACAATTGCCTCTCATAGACAGTTGATTGGCAGTCAACTTTTTTTAGCTTCCCCTTTTTATTCTGTTGGCAACGACCCATCTCCTCCGTTCGCCCTGAAAACCACTCGATACTCCAAAATCCTCTGATCCCCACTTAAGTGATAAAGAATGAATACTCCCTTTATACAGGGAATTAGATTTTCAGCTTTATGTACTATTGCTACCTTCTCATAAAATGTCTACTTATATTGCTCATTATCAGTGCGCGTGCGTGAAAGCATATTTACCTTTCTTATTATCATTTTCATCTTACCTTTGGAAGTTTCTGTTCCTTAAACATCTTTTGAAAAAAGAACTTTGTGAAACTGGCACGGAACGCTGCACCAAGCAACAGAAGCAGGCTGTCCCAGTCATGCGCTCCTTCTACTCTCCCGCCCTTCAGCAGCGAGATGCTCATTGACACGAGGGCCGTGTCGTACAAAAACAAACCAAGATTTCTGAAGAAGTACGCACTGAGGACGAGTCGGAAGAGTGGCTTTAATACACGTTGCGTATTTGTCTGCCCCCAGAATCGAGATTCGATCCATGCCACGTACGTTCTGTGGGAAATGAAGTTGATTGCACTCGCCAGGAACGTTAGAAGAAGCATCTCGATGATCAGTGCTATTGCCGTGACATTCACATTTCCCATGCGGTCTTTTCCGTGAACGACATCCACGTATAGAATCGAAAGAGTGTTGGTAATGCAAAACAAGCACCAAACCCAGAAGTGTCCAACACGAATCACTGCGCCGAAATATCTCCTCACTTTGAATGTTTTCCAAAATACTATCATCAAGAGAAGCAAAAGCGAGTTTCCATCTTCCAGCAGCGCCCCCACCGTGTTTACAGTGTTGCTGATTTCTTGTTGACCGAGTATGATTTTCGTTTGATTTCTAACTTTACAGTTTTCTGTTGGCGTTGAATGATAAAGACACACGGCAGCCGTAGCGAAGTTTAAAAAGTTAAGGAGAAACCTTAAAACTACCAAGGATACTTGAAAATATCCCGCAGTCCGGAGCATGATAAAAATAATCAGAAGATACAGTCTCAGTATAGAATATCTCGATTGCTGCTTGTTTGCCGAAGACGTTTGCGCTTTCTCAGTTCCCGGAATCGGTCCGAAGTCATTAAGGAAGGGAGGGGCTCCTGAGGCTGTGGTATTCGTATAGCGGGGGTGGGGGTTAGGGGAGGATCCAGGCTTCCTACTCTGCCTAAAACAACAACAACAACGAAACAAAGAGCACGACCACCTTTGAGTGGCGACATGCTATCATGTGTTACAGAGGAAAAACGAGGTAAAAGCGGGAAGGGGGATGAACACCTTACACGCGAAACCGAAATTGGAATAAGACAATTCCTGTCTGATGAATTTTGATGAGTCTGTCTAGAAAATCACGGTGATGTATTCATTTCATTTTCTTAGAAGCTTGGCCTCGAGGGATTTCAGGCTTTGAGGTAGAGCTGGCTTCTATTCCTCCAAAGAACGCCACCGGAGAAGCGTGACTGAATTATTATTAAGCTCTGCTGGATAACAGGAATGTCATATCTATTTAACTCGAGCGGAAAAGGATTTCGATTCCGGTGTTCCGGTTTTTGATCACATCGGGATGGTTTTGTGGCTAATTGGCTTTGCTTTCGCTCTACTCTGGTTAATAAGACTTACTTTCACCCTTCTTTTTGTTGTCCCCGCATTCGCCTGTCTTTCTAACGACACGAGTACAGAAGTATGCGGTAACAGCGTCTTCACTCAGAGAATAAAAGACGACATCAACATGGCAGGTACATTCGTGGAAGCGGGAAACTCCATTCTTATCATATTGTTGATATTTTTGTGGGGAAAATTCAACGTCGCGAACTTTTTCCTAGCTGCACTTCGATTGGCCGTATTTTGGTATTGGATGGGTCTATTCTGCGTTCAGATTGTTTCGATCATCAATACAGATGTCCTACCCGGTGAAGGGAGCTGGATCGCAATTGGAGTGGGTCTATTTCTTGAATTCGTAACTTTAATGTTGTTGTGTCTTGCGCTTAAATTTGTTAAGAAATCGATCGTGAGTGCATGGATTTACAGATCAACCAGTCAACGGTGGGCGAAATTTTTCTATTGCATCTATGTGTCGACTCTTTGGATGTACTTACTGAGAAATCTGGCGTTGGTAACCTATGACATGGCGTTGTTTGCGATGAATATCAACAGTCACGCCAAAAGTAAACAGATAGACCATTTGACACGCATCATAAACATTGCAACCAGGAGTAGCTTTGTGCAGTTTTTTTATGCAGCCATATTTAGAAATATAAAACTGTCAAACGTGTGTGAGGAAGGTGGAAGAGTCGCACAAACTGGCCAAGGCCTTGTGGATAGTCTGGACACAGTGTTGGAATGGGAGCCATCAATAAAATGATTGTAATGAGAGCTTAAAATATACAGACTGCGTTGATGGACAGATGACAGATCATGAGTTCTTTTTGTAGCCTCGTATCGGTCGAAAACAATCGATACATCGAACGTCGGTCGGCCGACGTACAATCGAACTTACTCTCTCAACTGAACAGATACTTTCAATCTTAGGATGAGTCGAGAGGGATTTCCATAGAAGGACTGGAGATCATACATCTCAGTTTTGATTCTTTCTTGTCAAGTAATAAGATCTAAAAGGGGGTTTAAACTCACTTTTCTTAGCGTAATCCACTATGGTAATTACTGAGAAATCCTTACTCTAACTCTATTCCTTAAGGATATCCCCATTCCCCTCTCCAAATGTTGATTATAGTGTAGTTTGTAATACAGTTCGGATATAACGCGGGCTGTCATTGTATTAGTTGAAAGAGCGCGCTCTATCAGAGCACATAACGTAGAGCTGAGCTAAAGCTGTCACGCCATCCGCCAAATTGTACCATGTCCGACCATTTCCCACTCTTCTCTCGGGCTTTTTTCGTTAACCCTTTAAGCCCTGAGTGTGACTGACATCTAATTTCTCCTTACCATATCACCCGTGAATCAAAAAGTTATGGTCAAGAGAATAAAGGAGCTGATCACCCACTAAAGAAGCTCTTGACAAATTCTCCATATCGGCATCTTCGGAAATGTTTAGAGAACAGTATGGAAAATATGCATACTGATTTTAAGGTGTAAAGGAAGAATTAAAACTGAAATTTTGGAACAAGCGAGCCGGCAAACAGCAACAGAAAAACAGAAAAACCAAACAAAGGTTTGCAAACACGCCAAGCGCCTTAATTCACGTCATTGTAACGTGTGCAGGGACGAAAATCCTCGAATTGATAAATATAACACACACACCTTGGCAGTTTGTTTTCCAATTGCACTCAGGAAGTGGGGAAAAACACTCGACTACGTCTCGTGTTTCTCCCAACTCTCCTTTCGCGCCTAAGGCGCTTCTTGCGTGCTTCACAACAGAACAGAGCACAGTCAAGGCTTCTATATTTGTTAAATCATGGATGCTTTGATTTAACCTTGGACATTTGGAACTAAATATTAAATCTATTTGGTAAATTGCCCAAGTGATACTGAGCAATTTAGTATTTTGAGGAGAAATTCTGTCTTGGTCGCTCATGAGAGTTTTATAGTCAATGAAAATCTGATCAAGTTTGATCAATTTACATTATTTTTAATCATGCTTTGTTTTGCTGTAAAATTGATTGCATGGTCTTCCCCACTGTGTTTTATTGTTTTGTCGACGCCCTTTCTTTTCCTCAACAAGAGACTTTTTTCTGGCGAAACTAAAATAAAATGAAGTCAGTCAGACAAAAAAACAAAAAAAAAGAAAGAAAATAGTATGTGCCTGGAGGAAGCTGACCTTCAAAAACCTTAACTCTGATTTTATGATTTTTGAACATGATGTAGCTTTAATTTCGACCACAATTGTCATAAATAGCGTATTACAAAGTTCTTTTTTTTATCGCTACTGCGAAATTGTTGAGCAATTATATTTGTGTGAAGTATTTGATAAACAGTTACATTTATTTAAGGTGATGCAATTTTAATCAAAGGGTTTGGCCTGAAATACCGCTCTCCGACCAACATTATCAGGCTGGCTTGGACAGAGCTCCGTCAAAATTTGAAGATTTTTGAAAATTTCTCTTAAATTCAGCAAAAGGTTGTCAGCACTTCATACTTATCTTCTCCATCTCTGTTTCTCTTTGGTTTTTTTTTTGTCTTTTTCGGATTTACTCTGTGTTTTTTTTTCCTCATCAGAAAACAATTTTTCACTGCGTTTGAATTGTTTTTATAGCGCTTAAAGTTATTTAAAAGTAACAGTTAGAGATGCTGTTGGCTTCACTAACTCTGAGGGATAATTTTAAAACACGTGCTGCCTATGTAACGGTTTTAAAAGTTTAATGAAGAACCCACAGCTTGCTACACAAAAGAGACTATAAGTGCATTTCACAGTAAATGCACATAAACTTAATCCGTCCCAGTTGGATTCAAACCGGTTGAAACAAACACACGTCAAGTTCTTCCGTTAAAAACTGTTTGCACGCCAAAAGGATTTTCACAGCGTAGTACGTGCGTCAACGGTAACGAACTCTGCATCATGGCTTCATTGAAACCTAGAAGAAGGATGCCAAGTAGATGCTGCTATTGTTGGTTGAAGATTTGGCGCGTCGTTCAGCAAGACATCCTACTTTTCCTCATAATAATCGGCGTGTTAGTCGGGTTTATTGTTGGGGCCGCCGCGAATCCTTCCGTCAATGACATCGTGGATCCCGAGAAGAAGGCGACGACCATAATGTTGATTGGTTTCCCAGGCGAACTCTTCATGAATATGTTGAAGTTATTGATTCTGCCTCTGATCGTGGCAAGTTTGATTTGCGCGCTTGCCACGTTGGATTCCAAGGCCACGGGAAAGATCGGAAGACGCACAGTTTTGTACTACCTTTCCACTACTCTTCTGGCTGTTATCCTTGGCATCGTTCTTGTAGTAAGCATTCGACCGGGTGAATCAGGGAACAAGCAGGCTAAGGAACAGAAAGAAATCAGTGGCCCGCATCGAAACTTGGATTCATTCCTCGATTTGATAAGGTAGTTACTTTTTAATCTGAACTTTATATGCGACAAATTTGTCCTAGGTTATAATTTTTTTTTTCTGAAAAGATTTATAAGCAAAACGAAGATTGAACAAAAAAGAAACCGTGAAGTGGCAAGGATTGGATTTTGTTTTTTCAATCTTTGAAACTTTAAAGTCGTGTCACATTTTTAAAAGTATTCTCTACGATTGATTCACCAGCTATATGAGCCTAAAGCTGGTCAAAATAGAGAGTGAAAAGTAGAAAACGGCGTTTCTCAAGTTGGTAAAGAGAAGTCTGATTTAAGATTTTGAAAGAAAGAAACAAGCCTTTGCTTTCTTTTTTCTTTTTTGTGATGGTGCAATGTTTAAATTTCTATATCATGAATAATTTAAAAACGAAATACATTCGTCATGACATACTCTTTGTTTTTAAGTCAGCAAGGTCTTTAATCTTTGAAATATAAAATGAACACGAATCAATTCAACCAGAGCATTTAACGTAAGTTTTGACTATCATACAGTTTCGGTTATTTTTTAACTTTCAAGCATACTTTCAACATTGCTGTACCAATATTGCTGACCCAGGAGTTAACCATGATATAATAATTGAATTCATGTTTGCGTTTCTCGAAATTCTTTATTGAGGTCTCCCCCGGGAACCCTCGACATCATGCTGATTGACAGCTGTTATTTTCGTAGCTTTCCAACAGAGCGAAATGAAGAGACACACTGTTCATTACAAACAATCTCATAAACGCTCTCTATCACCGAAACTTTTTTTAATCGAAAATTTTCATCATATTTTTCGTGAATGGAAATAAACTTTGCTTTTCAAATTTTTGATTGGCTTGATATGAGAGGTAGCTCATAATTTTTCATGTTTTCCCTTTTTTCCCGCAGTATCTGTGTTATCCCAACAGGAGAAATTCAAATTTCCCCTCGTTGTAACTCATGATGTTCTTGTATTTTGTCTTTTGATCTTCTCTCTTTCCG